CAAGGTTTCCCCGAACTGATGGTTGGTTGGTTTGTTATTTAACGCCGCACTTAGAAATATTCCAGATATATGGCCGTTTAAATCATCGAATCTGGACCAGACAACCCAGTGATCAACACCATGAGCATCGATCTACGCAATTGAGATACGATAACATGTGTCAACCAAGTCTGCAAGCCTGACCACCCGATCCCGTTAGTCGCCACTTACGACAAGTATGGGTTACTGAGAACCAATTCTAACCCGGATCTTCACGTGACCCTGAACTGATGTGGAAAGACACAACACTAAATGAATAGAATGGTACACATATTGAACATTTATCAAACGAAATACGTGTAAAACAATATGTTATACAATGATCGTTTGAATTTTGGTAATCTCATAAAAGTATGTTATGTTAATGTAGTTAATTTGAAAACCTTTATGAAAGGATACAGATTTAGGCGATCGTATACACTAACCATACCATCTGATGTTAAGAAGCAAATTTACAAGACTGGATATTATGCATGTAAATGATGATGTCAGATTGCAGTGATAATGGATTTCTCTTCATCGTATTGTACGAATTAGTTCACTGAGACAATTTATCATTTTATTGTTTTTGTCTTTTAAGTACCAAGTAAATATTTTGTATAATAAAAAAACCCAAGGAAAATAGGTTCATTTTCGTGTAGTCTTGCCCTTTAAGTTGGTCACGAGTGATGTGTAGCATTAGCATTCGACCAACCTAGAAACATGCCCCTGCTGTTATTTTGTGTCAAGGCTGGGTGTGATGATTAATGATGTCAGATATGTTATTTAAGACATCGACGTAAAAAAAACTAATTAAAACTACCATCGGGGCTAGTGACAAAAATGTCTTGAAGGACAATAATTGCAACCAATATATCCATAAAAATATCTCGAATTATCTCATTTGATAAGGTTTTAGCGTACAAAGCGAATGTGGGTAGGTAGGTAGGTAGGTAGGTAGGTAAGTAGGTGGGTAGGTGGGTAGGTAGGTGGGTGGTAAGTAGAGAAGGTAGGTGGGTGGGTGGGTAAGTGGGTGGGTAGGTGTAGTGGGTGGGTGGGTGGGTGGGTGGGTAGGTGAAGTGGGTGGGTGGGTAGGTGAAGTGGGTGGGTGGGTGTGGGTGGGTGGGTGGATGGGTGGGTGGGTAAGTAGGTGGTGGGTGGGTGAATGGGTAAGTGGGTAGAGTGGGTGGGTGGGGGTGGGTAAGTGGGTGGGTGGGTGGGTGGGTAAGTGGGTGGGTAAGGTGGGTGGGTATGTGGGTGAATGGGTGGTGGGTGGGTAGGTGGGTGGGTAAGTGGGTAGGTGGGTGGGTGGGTGGGTGGTGGGTGGGTGAAGTGGGTGGGTAGGTGGGTGGGTGGGTGGGTGGGTGGGTAGGTGGGTGAATGGGTATGTGGGTGGGTGAGATGGGTAAGTGGGTGGGTGGTAGGTAGGTGGGTAGGTGGGTAGGTAGGTGGGTGGGTAGGTCAGTAGGTAGGTAGGTAGGTAAAGTGGGTAGGTAGGTGGATAGGGAGGTAGGTAGGTAGGTAGGTAAGTAAATGGTGGTAAAGTAGGTAGGTAGGTGGGTAGCTAGGTAAAGTAGGTAGGTGGGTAGGTAAGTGGGTAGGTGGGTAGGTAAGTAGGTAGGTAGGTAGGTGGGTGAATGGGTAAGGTAGTAAGTTTAGTAGGTATGTGGGTGAATAGGTAGGTGGGTAGGTGGGTAGGTAGGTAGGTGGGTGGGTGGGTAGGTGGGTAGGTAGATAAAATAGGTGGGTAGGTAAGTTAGGTGGGTATGTGGTAGATAGGTAAGTAGGTAGGTAGGTAGGTAGGTAGGTAAGTAGGTAGGTAGGTAGGTAGGTAAGTAGGTAGGTAAGTAGGTGGGTAGGTAGGTAGGTAGGTAAGTAGGTGGGTAGGTAGGTATGTAGGTGGGTAGATAGGTAAGTAGGTAGGTAGGTAGGTAGGTAGGTAGGTAGGTCAGTAGGTAGGTAGGTAGGTAAGTAGGTAGGTAGGTAGGTAGGTAGGTAGGTAAGTAGGTACGTAAGTAGGTGGGTAGGTAGGTAGGTAGGTAAGTAGGTAGGTAGGTAGATAGGGAGGTAGGTAGGTAGGTAAGTAGGTAGGTAGGAGGTAGGTAGGTAGGTAAGAAGGGGTAGGTAGGTAGATAGGTAGGTAGAAGTGGGTGGGTAGGTGGGGTAAGTAGGGTAGGTAAGTGGGTGGGTAGGTAGGTAGGTGGGTAGGTAGGTAGGTAGGTAGAGGTAAGTAGGTAGGTAGGTAGGTAGGTAGGTAGGTAGGTAGGTAGGTGGAGTAGGTTGGTAGGTGTGGTAGATAGGTAGGTAGGTAAGTAGGTAGGTAGGTAGGTAGGTAAGTAGGTAGGTAGGTAGGTGGTAGGTAGGTAGGTGGAGTGAGTTAGTAGGTAGGTGGGTAGGTGGGTGGGTAGGTAGGTAGGTGGGTGGGTAGGTAAGTGGGTAGGTGGGTGGGTGGGTAGGTGGGTGGGTGGGTAGGTGGGTAAGTGGGTGGGTGGGTGGGTAGGTAGGTGGGTGGGTAGGTGGGTGGGTGAGTGAGTGGTGGGTGGGTAGGTGGTGGGTGGGTGGGTGGGTGGGTGGGTGGAGTGGGTAGGTGGGTAGGTAGGTAGGTGGGTGGGTAAGTGGGTATGTGGGTGGGTGGGTGGTAGGTGGGTGGTAGGTAGGTAGGTGGGGTTAGTAGGTGGGTAGGTGGGTGGGTAGGTAGGTAGGTAGGTGGGTAGGTAAGGTAGGTGGGTGGGTGTGGTAAGTGGGTGGGTAGGTAGGTAGGTAGGTGGAAGTGATGGGTAGGTAGGTAAGTGGGTGGGTAGGTAGGTGGGTAGGTGGGTAGGTGGGTAGGTAGGTGGGTAGGTAGGTGGTAGAAGTAGGTAGTAGGTGGGTGGGTAGGTAGGTAGTAAGTAGGTAGGTAGGTAGTAGGTAGGTAAGTGGGTAGGTAGGTAGGTAGGTAGGTAAGTGGTAGGTAGGTAGGTAGGTAGGTAGGTAGGTAGGTAGGTAGGTAGGTAGGTGGGTAGGTAGGTAGGTAGGTAGGTGTGGGTAGGTAGTAGGTAGGTGGTAGGTGGGTAGGTGGGTAGGTGGGTAGGTGTAGGTAGGTAGGTAGGTAGGTAGGTAGGTAGGGTAGGTAGGTAGGTAGGTGGGTAGGTAGGTGGGTAGGTAGGTAAGTAGGTAGGTGGGTAGGTAGGTAGGTAGGTAGGTAGGTAGGTAGGTAGGTAGGTAGGTAGGTAGGGATAGGTAAGTGGGTAGGTAGGTAGGGTAAGGTAGGTAGGTAGGTAGGTAGGTAGGGTAGGTAGGTAGGTAGGTAGGTAGGTAAGTAGGTAGGTGGGTGGTGTGGGTAGGTAGGTGTGTAGGTGGGTAGGTAGGTAAGTAGGTGGGTAGGTAGGTAGGTGGGTAAGTGGGTGAATGGGTAGGTAAGTAGGTGGGTAGGTAGGTAGGTGGGTAGTAGGTAAGGTGGGTAGAGTAGGTAGAGTAGAGGGTGGTAGGTAGGTAGGTAAGTAGGTAGGGTAGGTAGGTAGGTAGGTAGGTAAGTAGGGTAGGTAGGTAGGTAGAGTAGGTAGGTAGGTAGGTAAGTAGTGGGTAGGTAAGGGTAGGTGGTAGGTGGGTAGGTAGGTAGGTAGGTAGGTAAGTAGGTGGGTAAAATGGGTATGTAGGTGGGTAGATAGGTAAGTGGTAGGTAGGTAGGTAGGTAGGTAAGGTAAGTAGGTCGGTAGATAGGTAAGTAGGTAGGTAGGTAAGTAGGTAGGTAGGTAGGTAAGTAGGTAGGTAGGTAGGTAGGTAGGTAAGTCGGGAAGTAAATAGGTAGGTAGGTAGGTAGGTAGGTAGGTAAGTAGGTGGGTAGGTAGGTAGGTAGGTAGGTAGGTTGGTAGGCCTGAAATGTTAATTAAGAAACAATCTGAATATGCTATACTTAGGTGAATAAAGTATTGAAACAATTTTATAGTTGATAATAATAATAATTATTATTTGCTGGCGTGATACAACCTCTAAATGGGGTGAAACTGTTCTGGAGTGATCGTGTTTAGGGTGAAATAACCCGCTTCCGTATGTATGTATGTATGTATGTATGTATGTATGTGTGTGTGTGTGTGTGTGTGTGTGTGTGTGTGTGTGTGTGTGTGTGTGTGTGTGTGTGTGTGTGTGTGTGTGTGTGTGTGTGTGTGCGTGCGCGTGTGTATGTGTGCGTTTGTGTTTGTGTGCGCATGTGTATGTGCGGGTGCATTCGTTACCAACAATCCTCCCCTCCCCCCCGTGCATGCCAGCGTCATGCCATGAAATGAAACATCTAATTTGTTGATCGGCACTCTTGAAGTTGGTTAGAAAATAATAAAGTATAGAAATTTACGGATAACAACTTCATGTTTATTGCATAGAGCGAGGTTTCGATGTCGAGTCTTATTCTCTATCTTGCCTGATCCACCTGATCAATCACCTGCTGTTGTTAAGGTTACTCTGCTGCTTGTCACTGCATACTATGCATATATACCTCTCATCACTTCGCTGTAGCTACTTTACCCTGTTAACTGTGTCAGAGACTACATTGGAACGTTGCTCTATGCAATAAACAATCAGTTTTATTCACCCCAGCAAATAATAATTATTATTATTATCAACTATAAAATCGTTTCAATACTTAATTCATTTAAGTTAAAGCTGCTACGTTAGTGAGTGAGTTTTTATTAAGCTGCTACGTTAAATAACATACCAATATGCATGCTGGAGATCGTAAAACAGAAAACTAATAACACACAGATAACACGACATATTGGTCAATCTATTTTATTTAACAAGATGTAACTTGTGCACACTGATATATGAGAGCATTTCAGATTGGATAAAGGTAAGTATCGAAGTAACATGCAAAGTCAATGCTTGCTATACGTCACTGATCAGTGCCCAGCGTATTTCATTATTAGGTTCACCGTTTTCAAGAACCATGACATCAAATCACAAATATATCACCATCACACATGGAATATATATTACGTTGTAGACATCAGCACATCTATAATCCGACAACATGTCCATCAGTTCACATCTTCTTGATCCAGTCCAGCTCCCACTCCTTCATGGCTTTCTTCACCTTGTTCCTGCTCCTGCTCCTCTCTAGACTCCTCCTCCTCCTGTGATGGGGGATGTCATGGACGCTGTACCCAGCCACAGCAAACCGACTCCACCGTGGACAGGCCGTCCCCGACCAGTACTCCAGCTTCCTCTGCAGGGCGGACATGACGTTGTCCTGGTCCACCGTGTCCGTCAGATGGAACTCCACCTCAGTCACGTCCCGGTTGTAGATCATCAGAATCTGGCACAAAATAACAATGTGCAACAGCGTTCCTTTAGAGAATCTAGCGTTTGTCAGAATGTCCACTATAATTGGTATTGGTACGTAATGTGCACGGTTCACATGCTAAAGAATGGCTCTGTGATAGTACAATGCCTGATAGTGTCCAAAGAAACGAACTAGTATGTTTTCAAAGAATCAAATTGGTATCTGTATATTTCTTCGTAGAAGAAGTACAACGATTATAAAAGCATAAGAGATAGTCACAGAATCGTGAAGAAATCTTGTATATGACAAGCTATTGTCACAGTGTCAACATCAACATAAAACAATGATCCAATGCACGTTATGACTAATTTTCATATAAATCGGATTTTGGCATTTTCTAATTGTCATTCATGCACAATTTCCCATTATAGTCCAAAAGGGAAGAGGTGTATTTTTCATGCATACCTTCAAAACGTCCCTCATACTGGCCATGTCTGCCTCCGACTCTATATAAACCTTCACAACGCCCGACACCTGTTTTGCAAACTCTTGTTCCACTAGCGATATCAGCGGCAAGGGGTTGTCATCTCCACTGTACAATAACTCCTCTCGGCTCATCTGTGGGTCCGGCTGGTACTTGGAATTCATTAGAGGCACTGGAAACACACAGATGATTCTGATGCACTGTCTGATATGGATTTTTAATGAATTTCATGAAATGCATATCACATAGAATAGGCAACTATCCCTTAAATAATGAATCGTAATGGGCAGATTAAAAAGCTGTAAATTTTCTTCACAGATCGTTACCGATATAGTGTTTATAACGAATATTTTATCATCGTATCATCAATAACAAAAATATTTTTATATATTTTATTTAGTTTATATTATTTTAAAAGTTATCATTTTCAGTTTATGACACAGTGGAGCTACGAGTCTTGTAAACGTTCCAGTATCACGAGTTTTACGAACTTTTAAAATACGAAAACAGACGTCCTTGAAACTTTTGAATGGATAGATAAAAATAACTGACTTATACATCACTTACTTATTAGGGAATACAGCTGTGTGTTCTCCAAACATACGTGGCCGTCATGACACGCCAGGGAGTGAACACTTGATTCGGCGTTGTCGATGTTGAAGAAGGCAGCCTTGTCAACTACGTCTTTGAACTGGTTTTTGGCAAGCCCCAGGAAAGTGTGAACCATTCCCACGCATCCACTCACCTTTTTATTCCATATTGTTCCTAAGAATTATACATGTGCAAAAGAAGTTAAAATGTTTTTAAAACATCCTTAAATTATCAGAATATAACGGAAGCTATCTTACCGCTAAAGCGATCGTAACTCCCATTCTTAAACTTATACTTGTCGTAGCGTTAAGATAGGTCCGTGCAACGGGACCCAGGTAGCATGGTTGTTTGATATTTTCGTTTCTTTGTTGTTTAACGCCACATAATCAAGTTTGGACCAGACAATCCAGTGATCAACATCATTAGCATCAATCTACGCAACTTGGATAAGATGACATGTGTCTGCCGGAACAGCCAGTTTGACGACCCGATCCCATTACTCAAGAATGGTTTACAAGCATGGTTTGTTGAAGACCAATTCTAACCCGGAGTTTCACGGGTAGGTTGCATGATAGAATGCAGACCTTTCAGCATTTGGAGAATAACTTTTGAAATTATATTAGAAAGGGCAACAACAAAATAGTTCACTTGCTGTCAAGGAACCCTGGGCGATAGAGTAACCGCTGCGCTTTTTCATGTGTCATACCTTTGCCTGGACATCCTCCACAGTTGTCCAGAACACACTTCTGTAGATCCGACTCTATCGCACTCCTGGTCATCGTGGTGCCTGCAACTTTCATCAGGTCATCTCGGAGTTTCTCGGCCTGATGCTGTCTGTGTTTCTTGGTGTCACGGCAGAACTGGCTCTCTCGGTCGTGGAAACAGAACCTAACAAATGCATGAAGGGAACATAGTAGCGTAAACATACTGATTTATGATAACGTTCCATTTGGATATCAATGACTGTTGATTGCTCAGACATGAGCTGGGTGATGCGGTAAGCAGTGGTTACAGCATTTGCTCACAATGAAGGCCCAGTTTAGATTCCCCACATTGCTACCATGTCAGAAAGCCCGTTCCTCATGTCGCTAGTCGTGATATTGATGGAATAATGCTGTAGCGGAGTAAAACATTATTCAGTCACTCTCTCATATATGAATACATTATTCCACCACTCATTTTCTAGAAAATGATCAGTTTCGCATTTATCAAGTTGAAAGATATAAAATGGGAAACCTCATAAGAAATAAGTACCATAATTTCAAATAGCATAACCGATGAAAGTGTCTTGCAAACAATTAATTTATGAAACGTACCCAAGTGAACGTGTGTTGAAGGAGAAGTATGCAAACTGTTCACCAAGCCGTGGTGTTTTGCACGTCCTCTTCAGGTTCAGGGGATTTATTGCTGGCCCCCCTACAACACAAACAGTGCTTATCGTATGTTGTATATTCCTCATATATGTACATTCGTTCTATATATCATAATCGTAAAAGTTGGAATTCTTATTGTTCTTGTCTCGAAAACAGTTTCAATTTGGTCATCGCATGTTCATTCCTCGAAAGATTAAACTGTCGATTTTAAGGTTGTCACCAGCACGCATTTGCTGACATGCTCAACAAATATCACTTACCTTTCCTCAGTTCTTCCATGGTACTGTGCAACTTGTCAAAGACTGCCTCATTTCCTGCACCCCACACTTCAGCTATGTCTCGAACATCACCAGGCGTCATCGGCCGAATGTCGATGTATAAAGAATCACCATGACAACCAATGCCAAGACCACGTGACTGCAGTCGAAGAATTGGAGAACAGCTTCTCAGAAACGATTGTCCAATATTCACAAGGTCCTCTGTTGATTGGCCCGCGATGCTCTTGACATGCATTGCTTGTCCTGCTTCAAATCTCAGCTTTTCCTGGGAATGTCTATGGTCCATGTCACGCAGGTTGATGGAGTGTGACCTTGGTGTTACAACGACAAGACATATTTGTGGAAACACACGTAATGTAAACACATGAAAAGGATCTCTTCATATCATATCAGGTAACAAATTCAACATATCTTTCAACATCTCATTCTAATGTTCTACCAACTGCCAAGTCTAACATTTAATATATAAAAGGGTAACTGCTTCTCCTATATACAGAGGAACTAGATGACCAATCAATACTCATTATTAAATCTTTTGCCAATTCTATAATAATGCATCGCTAATCATAAACACACCTGTAAGCAGAATTTGGAACAACTCTGACATCTTGTCCAAGATCGTTTACCACCAGCTCCAGACAGTCAACGAGGGATGCATCGAGTCTGAAGAATCTTCTCTCTGAGTGCTTGAAGTCTGATATTTTGAAGTGTTGCGAGAGTGCTATGTCCTTATTAAAACCATCAAACAGTAGAGACTTTCTGGACTCGCCAACCAATGCTGATGGGTATGCATAGTCTTCATCCTTGACCCCTACCGCCAACACTGTAGTTATCGGGAAAGGGACAATTGTTGCCTTGTAGCCATCTTGAAGCTTGACATAGACATCAATATTTGAAGACTTGGAACTGTCTATGTAGTCAAAGCCTGCACAGGTCGCCAAAGAGTGAAGTTGTGATGTGGTTGGTGTTGTGCCTGACTGACGAGCAATCTGGAGTTTCCTGTTGTTATGGTATATCCACAGTGAGTGGAGGGCGTATCGTGGGGTAACATTGTATCAAACATCTATATTGATTGTTGTCTTGGAACAAATCACCATACATTCACTGCACCCTAGCTATAATGCCCCTGCGTTAACGCCAACCTTTTCAGAACAAATGTTCCAGTTTCTGGTTAGAATGATCTGATCTGATCAGTCGAAGAATTAGTGAGTGTGCACTGGTACATAGTTAAGCATAGCTATCATTGGTTAATCTTATCAATGGTTATCCTAAGGGGTTTCTCACTGACAATGTGTGTACAGTATATCTGATTGGCAATCCTCTAGACTTCTCCTGAACTGTACTTTATATAAATGACATTCTATATGAGTATTCTATGAAACACAACAACTTTACCTCCCATTCATTTCAAGCAGGATATCGTTAGACGACCCTCGGTGAGCTGCTAGGGATGGCTTTCCCACATTTAATTTTGCACCTGCAGGATTAAAACGATAGAAATATGGTCGGTTGATCAAAGGCATAAGGACAGTGGAGTAGTCAGCATGTAGTAGTACATGCAAAAGACGTTCGATGCGTTCGATTCTCGACATTAGTTTAGTGTTCATCTCAGTTGTGATGGCCCTGACTGTAATATAGTCATGCATCCGTTCACATTTCAACTGAACTATCGAAATAGGTACAGTTCCACTTCGCACTCTCAATAAAGAAAGAGTATATCCCAGACAAACTGTAGTCAGATGAAATTACATTGTCGTTATTAATACATTATTTGCTTATGTAATCCGTTTCGAACGATTAAGAAATATATCTAAATATTTTGAAAGCCATGCAAGGTTTTGTGTTCTGAAAGTATAGGTGTTCTAATATGCTGTGTAACTGAGTCAGACTCTGAGAAAGAACCCCGGAAGATCGTGTAAAAACAACCACAAAACAAAGCAAAAAAGACACAAAACAAAGCAAAAAACCCAATTCACTTCATCTTGCACTAACAGGAAAGGTAAATACCTGGATACTGGTGACTAACAATAGCGGCCAATCGTCGCAGGCGTATCGCCATTCTGGGGGTCATGACCCTTGTCTGACACCAATCCCAGGGTTCCGTACTGTCAGACCACTTGCACGTGCTCTTGCATCTCCTAGTCGACTGATAGCATGTGGCTGATGATGATCCCTCGGGCTTGAATATAACGTCTTCATATGGATACTGAATTAATCTAAACCAAATAGTTTAATTTAATTATTGTGTAATAAATCATTCTGCAAAGAATTCACGTTTATTTCAAAAGATGTCAAAGTTAATATGGCATCGACGATTAATAGAGTGAGTGAGTTTAGTTTTACGCCACTTTTAGCCATATTCCAGCAATATCAACAGTATCAACACAATAAATGGGCTTCATACATTGTACCCATGTAGGGAATCGAGCCCGGGTCTTCGGCGTCAGGAACGAACGCTTAACTACTAGGTTATCCCATCGATTAATAGACACGGAATTGACCGGACATAGAGATACAGACATACCTATATTGTAAATCATGTTCCCTCAATGGGGGATTGATGATATGGTCAAGAACATCAGTTTGCTTGATACGCCCAATCTTGCAAGCAGTAGAAGCCGACTTAAGCCCTGAAAAAATCCACACCCCAACACGCGTTATCTGGCTTATGTTTTAGAAACGACATTTCATCTGCGAATTTATTTGAGTTTGTGAAACCAAAGTGAATGGCTTTTGTAATACATTCTCCTTAAACAGTGAACATTAATTTTGATCTCAAGTTGTTCTTTATATCCGTGGTATTATGTATTTGGTAAGGAAATATATAAATACAGCGTAACAAGTCATAAATGTCCAATATGTAATACAGCTGTACATAATATCGTCATATCTGTCAGGTACCCATGAGATACTTTGGATACGGCGTGCTGTGAAAATTTGCAGAAAGGGTTACTACACCCCTATGAAAGTTGGTTCGACTCCAAGAATCGCCTTGGCATTGCTACTTATTTTATCAACCACATACCCGTAATACTACTTTTTTCCAGAAATGAAACACCTTGCATCGTGTAGGGCTTTCCTTCTACATTAAGCTGAGACGTCGTGATATGAATGAAAAAATGTTCAAAGTTGCTCTAAAACAACGTCATAACTTACTCAGAGATACATGTACCAACAACAGACATAAGCACAACATCCGCTGTCTCATGTGCTTCACAACTAACCAGTACTTTGTTTAACGTTATGTTAGTTTTAATAATCTTTCATTTGCTTACCAGTTTCATTCATTGTTCTAAGAAACGACCCTTTCTCCATATTGTCTCCTGTTGGTCCGATTGACGATCGCTTTGACCTTGTTTGATGCGATGAACCATCATGGACGCAGAACTCAACATGACCGGAAGTGACATCAAAGAATGGGAACCCAGCGCATGCACCAAGTTCTGACAGTCTCTTCAACAACGGGGTTGACGATTCCAACTGCAGTGATTTAGTTCTGTTCGGATGTTCAATTGTCAGCGCCACCTGTAGAGCTCTTCCGGAATAGTGAAGTGACGATGCGCCATGACTTCCGTGAGGGTGATCTGACGTTGGTTCATCCCATGCTTCAAGCACCACCAGCTTTCCTGTATTATATGCAAATTGTAGTTATACTTTGTGATAAAATGCATATTGTGAATCCACAACTGACTGCCTATGTTTCCCAGTTCTTCTTCTCTCTGAAATGCATGATATTTCGTTCCTTCTATTGTGTTTAAGATATATGCAAAAATCTACGTTCACTTTGTCTACTTAAGGACAACTATTGTCTAATGAACAATTGAATCAGAATACATATTCCCATGTAGGCATAACATGTATGTCTAGACTCTTATCAGTACTTATGCTAGTACTTATGCCAGTGAGCGTTGGTATACACCTCCTCTAGTCGTCATCTCATTGTTTTGAAGGTGCCTTCATTTTCCTGATGAGTTCTAATGTAATCAAGATTACTGGCGTTCAGTTAGAATGCATTGAATCCGATGCGGTGTTTTCACCTTACAATAATGACGTAACAATAATCAACGTCGCGAGTGTTATTAAAACGAGTTCTCACGGTTTGGCCATTCCTGTGCGGCAAACTGTCCAAGTGTAGTCAACGATGCTGCTGCTGCAGACGTCATTAATCTGTCTGCACAAACATCGGCCTCACTGTCGCCGTTATCACTCCATACACATGTACGACAAGGTCGATTTGACGTTCCACACCAGCTTGCACTGACCGTTTCTTCAGACCGAAACAGGATGAAGTCCCCTCCAATCAACGTTAACCTAAGAACGTAATGTCTTCATTCATTGTCAGGAATTTCACGACTACCTGAACTTAATGATACTCAAGTTATTGAAATTTTGTTATAATGCATTGCGTTAAAAAGCTTTGATATAATGTACCATTGTTGGGACTGTTCCCAGGAAATAGGTGAGGTGAAATTGGGTTGAACGTCGTATTTAAGATTATTTCGCTCATAAGACGACGTGCATGCGTGTGTATGTGTGGCTGCTTGTACTAGCCCAGACTTAAGCCGGTTTTATAGTGCAAGCGAAATGAGATATTATGCCGCAGTTAAGCATGAATACCCCGCTCAGTACATTATACTGACTCCGAGCCGACCAGTCGTTATTGTACCCATTAATGTCGAGCGCCAGGCAGGGACCAACAACTACCATATTTTATCGTCTTTTGGCATGACGCGCCCTGAGTTCGAATCCACGACCTTCCGCTCTACGGTGGTCCCCGTGAATTAGTATGACTTCCAAACATTTTTATGATGTCACACATCAGTGTATCCTCCAAGTTACAATACGCCACACTGATTCTTCACTCTGCAACGTGAAAGCAGAATTTGAACAGTTTGAACACAAATTGTTAAGAACCACAGAAAAACATTTCCATCAGCTATCTGACAAGACCATACCACAAGCGTATGGTGCAATAGTAAAACATAGCGTGACCTTACTTCTTAAAATTGCCATCTCCTCTGACGATGGCGTGTCCAGCTGCACCACAAACCGCTTCCATGGTCTTCCCTTGGACATCAGCGACTGGAGCGCCACAATTTGCAGAGCAGACGCTAGATAGTGTGTCTTTTACCAAAGACTTATGGATGACAGTGGTAGCTACTAATCCCAGATCCCTAAAATATTATAAAAATACCTATGTCAGATCAGTGCAGTAGTACCAGATCATGTTTAACTGTCTGGATTTATAAATTGTTGTAAACATTAATAATTGAACTATTTAGTGTCATATCAGAACAACATCATGTTTAGCAATGGCAAACATCATTAAACATTAAACAAGATATAACAAAATATAATCAAATTAATGAATTTACCATACGGTTTTGTGGAAAGCTTTAGCCACAAAATCCGACTTGTCGTAGGTAAATACCCCGTCAACTGTAAGCGAGGTGTTTTCACATCGACTGTACTCATCCTCGGTAGTACGGGCGTACATAACAGGCCTGAAACTTGCAACTTCCGGCGGCGTGAACACCAGAGACACGTCATGCTGAGACCACTGTACTGAAGTTCGTAGAGTAACCTGACAGATAAGACGAGGCTTATTATATAAAATGAAACATGATAGATAATGAATATTATTCCCATTATTGTAAGTTGAAGAATGGTGAAATGGTGTTTGACATCGCGTTCAATATTCTTTCACTTATGTAGCGACGTACATGCACTCTTTTGTGTTGCATGACTGTTGGTGCAAGTCACATTGGACATTTGCTATTGTTACATTGCTAGCCGATGGAGATATAATGCCACACATACCGTGACCACCCCTCCCAGACACAAATCTTTGTTTTATCCGCTTAATGACACTGGTCAGGAAGAGTGAAAACTAGAACGTAATTTTACGTGGGTCGAACCATCGACCTTTGATATCTCCAGTCGGGGTTCATGTTATCACTGGTGTCAAGCATAGTGGTACCAGTTGTAACATTGATCCACGATATTTTTTCTCCTGTTATTGAGGGGATAAAACCACATAGATAATACGAGATTTGACATTGACACCTACGGTCGGTATTCATGGTAGCATTTGTGTCCTGCACATTGGCACCCATATGAACAGTGAACCACGACATTCTGTACTCCCGTTATTGTAAGGATAAAACCACATAGATGATACAAGAATTGATATTGACACCTACGATCGGGCTTCATGCAAACATTAGTGTTCAGGATATTGGCACCCATATAAATAATGAATGTAATAGTCGTAACAGTTCATGTGCTCACCTCTTGATAAAGGGCCATCGAAAAGTTATATCTTGTTGCAGAATGGCTATGGAATGAAAGGTCTGAAGATGACCAGCCAATTGTGGTCAGGTCTGTTTTCGGAATATGTCCGGATGTTTCTGTTGAGGCTGAAAGGGAAACATGATTTGTTCAAATATGATTTTAACAAGGTTTTCGGTAGGGTATGAAAACTTGGTCTGAATTATAACGACCGGTGAAGATCCGGGGTAGAACAGGTCTTCAGCAACCCATGCTTGCCCCAAAAGGCGACTATGCTTGTCGTAAGAGGCGATTAACGGGATCGGGTGGTCAGGCTCGCTGACTTGGTTGACACATGTCATCGGTTCCCAATTGCGCAGATCGATGTTCATGATGTTGATCACTGGATTGTCTGGTCCAGACTCGATTATTTACAGACCGCCGCCATATAGCTGGAATATTGCTGAACGCGGCGTAAAACTAAACTCACTCACTCACTGAATTATAATTAGGTGCGTTGATAATTACATTTCTGTAGTCTAAATATGGAAACTTGTAAAATATGCATGCGTGCGTTATGACATAATTCGACTTCGGTATTCCTGTACAAATCTATTGCAAATGATTCAAATCTTCATGAATATTTCTCTGAAAATATGTTTTGAAAGGCAGCAAAATGTGATACGGTCACGAAACTATACTCTCCATACTCGCAGTATAATTCCCTTGTACATGGAATTTGCCATTGAAGTTGATTGGTCCATCAGATGTTGCGTTGACTTCTAAATACACAGTTTTGTCATATGAGATGACTAGTTGTATGGGTGGTAGTTTCTCATTCACTTTTGCAACTGGAATAGTCCGTAACACGGTTGTAGGTGTCTTGTCCAAGATCAGTCTTTCCTTAACGCCAAGAGCTTTTCTGAAGTCCACGTCGAAGTCAACGTTTTGGATGGTATTGACGTCACTCTGTAACATTTTTGAAGAATTACTGAAAACATCCCTACAGGGATTGTTTAACACCTAGGAACGTATTATTGTAAAACGTTAGCATTAGGTTTTAAGTATGCATTAACGTATGTCAAATATTTCAGAATTACTGAAAAGTGACTTAAAAGTATACCATTAAAAAAAAGTAGGGGATATTCCAATTTTCGAGCAAACCACTAGCCAATGCCAATGCCAATTCATATGAGAAATGAGAAAAGAAATTATATACAGATGAAACATTTCCAAAGGAATGGAATAAATTGTCACATTTTCCCTTACTTTCTCTTCATCATCTGTTTCCTCCTTGGTTTCATTTTCATTTTATCAATCTTGTAAATCCAATATCCCCTACTTATTTTAATGGTATATCTAAAGTTAATTGCATACAACCTGTATGAGGAATTTGTTAACAATAGCTGTCGTGTTTCGTCTCTCTACGTTGAGGTCCCTGCAACAATAGATAATTTTTTTTATAAATAATTTGTCAGTATCAGTGAAACATTAGTAGGTGATGTGTCATTTTCTGAATAAATTCACTCTTTACTACTGTATTGAAAAATGTCCTGTGTAATATGGGTGATTCACAGTTCTCAATGTTTCTATATTGTATTATTATATATTATCTATTTTTATTGATATAATGACTTATTGCATAATAATACTTACATTGTATGCCCTATGTGTCGTACTTCAAAACAATCCTTACAGTTCAGGCGAAAGTCAACATCTCGTGGAATGGCACTGGTTTTACCTTTGACGATATTTTCGACCTTGACCTCCTTTTTACCTTGCTCCTTGTATACACTGTATGTATTACTTGATTGACCAGTCTTGGGATCAAGATTAAAGTTGATGGATTCATCACGATCAGTGGCATGGAAGTTGATTTTGTCCAAGACGTCAGACAGAAGATTGGACACATATCTCTTCTGGCGATGACCATGTTTGCTGGTTATGTGGGGATATCTAAGGAACACTTGTGCCTCCTGAAGTAGGCCTAAGGGGCTGAAAAATTGATAGATGAAAATCGGTAAATGAATATCAACTGAAATCGTGACACTAAAACACATTATTGGTTTGAGGTATGGCACTTGTGGATTGGTTACCTGACGTTGATACCCTCAACCTTGACCTTTGTACGACTGACGACATTTACGCGTTGTATTTTTCGTATAATGGCCACGTGTTTGACGTCCAATCCGTGTCTTTGTCTGACATTGGTGCTCATCAGATACCATCCCTTTTGCCATCTGTAAGCAACGGAAGTGTCTCGAAGATTCACGATTATCTCCCCTTTGCTGTTTTCGGCAACCTTTGAACAGTTAGAAAGTACGTTTCAGTTGTAAGGTTCTTTAAATGTTGCATGCGGCCATTGAATAATGGGTATACTATTTCATGGCTTAAAATTGGGAAGACCAGTGAAGATCCGTGTTAGAATTGATCTTCAGTAAACCATGTTTGTCGTAAGAGGCGACTAACGGGATCGGGTGGTCAGGGTCGCTGACTTGGTTGACACATGACATCGTATCCTAGTTGCGTAGATCGATGTACATGCTGTTGATCACGGGATCGTCTGGTCCAGACTCGACTATTTACAGAGAGCCGCCATATAGCTGGAATATTGCTGAGTACAGCGTAAAACTAAACTCACTCACTCACTCACTCAAAACATTGTTGACCACATATGTTGATTCATGAAAACCGATGGCATTAACATATGAATAGTTAACAACAAGTAATATATATGTTATATGCATAGAAACATGTGAAACACTGACTGCTTCTAATAACGAAACCATCAGTAACTCCGTCATCAGTTTCTTTATGCAATTTCTATTTACTCAAAATGTACATACACTGACGTCAGGCAGGACATCGAGATTGACGATGTGTGACACGAGCCCTTTGGAGTCCAGTTCCCATTCAGCATTGTCGTCAACGTCGTTGCCTCGACTTTGGTGTTTAAATCGACGCCCGCCATTGACAGTGCTAACACAAACTACACAGAAAACAATCCATAACGGTACAATCTTCATGATGTTCCTTCCTGTGTGAATAGTCGCTGTGGTTTTTCTGTTGAAATCAAACCAGTTCTATTTACCGGTTACGGATTGTACAGTCCAACCAAACTAATATGTACATCAAAAGATAAGCTATTCAAGGGAGGCATTGAAGACTAGCGAAATATATATGTAAATATGTGATATTATTCACAGAATGTACATCGGAGCTCATAAATGTTTTCTTTACGTTATATTTTCCCCATTTTCCAAAATGTGATTGAAGGTGGGCGTATTTCTTTAGTTATCACATCCATGTTTGTGGAATGTTTACTTGCGAATAGTGCCAGTTCAATTCAATTCTTTATTCTCATAAACCACCTTGGTGGTACAAGAGCATGTATTGTAAACATATATACAAATACAGATTCAAATTCAAGATAGCAGAAAACAACATATAAACATTTTTTTTCTGACAAGAGGTGATATATGTACGATATATTTTGATAGATGTACTATGTCTCGAGATGTTTTTACAGATAATGTTTTCGTGAACTATATTTCATTCATTTTGGGAAAAGAGGTTAGATGGGTGGGTAAATATTGTTTCCTCAAAGTATCTTATGCTTTGCAATGAAAAATATAACGATACTCATCTGTGATGCTTTTAGAAGTGTAGAGTTGACACGTTCTCTCGTCCCTCGTACCAGCGGCCCGTCTCAATAGGTAAACTATAGTTACATGTTCTGAATCTCAATAATGGTAAGAAATACGTTTAGGAAGGAACAGATATACGTCAAAATTAGGAAATGGCTTCAGGTGCTGATAGAAAATTCCCTTAGGACTAGAAATAATGTCATTGTGCCAGTTTGGGGTAAATTGATCTTTAAGAATATGTTCAACTATTGAGTTGAGGGATTTTCAAAAACATACGAGAGTTCAGTATTGTCTCATATATTTTTAACGTGCAAGAGACAGGGATTATTTTTTATTTATTTATTGTTCTTTGAAGTGATAAAGGAGATGTCAAGGAGATTCGGGGGTATTGCATTGTGTGTTCATTTTGGTAGACGAGGGATTTCGGACCCAGGGGTCTCACCCCATGTTTGAGGCCTGCACGTGTTATCAAGGTGACTTTGATTCGTTAAGCGATAAGAAAACCGGTCAAGTCAGAAGTAAGTCTTTAAGTACCAAACTGATTATCAGATCGAACGTCCTTGGCTCATTTGTTTCACATGTTTTAAAAAGAGAACAGAGTGACCTAGTTAAGTCGGTTGCGTTTCGGGGACGTTTTATTTTGTAATCAACCTGTGAAGTTTCGGGTTAGAATTTGTCTTCAGCAACCCGTGCTCGTCGTAAGAAGCGACTAAAGGGATTGAGTGGTCATCCTCGCTGACTTGTTTGGCACATGTCATCGTAAAATTGTGTAGATCGATGCTCATGCTGTTGATCACTGGATTGTCTGGTCCAGACCCGATTATGTACAGACCGCCGCCATATAACTGGAATATTGTTGAGTGCGGTAATCAATCTCATTAAGCATTAGTTTGGGTGTTCCTGCCATACACATTTCACATTTGCATTTCCGCCCAGAGGAATATGCTACCGTATATATCCGAGACTGGTGATTTCCTTGCGTTGACGTTTAATATATACTTGAACTTGGTAGATTATTCCGATGGTGGACAGAAGCTTACTGGTTTCATCATGATGAATATAAGCGACAAAATCCATAAGTACATCCATAAGAAATATTTGCTGAAAGCAATCGATTAGCAATTCCGACTGCATAATGAGAATGTTTTTAAGAAACAGTATCTAACAGTGATGTTACCAGGTGTTCGCGAAAGGGTAAAGGTGTCCTGTCAGACCGGTTCAGTAATAACGGCAGTTATACTGATGCAACAACAAAGGAAACGTTTAGCTGGGGACATTACATCTGTCCATACTGTGTACAAAGCGAACAGATTTCTTTACCATTTCTCCTCACCTATCAGCAGCAGGGGTAATTCACATTTTGATTTTACTTTCAACAAAATCAGTAAAACGCGATCTTGTTACTGGACGCTCTAGCCTTTTACTAGATGTCAGGGCAACATAACATGCTGCCAGGAGTACTTCTGTGAACGTCAAATAGCAATCAAACAATTATTTTTGAAATGCAAATTGTCTGAGCGGTGGCTCAGGCCGGTAGGGCAGACCATACTTGTCATTTCTCTGAGAAAACCTCGAGACTGATTGTTCCCTGGCGTTGACGTTGTATGTGGTTAACACACTGCGTTTAATCTGTGTACATGGGAAAACAAAGAAGCGAAACTGTCAAGACGCCTCGAATATTACAAGACACCTGCAGATTCTTTCTCACATAACTGATCATTATGTTCTTCCAAATTCAATATTAATGTCAATAATGCTTTATTCGACATATATAATTCTCATATTGTCTTTTGACCCGTGAAGATCCGGGTTAGAATTGGTCTTCAGCAAACTATGGTTGTCGTTTGTAAAACCTACGCTGTCAAGCACAAACAGTGATACTTAAGTTGAAAACTGTTAATAAATTTGAAACAAATATATACATACACTACATCCAGCTATAATCTCGCGCTACAGATCAGCACAAAGTATTGTTTTATGAACCTGTATAGAGATAAACATTATTATGAAATGTATGAACCTTAAGTGACAGAAGTAACAGACAAAGCAGGAGTGATTAGTTTTAGTTTCGCATTTTTAGTTTCGTATCACTGGGTTGTGCTTATAACTACTGTTATGGGCGACAAACGGGATCGGGTGGTCAGACTCACTGACTTGGCTGACACGTGTCACCGTATCCCAATTGCGTTGATCGATGCTCATGCTGTCGATGACTGGATTGTCTGGTCCAGACTCGATTATATACAAACCGCCATCATATTGCTGGAATATTGTGCGGCGTTAAACAACCAACATAAAACCTAGACAGTGGTTAATGTTCAGATACCAATATTCAGTTGTGTCATAAAAGCTTGTAAATATTCGAATCTGGACAAGGGGCGGTGGGGTAGCCTAGTGGTTAAAGCGTTGGCTCGTCACGCCGAAGACCCGGGTTCGAATCCCCACATGGGTACAATATGTGCAGCTCATTTCTGGTGTCCCCCGCCGTGATGTTGCTGGAATATTGCTAAAAGCGGCGTAAAACCAAACTCACTCACTCATTCACTCGAATCTGGACAAGGTCATTTCGGGATTGAAACCATTAAACCAAAGGGATATAGCTTTATCAGATGATATTATCATTTATCAAACAACCGTTGCATGTGACAGTATTGGGGTGATTTAATGTTGAAAAGGGACTTGTTTCTTGGCGTGAAAGCTATTTACAATACGGGGCACCTATGAGGGAGGTCCTGCAAACACGAGTGAATGGCTTTTACAAGGTGATAAAAAATTAGCAAGTAAGGGGAATTCATTTATCCACTGTCACAACTTATTCGGTAATCTACGCAAAGAAATAAATTGAGAACAACCTATGAGTTGAGATTACACTGTTGTGGGGGTCACGTTGTAAGTAATGTCATTTGAAGTGTTTATGTAACAAAGATAGAAGTTAAACAAACACTTGAAGCCATAGATATTATCGGGTCGTCTAGCATAGGGTAATTTGATCACTTATGCCATGATCTAAGAAATGTATAACAAGATCAAGGTTATTTGATAGGAGCATGATCATGCTGAGTTATATGCTCCCATGTGCCAACCAGTCCACCAACGTATATAGAACACTCTTTATTCAACTACAACCGCTTCTGGACAAAGGCAAATCTTACCCAAATAGTACGCTGATTGACCTTATTCGTCCAATCTTTCACTTCCAAACTTAAGCAACAAGTTTCACTGCAGTTTTACAAAGGAATATTTCATTTCAGCCGAGTGTTATTGATGCCATTGCAAGGAAAAAACGGTCACGGTGGTCTGGAAGTTTAATGTTTAGCTATCAGTAAAGGGATGGTTTGTTCGGCACCCATGCAGGATCCGCTACTCGGGGTTCTGAGATTAAAATTCGATCCCGTTATAATCCTTTATTTGCCAGTACTATTCTCGTCACTGAATTTGTCAAAGTGGTGACCAGGACACGTTCGGTGCTGTCGGCTTCGGCTAATACTGAAATTGCTACAGCATTATGATAGTGTCATAAACTGAAAATGCAAATACTTTAAACAGAACGTCGATTTCGTGGGGCTGTGGTTCGAAACCAAAACCAAGAAGTGTACCTCGTTAATTATCGTTTTAGATAATGTGATAACCTCTTATTACATATTATTACATAAAAATTTATTAAACATTAATATAACAGTTAAATTGTTTTTTTAATTGCATATCAAGCTGCGTATAGGACATCCTAATGTATACCGTATAAGGTACCGTCATATCATTGAACGATTTACCTTCTTCTAAGACCAGTACTTGGAAGGAACAGTCCATTTGTGGTTCGACATGCTGACACAGCCGTTTGGTCCATATAAGATGGAGCATATATTAGGTGGCAAAATTAATTTACAAGGCATAATCTCAAACTTTCGTTCATGTATTGTATGTTTTATGTGCATCTACCATTTGATTACACCATGTTATTACTATATTGCTTGTACTTGTAACATCATCATGGATGTCAGCGGGTGCCAAAGCGCGTTCTGACGATAATCTGACTTTCAGCTTTGCTGTCCCGTCAGTCAAACCCGAAACGTTATTATGTCACTGTGTAGAGAAGATACGGGGTATAAAGCCACCCTTCGATCATTGTAATGTTTTCTGATATATGAGGGAACGTCCAATGAAATGTCGGCTAGAGTAGACTTCAATTGCTCAAAGAAACTCAAACTGATGTCAATGAAATCTCAGTTTTCGATCAGCCAAACATTCAACCATCTACAAAACCATCGCCAGGGCGATTCAGATATATGTGAAATCATTTGTTTCTGTCTTTTGTTTCTGATTTATTAAGAATGTTCATAACAGAATTTAAAACGACATCTTTGAAGGGATCACCTCGGCAGACCACTGTATCTACACCCTCATGCTTTGCTTCGGAACCTGAAGAAACATACTTTCAAAGGGACTTTTCATGTGGACCGATACGACCACTTGCAGGGGTTGACTTTATTAAATCAAAACGCATATATCGTGTGTTAGTAATATACTGTAATATTCAACCATAGGATGTTGGTCTTTTGCGTTTTCTATAAATTACCACAGTGTTCGTGTTCGTGTGTTGGTGGTGGTCACATGTCATCATATCCCAATTGCGTAGATCGATGCTCATGCTGTTGATCACTGGGTTGTCTGATCAAGGCTCGATTATTTACAGACTGCCGCCATATTGCTGGAGTATTGCTGAGTGTGGCGTAAAACAAAACTCACTCACTCACTAAAGATATGAACGTCTTATATTGCTGGGTTGTTTTGCGCCTCCCCCAGCTTCCCAAGCTCTATGTAAAAATACTTGATTTATAACTATTCAAACCAATGATTGATGGTTTGAACACTTAACCAGGCAGTTGAGGCACGATGGCCTGCTAGCAACACAACGTTAATGCATTAGTCCACGCGATCCATTTGGTCGCCCAGCATGTCCCGTGTGAGTGAGTTGGGTTTTACGTTTTACAATATTACAGCAACTTCACACCAGAAATGGGCTTCATACAATGTACCCATGTAGGGAATCGAACTCGGGACTTCGGCGTGACGAGCCAACCATCGCCCCTCAGTAGTATACATGTGGGTTGATTCAATTTGTGTGACACATTCAAATTCATTCAGAGTTCTCATTTTTGGAAGACTGCATACATTGCCTGCAAAATATTCAAATCAGTTACACTTGTATGGTCGTTGTTATACTAATGATGTGTACAAAAACCACACATCCATACACTATACACCAAGAGAGAGTGAGTATGAATTTTCGCCTCTTTTAGCAATATTCCACCAATATCACTGCGGGGAACACCAGAAATGGGCTTCATACATTGTACCCATGTGGGATTCGAACTCTGGTCTTCAGCGTGACGAACGAACGCTTTAACCACTAGGCTAACACAGCGATCTATAAGAACAAATGCAAACTTCGAAACCTTTTACATGCAGACAAAGCTTTTATTCGCACTGTTTATTTACTTGATAATATATTCTGTATATCAATGAACATTTACATTTATTGAGACATCATCTGTACATAAGAACTATGCTACTTGATATATTTGAATACTTATCACTCATCATTACATATGGTAAAACTGTTGCACGTTTGCACATGCAGGTTCCTGCCGGTTTATTCATTGGAATGATCAATATCAACCTGCACACTAATATTTCTTCAGGCATCGCATAAATTTCCCCAATAATTACACTCAAACTTTTAGAATCAACGCTAAACTAAAGCAACCGAATATGGATTTTAAGCATGGTGTTCGTCGTGGAGGGCAGGAAGTTTTGTGGCGCTGACATGATCAGCGCAGACCGTGTCGGGCTGACAGAACTTGTAGGAAACCCTGGCATTCAGGACAACTTGTACACCTTCTGCAGCCTTGCCCGTGACCTTGACCCTGTACATGAGGGTCCCCTTGAACTCTGACAGGAAGTGCATGGTAATTTTGGAGACCTTCTTCTGAGGAATTTCCCTGATTTCAGAGAATTGGGTTTTCCATGTCGAGTCTGGTAACGCTGCTGGTTTGACTTCAAAGAAATGAAGCGTTGTGTTCAGGGGCGTCAGCTCGAATCCGATATCGTCTACGTTGGTCCAGGATGCTGCGACAACGTAGCCGAGATCAACAACTGCTGTCTGGTAGGGCATTGGTCTTGTGATGTCGAGCTCCACGTTGTCATTGTTGTCTACTCGGAACATATCACTGTCTGGGGGAACGTAGTACAAGATTGGTGGTCCGTTCACTGCAGTGACGATGATGGTGAGCGTGTATCTCTGAGAATTCGGCTTGAACCCTTTCACAGTGGCTTCCACAAGCTCAACCTCAATGTGATCAGCACCACTAAAGTGAGACCTTGGTGTGTAGTCCAGGACGCCTGTGGCAAGTAGGTGAGCAGTGCCGTGTGTACCGTTGGTGTTTACCAGGTGGAATGTAAATACATCTCCTTCCGCATCTTTTGCCTTGATCTGATGATGAAGCTTCTGCCCTTCCTGAATGTACATCACATTGTCCTCCAAAAACGGTGGAGTGTTCACTAGATTGTTTTTCATGGCAAGCAAAACCAGTTTTGCCGACAGGACACCGCTTCCGCTTTGGGTCAGATTCATTTTCCCGAACAGGTCTGGACATATCTGAAATAAAAACATACACCGTCGTACAAACACGCCTTAGATAAAAACGTAGTTGTAGTCAAAATGTATCAATACTGGCCACATAACGTTGAACAATTATAATTCAATTACAATTCGACTTATGTGGCGGTGGTCTGTAAATAATTGAGTCTGGACCAGGCAGTCCAGTGATAAACAGCATGAGGATCGACGTTTGCAATTGGGATGCGAGGACGTGTGTCAGCGAACACGACCACCCGATGCCGTTAGTCGCCTCTTACGACAAGTATTGGTCACTGAAGGCAAATTTTAACCGGATCTTCACGGGTCGTATGGAAGCAGGCACCAACAGCAGGCTATGCTTTATACTTACAGGCACAATGTGCTGGTCCTCTCTCAGCAGCACTGTCTTAGGTTTGTTACAAATGTCCGGTAACTCGTGCCATACACCATCTGTGGAAAAGGAAGAAGGATGTAGCGGAACTGATTAATGGTGACTGTTTACAAACCCACGGGCAAACATTGATGCTGCACTTCCAAGACGGTTGTATCCTATTTTCGATGCAGTACGTCACTCACCCTCAGCAGGTGCTACTTGTACTACAGGGACTCCTTTCACAAAGCACTAAGGTGATCGTAAGTCACTAAGGTAACCTTAGTGCCATGCTAAAGAATGAGAGCTAAGGTTAACCTTAGTAAAGGTTGCTTCAAGAGGAGTCCCAGGTCATTGGTTTTCAAGAACTTGCGGTCTCAAAATAGGTATGAGTGGGCTTTCATGGCGCTTTGAACAACATTACATCACAGTGTGTCAGCTTAATGGGGAGGGAAAGTCCAGTGATGGCCGTCGTAGATGTTTACCACACTGGTTAAAAGCTCACCAGATGGGATTTGTACAGACAAACAGACGAATAATCTCGGCAACTGGGGTTTGACCCCACAGTTTCTGGAATGCCCAAGGGATACTCTATTTGGACAATTGGGACCCCCGTGCCTCACCCTTTCCGGTTCCCGCGCAATGTTTTTTTGACTCATATATGTTTCTCCATATAGTATAATGACATGATTGGTATGCAATACATGACTAATCGCAAAAAGTGTATAGCACGTTATTCCCCAGGGCGATGACAACAATACTTTGAAGAATTTTGAAATGGTCTTACGGCTGTCATTAAAGAACACTTTGATGCTGGTGTTGCTGTCGTGATTTGATTTCACTTTTATGTCAACATGCATTGCTTTGAGGTCTTGCGGCTTGACGCTGATGGACACAGATTGGCCGAGTTGTTCTACCAATCTGTAACACAATGGGTGAGTAATAAACATCATACAAATGCTCAGTCGCGGTAATAACCAACCATCCATTTAAGCTGTTCGTACAAACTGTGTCATATATAGCCAGTTAATATAATATGATTTTATCGCATCCAAATGCTTTCAAATTATAGACAGTAGCACCTCAAATATATATAACGGCGGACATCAATTTGCTTAGCGTTTATGAAGGCATGAACATCAAATCGGTGTGCACACTTTGTAGAAAGCAACGTGGCTTCGTAAGCCACTCCAATGTCACGGATTTACTTGCAATTTGTTTGATATTGGCTTAAACGAAACATCAAACTTAAGGGGTCCGGTGTAACGTTGACTATCACGAGTACAAGAATGTATTGACAACGGATGAACCAACCTTCCTCTGTATTGTCTGTCAGATAGTATTTTCTCCTGTTCGAAAGGAGTCACTGGTTCGCTTGCAGTTAACTGTAACTTCCCTGAAAGAAAACAGATATGTAATTAGGTGTGTTATGGTTTTACTATGGTTTAAATTGTATTTCAGTTACTGGAAGATTCCAGCTTGATGCTGGGAAACAGTGACTGAATTTACTACTGTACCACTCGAAATGCGCTTTACACAATGTACCCATATGTGGAATCGAACCCGGGTCTTCGGCGTGACGAACGAACGTTTTAACCATTTGGCTACCCTACTTCCCAATTGAAGAAAAACCGACGAGATGAAGGTCGCATGTTAACCACGCTGGAGCAGGTTGTAGTGGATGCAACCATTGCAAGTTGAAGTGATTGTTATATTTGTTGTCAGAAAGAGTGAATGAGCGAGTTTAGTATAACGCTGCTTTGAAAGGTTTCAGTTATATCACGGCATGTCGGGTTAAAGACCAAAGTGACGCGAATGTCAGACGATTGCCAACTTCTCTGAACCACAAAAGGGGTTTGCTTTGGCATTGACAAACCAACAGCTGCAAATATAGTCGCGGCCAGTCGGGATTCGAACAAACAATGATCGCTTGCTCATGTACCAAAGGAACGTAGTTCTGCACAGTGAGTTCTGTTGAGGCTTTTATTACTTGACCAAGCGTTTACGCCACATAAAATAAAAGTGAGTGAGTGAGTGAGCGAGTTTAGTTTTACGCCGCACTCAGCAATATTCCAGCTATGTGGCGGCGGTTTACAAATAATCGAGCATGGGCTAGACAATTCAGTGATCAACAGCATGAACATAGATCTAGGTGATTGGGATACGATCACGTGTAACCAAGTCAGCGAGCCTAACCACCCCGATTCCCTTATCCGCCTCTTGCGACACGCATGGGTTACTGAAGATCAATTCTAACCCGGATCTTCACTGGTTATATTAAATAAGACTGTGAAGGAAGACATTCAACAGAATATGTAGAGCCATGAGTGCGCACACAGGCCATGTCATCGTTCCTGCAGTGCGATCGTTGATTACAGAACTATTTAAAAAGTCGGTTTTTCAAACCTGTTGGTGTCAAGATCATGTGCTCCTCTGTGGCGTCAACAGTATCTAAAGTGAGCGAGAAGATCCCCTCTCTGCTCAGAGATATGTCCCTCCCTTCCAAGCCTGTAGTCGTGATAGATCCTTTGCCAAGGAACTGTGTAGATACATCGAACAGCCTTCAGAATATACATATATTTATCGATTTGTCTATATATTTTAGAATTGGAAACGAAAATGTAAAGAGCAGATAATGCCAGAGATATGGCCAATAATGACAACAGAGTTAAGAACGCTACTTTCAAAGAATCAGAATTGTATAAAATGGTATCAGATGTATTAAGTGAAATAATTTATAACTCACATCATTCCTGAACAGCTGTGCAGGAGGAGCAAACATCTTGTCATGGTCATGGTGTTCTACGAATTCTACAGCTGCAGTGAAACGTAAAAAAATCATACGGGAAATAATATCATTTAGGAACAAGCAAAGCAAAACTTTGTTCTTTACAGGCATTTTAGGACATTACTTCAAGGCTAAACCCTATCCCGCCTACCCGGAATGAAATGGTCTGCGTTGAGTAATACTAATATGTATTAGATCGCGCATTAGGGGTACGTATGTTACGTACTGCTGTACAAGGCCTTCAGTTCGGTTCGGTATATGAGAACTTACTTCCGGGAAAAAAAGCGGATTTCTTGCAAAGAAATGCAGAGATTTTGACAAAATGATTCGATTTCTAAACATTTTAGAAAAAGTTTTAAAAAGTTACTAAAATTACGGTACAAGAACCGAAAATACCGAATTTGTTTATTGCATTACGGTATACCGAACCAAAGGCAACATAGTGCCGCTCTACCGCGGTATATCGTTTCATCCCTACCCGCATGGCAAGGATGTGGAATGATTAACATTGTATACCGTATAATTGGTTGGCCATCACTTACTATGAGCATCTTTTATAGTATGCGTCTTGATTATAGTGCATGCTGAGCCTTGACATGTCGAGTTCACGACAGATATGTTTAAGGATATCATGTTGCTGTAGGTCACGTTGTTTGTAGCTCGGAAGTTCATGGTGCTTTTGTGCCGTGCATTTGGCGAATTCACGAGCGACACATTATACTTTAATTCAGTCATCGCCTTATGGTCACTGGGCTTGCTCAGTTCAACCAGCTGCATGTGCAGCACCTTTGCTGCCTCTGTATCATATACAAGACGAAGTTTGTCCACATCACGATCAGTCACAACAAAGGTACCAAGGAGAGGCCTGGTGACTGTTTTTGCGGACGATTTGGCTTCAATGTAGATAGTTTCTACATCTGCATCGTAGATTTTATTATTAGCAGTGATGAAGGTTAGTTCTGGAGGGTCGTCACGGCAGGTGACCTGGATCTGAATATCCTGGAGAACGCTGTATGGCATTGGAACTTTCTGTTCTTTCGCTTCAATTGTAACGGAGTCATTTCCACAATAGTTCTGCTCTGGACTATAGATAAGGTAGCCATCAGTAGTAACGGAAGCATTGCCATGTTTTCTTTGCGCCTTGATGGAAAAGGATATAATATCATCTTCTTTGTCTTGGACATCAATGTGTTCTGTAAGCTGTTTGTTTTCGATGGCCGTTACGGTCTTCGTCGTGACGACTGGTGGTGTGTTGTGAATATGTTTGTCCACTTCAAACAGACTCAGCAGCAGAGGTTCAGTAATCCTGATAAATTCTGTTCCTTGTATGACTTGGTTTTGACCAGAAAGGCAGAGCTGACAAAGAAACCCAAGCATTACCTCGTCGTGAATACATGTATCATACAGGCGTATGTCAACCACGACATTTTATAAACTCGTAGTCTTCGAAAGGCCCCCATCGTACTATTGGATATACAAAACTTAATAGTTTATGCACTGAGCTGAGGCACGAATGATCAGTGCACGTGGATATGTGACTTGCGTTGGCTTGGAATCAAAAACAGACTGACTGTGTATTTGTATATACGTCAAAATGTATACCATGTTGTCTTTGAATCTGAACTGTTAAGTGTAGATAGAGACACGTTCCTTAGAAATATAAGTGAAAAATATGAATTAATGAATTTGATATTAAATGAAAATGGAAATGTAAGAACATGTAAAAAAACCTTCTGACTGACATAGATAATACAAAAAGATCGATGCTACCTAAATGTTTCTCACTGTACCTTCCCAAAAGTTTCTTCCATAATTTGCTGTTCATGCATAAATAATAGAACTTGCACTCCACTTGTGAAAATATCACGGAGAAAGGATCCTAACCCGTACACAATTCCATTGACAGTTTTTAAAATAAAACTACAAATAATAAACACAAAATACAAGTGTCCCTTGATTGAATAAAACATTGTATCATTTACCTTTCCATTCGTGATGTCCGTGGGGGAAATCTTTGAACAGGTGTCGGTGAAATCCCATTGCTGTATATCTGTCGGCATATGCAAATACATAAAACATTATTATACTGATATTACTATTGTTTCATGATAAGCGGAACGGTTTGTCAATGTGGTGAAAGTGTTTCTAGTAAAAAAACAAACCAAAATCAGACCTTTATTCCACGCCAACAGTGAAATGGAACTGTTGTCATTTGTAGGTGTAAATCCATGAGCACTGATGTTCAACACTGGTTCCACCAATGCTTCTTTGGCTGGCGAGATGTAGAATGACAGTCCAACTGGTTTTATTAGCCTGAAGCAGGGTAGAGGAATACTCATTAGCATACTCAAATCTCTGCATTAGTAATTGAGATTTCATAGAATTAAAGATGATGTGACACGCACAAACAGAATGCGCCTCACTCTTTTCTACTATATGTTCTTACCTCCCATATAATAGCCTTGTCGTAGACTGCAAAGACTCCTCCGGATCATGAAGGTAAGGGACATATTCAGCTGAAGCTGCACTTCCATAGATCTGGGAGAGGTCGGTTGTGTTTAAGGTCCCAATCAGGAGACTTCCATTGTAGCCTGTGTAAATAACATCAATTGCTAGCAGCAAGGCAACTGACAGAATTACTGAGCTAAACGACGGAAGGAAGTCGTCATTTCCTTTCCGTTATATATTTACATGGTACAATAATACGATAACAATATGATGCATAACTTTTTAAGTGGCATTTAGAAGTTGGTATGATGTAGAGGAACACTTTTTATGGATAGGCAACTTCTTTATTGAAATAGATGCGACATTTCAGTGTAGAACCTAACACCGTTATCAAGCAATTGATACACATCACACGGCTTCAGTCATCATGTCAACATACTGTATATCAACCTCTTCAATTGTATAAACTTAAATATCCTTCATGTATATATTTCTCCTTGTTGTCATTTGCTTGATAACGATGTTAGGATCTACACCGAAACGTCGCATCTATTGCAATAATGAAGTCTATCCATAAATAAAAGTGTTCCTCTTCAATGAGTCTTCATGATGCATAACACTTTTGTATATACAGATGCAGTAAATGATATGCATTCACAAAACATTTAGCATAAATAATGCCTAGAAACAAAGATGCCCAGGTAGTTGTATACTGTTCCGTTTCCTGAAATAATTACCTTTCACGGACAGCGACAGAGACCTGTTGCGATTGCCCAGTGTTGGTTCAGCATTTATCACATGTGTTTTCTCGACATTGTAGTGTTCTTCAAATTCCACCAGAGTGTCACCATTTCCTGACATAAAAATAAAATATAATCAGTTTATCATACAACTATATTAGTATGTATACATATATTTAATACACATTGGGACCCGTGTTGAGATCCGGGTTGTGTTTGGTCTTCAGCGCGGTGGGCCAGCTGGCAAAGGCGCCAGGCTAGTGATCCAGCGAAGCTGAGGTGTCGGGATCGAGCCCACCTGTGACCGGGTGTAAAAACCTAGTTGCGGGTACAGCAACGTGCAGTGAACTTGGACAAAGTACTGTGACTATGTGTCCCAGTCCACCCAGCTGTGGATGGGTACCTCGTTAGGATGAATAAGCCACAATAACTCGGTGCGCCTAGTGGCTGCTAGGGAGTTGAGATTGATAACACGATGTGCCGTTAAGATTGACATCCAATGATGGAGGGAAAAAATACCAGCGCCTTGAGCAAGCACTAGTTGCCTGGATATGTGCGCTATATAACTATCGTATTTTGTCGTAACAGGCAAGGATCAAATGGTCTGACTTGGTTGCCAAGTGTCATTGTTTCCTATGCTCATGATTATGATCCCTGGAATGTCTGGTCGAGACTATATTAATTACATACCGTCGCCATATAGCTGTAATATTGTGTCGTGTTAAACTAGTTGCAAGTCTTGGTTAATAAAATGCAAAGAAATCAAGAAAGTAACTGACAATGTAATCAAACACCCATTGTCATTTTGAGGTTCAATTGTATTCATTCTATTTGATAATCATTTTTTTTTGAAAATTTCGGTTTCAGAATTTCATCCCAAGAGCCCTACTTCGTAAAAAAATAACACAATGTGAAGGCTGTAAACGGGTAATGCCAAACCGTTTGACCTGAACTTGTATCCTGAGCCTCTTGACTAAAACGATATCAGATGGCAGTCGATATCACCGATATTTGTGTACATTCATTTTTGTCTCTAATTTGATCTCGATTCCCCACATGGGCACAATGTGTGAAGCCCATTTCTTGTGTCCCCCCGCCGTGATATTGCTGGAATATTGCTAAAAGCGGCGTAAAACTACATTCAGTCAGTTAGTCAGTCTAATTTGATCCAGCATAATGCAGCTTCATCTCCAACTATTTTAACAACGATGTTAAGGCGCAAAATCTAAAACGGCATCAAAGCATCAATGAATGAGACCGCTTGATATACACAACCCTAATGGAATGGCGTTCACCTCTGAAACGGAAATAAAAGCAACAAGATCCTTTCCAATGTAAAAGAAATCACTGGTCAAGGCAGAGTCGTTTCCAACTAAATCTCGAAACTGCTATGAAATTGAGATGATTCAAGATCAGCGTATCCTGGCCTACCTGTGTTACCATCACAAACACGTGCAGAGGCAAGTAAACTGTGCAACTGAAACGCGACGGGACTATGTGATTGTCAGAGCAGCTCATTAAAATATTACATACCGTAATTTCAAAACAAGACTTTCTTCTTTGGAAACACATGGAGTTTGGTAAATGGTGACTATATTTTCTTGTTTAATGACCATATGAAGGTTGGCATCTTATTTTAGCACGGAAATATGATAATCTATTTCATTCGGCTAAATCAATGTGATACGACGAAAGCCAGGCAGATCTTTCTTCTATCCCCTTAATGCCATAAAACAGATACCATCCTCCAAGTCCTTTCCACCTTCCGGATTTAGACTAGTTAACCACATGTTTAGTCATAAGGCATCATCTTCCCCCATGAAATAATGATATCAAACTATCAACAACCCCTTACATGAGACCTGTGAAGATCCGGGTTAGAATTGATCTTCAGTAACCCATGCTTGTCGTAAGAGGTGTCCAACAGGATCGGGTGGTCAGGCTCGCTGACTTGGTTGACACATGTCATCGTATCCCAATTGCGTAGATCGATGCTCATGCTGTTGATCATTGGATCGTCTAGTCCAGACTCGATTATTTACAGATCGCCGCCATATAGCTGGACTATCGCTTAGTGTGGTGTTAAACTAAATTCACTCACTCACTTCCTGACATGAAATACTGAAATACTTACGTTTAATGCAGACTGGTTGTGTGAAAACAGGAACAGAAACATGGGAACGCCCCACACCATGAAGACTGTGGTAGTAGCATCTTCCTGGCTCCAGCATCAGGAAGGACCCGTCTGCTTTGGGGGTATTTTTGTCTGTGCCGTTAGTATTGTAATCACTCAGTGAGATGTTTGTGATTCGTCCATCGACCATCAACTGTCCTTCTGTGATAGCAATTTTGGATTCTGATCTTGTTGCCACCTTGATGATGGGGAAGACGTCATCAGTTGCAGGTTCAGTGCCAATAGTCCATTCTAAAACAAAACAGGTTGGAATGCAATACACAAACTCCGCTGTGTGTCGTCTCTTCTTAATTGTTTTAATAGTGTTTCGTTCTTCAAATGCGTATGATTACACATGATATATGGTTTTGATTTGGAACCCTTTGCTTGATTTATAGGGCCCGTGAGTAGGTCACTTCTCGCGAGACCTTAGTACTTCCAACGACACACAAGGTATCATACATTTTCGAATGGTCTCATGGTTTTCTGTTTACAGTAAGGAACGGATAATCCTTGAAGGAATAAAAAATGTCCGATCTAACCATTCCCCAATTAGCCAACTATTACGACTATCAACAGCTCTGACAGCCAAGCATGGTTGTGCAGTTGGTCCGGTCTCGTGAAGTCATATTTGGCGATCGCGCAATTTGGAACCAGGACTGGTTCTTGAATATACGCTTGCCACCGGCAAATCTGGTACCGGAAATAAGTTGGGCCCCGTCTCGCATATCGCAAGTTGGCACGCGCAAAGGGAGCCAGGAACCAGCTTAGTACCGGAAGTTGCGCCTCGCGAGACTTACGGGCCTTATAACTATTACTGGTCCACATTACAATAGGATATAGTTATTAACTCACCATAGTAAACGGTGCCATGTCCAGCATGTACATCAAGACCGATTTTGTGCTGCGACGATGTCAGTGCCACGCCATGCTTTGTTAAACCTGAGGTAAAGAGACTCTGTGTGTAGGCGCTAGAAACAGCAGGTGCCCCCACCATGACCGTCACATTGCATGTCGTCTTGGCTGATGATCCTGCTGAATTTATAGCTGTCACGGTGACGTAGTAAGTTTTGCCATCATCCAGGATCGCATGCTCCAGTGTCAAACCAACCTTTCTCTTTAATCCAACCGATGTCGCATTCAGAATATCGTTTCCGCCTTCCTTTCTGCCGATCTGCACTGTGTATTCAGCTATCTCACTGACATCTTCATTGCATTCCCAGAATGCCCCAACGCTGTTATTGGAGCCTATGAAGGTAGTCGGTTCGTCCAGAGAATGTCGAGGATCAACACACATCATGTATTCAAATTTGGGCGGAGTGATGTCAACTTGGAAAGCATTTGAAATCGCAACTGTTGACTCATCTGCAAAGTTCACAGCCTTCACGCTGATATAGTATGTTGGAGCTTTATACTCCATCAGTTTCGAGGCGTCGGAGTTATTATTCTCAGGTAGTTTTTCACTATGTTCCAGGGCTATATGGTTTAGTTCAAGTGACAAAACATCCAGTGTGTCAAGATTTGAAACAGTGCAGTTGGGATCACACACTTCTTTACATACATCATTACAAGGAAGACAAAATGTTGATTTCAGCTTAAATGGGACCACATTGTCCACAGAAGATTCATTTGATCCAACTCCCATCCATATTTCCTTTATTCCGCTCTCGCCATCAAAGAATGGTTTGCCATGTAAACATTCTTTATCAGTTGTATCAGGTACTGAAACATAGCTTAACAGTGCCTGAGCGAAGAATGGATGAAGGGGATCTCGTACAGGAGGCTTGTAATCATTGAGATTGTGTACACGGTAGATGATACTTGGTTTTCCAGAAAATGTGTAACCCTCAATATCTGCTTTGCGATGACCTTCAAAGAAAAGAGTGGTCCTCCATGTGGTTTTGACATTGTCTAAATTCTTCTTGAATCCGAGGCAGATTTCATAAACGTAGTCTGACGGATCTTCCGGTAAGTCAAACCAGGATTCTGTTTCCTTATTGTCATCCTTTAAACAGATACGTCCTTTCCAAGCATGAGTACCATCATCATAACCATAGAAGAAGACTGCGACTCCTGGTGATGATAGACACTGAGTTACTTCATCAGTTTCATTGGAAGTTGCATTGGTGTCTTCAGGTACATCGTTGTCATCAAGTCTTGGTATTTCCTTCAGGACTGGGGTTTGATACGTTGCAATGTCAGAAAAATCCATATGTAAGGATGTGATGATGTTCTGTCCCTTGGCACTTAATAACATGAATGTATAGTTTCCTTCCGATAGAGAGTCCTCAACGTTAAGGAACACACCACCACGTATGATATTTTCTAAACCCTTATCATACGTGAGGGCAACTCTTGCAAACCCATCAATAAGAGCAGAAGAGGGAGATATGTCCGACCTGGCAAGGGTTTTCCAGTGTTCTTTGCCTAAAGATTTAGGGAATATTTCCTTACTCCGTTTGCATTCTGAAGCTCTCTTGTCTCTTGCAAGTGCTGTTTGCACAACCACCTTGTCAGGTTGACTTTGGAAGGTCCTTGATGTGTACCAGTCCCTACCAACCTTCACAGTCCCTGCTTGTGGCCTTGAGACATCAATGAGGACAGGTACTGTTGCAGCTGTCGTATTCAGACCAGCTCCGTTGATGGCAGTTATTGTAAACGTATACATCAGAGTAACAGTGAGATCCAAACGGTAGAGAGTGGTGTGTGTGATATTGTAAACATCCATTTGTTTGATAAGTTTCTTCTGTTGGTGCAAGCAAGGTTGTTCCGAGTACAGTTGTAAGTGGTATCTTTGAATACCACTCTCACTGTCCGTAAAGCCATCCCAGTGTAAAGTCACCACGTCTCTGCTGCTGATGTACACAACCCTTGTACTCTGACCTCCTTGTACAGATATATGACCTTGTGTAGGCGGAGTTGTGTCAATGGTAATAGGACCTTGAGAAACCCCAATGCAAGAGTCAACCTTGTCATGGGCAATCACTGTCACATAATAGGACTGACCCTGTTGGAGTGTAAGGTTGTGCATATGCACTACAGTGTCTAGTCCCGCAGATCTGAAGGATGCATTGTAGGAGGGAATAGCTGTCATCAGTGACTTACAGTTAGTAGTATTACCCGAGAGAGTAATATTGTCCTTGCTGATTCCAACAGTGTATTCTGTGAGTCCAATATCGGAGTAGAAACCACTCCATGACACCTTCAGATCCTCACGACTATCACTGTACTTGCTTAAGTCAATGCTCCCAGGAGATATGTCCAAATCAAATCCAACTTTAATACCATCAGAGTATGCTTCTTCAAAACTCCCAGCCTTGCTGTATGCACGTACTGTAACATAATACGTTATCAATTTCGCTGTCAGTTTAAGATGTCTGAATGTGTACGAGGTATTCAGGTGAGCGGTTTCATAGAAATGGACATTGTACCGTGAAGCTGGGTTCTTGACATCATCACCTATTGCAACTTCATAGCGATCGATCTGCTGACTGGCATCTTTACTGTTTGATTTACCGAAAGCATCCCAGTTAGCTGATAGTTCAGCTGTAGAGGTCTGGTAGTCTATATCTTTCCCAGTCCCATCCCTGACAGCCCCTGGGTGTGGTGGTTGTATGCGAACAGTAACACCATTAGAGTATGCGACGTGAATTCTTCCTATGGCATCCGTTACACGAATCACGTTGATGTAGGTAAATCCTGCTGTGAGCTTGAGTTCATCATTGTAGAAGGTGCCATGAGATTTTGAGGTTGGTATGAAGTCTTGGAATACGGCCCAGCTGACTGTCAGAATCTTCCACTCTGCCTTAATAACAGGACAACCACTAGTGTAATGCCAATGTCCTTCTATCGTTGTGAGGCCTGTCTGGAATTCGGCGTCTTTTTCTTCAGGTCCATCAGTAACTGACAGGTGAGGCGATGGACTAACAACTACTGCTTGAGATGTTGCAGATGCAGAGAGACCAGCCATATCAGAACACTTTGCAGTTGCAAAAACTTTATCTTCAGGTTGAAGAGACAGCCCTCCAAATAAAATAATTTTATCTTGCTCAGCTTCCACCATTCCATGAATATCTGTTGACCCTGGCTGCCGACCAAGACCAACTTCACATCTAAAATGAGATAAAACTTGGTTTACACACAACCCATTACACCAACAATAGAGAAGATACAAAGCAATCATTATTAGTTTCAGCATTTACAAACAGAAATAATGCGTTGATTGTTTAGTTTGAAGTATTTAGGTTTAGCTAAGCAAACTATGTTATTCTTATCATTTTACCTGCCAATGCCAGTGTCCGCATCTTTAAATCCCGCAATGATGACCTCAACAAAAGACTGTGGAACTTGACACTGCTTACTTGTCCTGGTTGCGTGTAGCCTGTCGTCAGTAACAATCAAGACATTACCGGCTGTAGGAATTGTAGTGTCAATGAAGACCTCTCTGGTCAATACGGTCTTCCTCTTCATGACATTTTCAAGGTGAGCTGTGACAAAAATCTTATCACCATGAATTCCTTTGATGACTCTGAAGATATCCGTTTTCCATGACCTCATTTGGAGTGTTACGTTTTCAAAAGGAGACAGTGAACATGGATTATCAGCCACACCAATGCACATACGGATAGACTGTATATGACTCTCATGCTCCCTTGCTTCATCCCAAACACATTCTATTCCAGATCTCATGCTGGATATTTCCTTTGTACATGTGAAGTTGACCAGTTCGGGGGGAGTTGAATCAGGAATCAAGGCAATAGATTCCCATGTGGCACTATTCTCAGCATTGTCCGTTGCCTGGATGGTTATGAAGACTGATGATCCTGGCTTCAGAGATAGTCCCTTGACGCTCTTTTCGTTCTGAGGACTACATTTGTGGATGTCGTTCTCATATGGGTAGGAACCCAAGCATACATGGCTCGCATTGACTCCAGAGGGGTCAGTGATATCAGGCGTTACTTCCACTATGTCGGTTTCATTCTGGAACACAAGACCCCAGGACTTCACATCTGGGATTGTGTGGCCTTTTGTGTTGGATGCCTTGATTGTAGGTCCCTGTGTGTCCACGAGGATGCCATCAGATGTTGCCACAATGTGTTCTTCATGACCACCATGTCCAGTTCTTGCTCTGACTGTCGTGAAATACTTTACACCTTCAAACAGCTGGATGTCGATTTGTCCAAAGCCTGATGATTCATTTGTCTTGACAATCCCAAAGCTCGTGAAAGGCACAATGTCTGTGACAAAAGGCTCAGTCCCAATACCCCACTCATAGGCCACAATACCAAAAGCAATACTTTGGAAGCCAGCAAAAGACATTGCAAAGGTTGATTTATCATGGAGGAAATCTGCATCAATGAAACGTTTCCTCCCATCATAGATAATACCAGGGACATTTCCAGGTAGGACATTTATACGCATGGAAACACTAACGGGTGATTCCATGCCTGCACCATTCTTTACTTTGATCTGGAAGTAGTAATATTTTCCACTGGTCTTAAAATCAACAAGGTTCAGATGTTTCAGTGTGACTTCACTTGTATGTTTGAAAGTGAGGAACCCTTTGGTTATGGATTGGTCATGTTCGGAGGTACCCAGAGCAACATACGCTTCACTGATGCCACTTTCAGGATCAATTGCTCTCCAAGAGATGGTCATTTTGGAATTGTCAGTGTGGATAAGTGCTTGATTTTCAATTTCCTCATCTTCTTTCATTGGTCCAAGGTGAATCTGGAACAATTCAAGATGATACACATTTTTTAGGTAATTAGCTCCACACCTACAACCATACATACATGAAAGTGAGGATGGATGAATGCTTTTGAATGTAAGAAATATTTACGTGGGAGACAGAGAGTTAATTGTTAATGGGTATCAAACTTATAGTTCATTAACCTGTTGTATTTTTGGCGGAGTTGAGTCGATGAGAATGCCAGGTGAATCAACTGTCTTGGACAATCCGGCATTATTGACCGCTATAACCCTGGCAATGTAGCGTGTACCATCGTGAAGAGCAAGAGGTACATGGTACGACGTCTGTGTTGGGGGAAAGTCCTTTGCCTCCTGAGGGTCATATGGCGAGGGCCATATTGTCTTCTTCATGCCATTTACCTCCTGAGACACTGAAATCATATACTTCTCGATACCAGATTCAGTGTCTTCAAACTTCCATGACAGATGAAGTCCTGTCTTATCCAACTGGTACCCTCCTTGCCCATCACTGTCGTGGACAAAGTAAGCTACTGGTGGTGTCAGATCCACTGTGAAGCCATTGGTTGAGACTTCCACACTCTTTCCCGCTCCATTGAAGCCTCTGACATTTGTGTACACGTTATCACCTTGCTTCAGTTCCAGTGTTTTCTCGTTCATGTAGTGTAACTGTTCATCCTGTCTTGGTACGATTGTGTTAATTTTCCTGTGCTGATTGTTGATATATATGTCCACTTCATACTTGACAATCCCACTCTCAGGATCAGAGAAACCTCCCCAAACTGCCTGAATCAGCGCTGGTTCTGAGGTGTAAGTGACATCAAGTGTTTCATTGTCCCCATCTTTGATCCATCCCTTTACTGGGTCCGTGAGGTCCACCAGGACTGTGCAACAGAGTGGTAGGATTAGACATTTAACATCGAGTTTTTATTAAACATAAAATTCATCATTTTTCACAGAGACAATTTTAGGTTTTCTTTCATAACCCTCAATACACTGTAATACATGTTCCAATACCTCCATTAGAAGTAGTGTTGACTCTCATCATGTTCAAGGCTCCATTAAATGCGATGATGGATGAGTAATAGGTCGTGTTGTGAGTCAGGGAAACTTTGGCGCAATCATCATGGATTATCCGGTCCTCATCTTTGAACTTGACAACGTCGTCTCTGCCAGGTTTGGTGCCAACGCCCCACATGTACCTGTACCCCAAAAGGAATGCATATCTGTTACAAATATATAAATGTTTATAGCCATGGAGGGATATTCTACTGGCTTCATGAAACAATTTAGGTGCAGTTTCTTTGAAATATGTTTTCCCTACTAATACAAAGTAAAAATATGTATGGATAGAAACCACAAATAAATTGATTATAACGATGCTAGCGCTTTGCAGAAATCACTAACATGAACAAAAACAACATTATAAGAGATTAGAGACAATATGTTATAAACTTGCGTCTTAATGCCCGACTCCGGGTCGAAGAAATCTTTCCACTGTGCGCAAATGGTATTAGCCTGTGCCTGGTAGTCCATATCTGTGCCTACAATTGCCCCATCGCTGATTAGGCCAGCTACTGGAGGCGTGTTGTCAATGACAATGGGTTCGTTGGCATGGCCACTTGTTGAAAGACCCACTTGAAGACACGGAAAGAGAAGAAGGATAGTGTGATTTCATTTACACTATGTATGACAAAGTGAAAAATCAGGTTCTATCCTCTTATCAGGATTAGGATTGTCATTAGGATATATATTTCACATAAGTGTGTATTTGTTTATGATACTGGAATTGTCCAGATGGTAGGTTGTAAATATTTTGGACCAGACAAAACATGTATTGATACTATCAGAATGATCCAAAATCATTGGTAGGTATGCCATGCTATCAGCCAACTCAATCGCCAGACCATCCAGTCAGCATGTCTTACGACGTGAAATGGTTGCTGAAGAGCAATTCTCATCCATAACCCCGCTCGGGAAACAATGGTATTATGTTACAGGTTTTAGACGCATTGTGCCAACATACCGTTGTTGGTAAGTCGGATTCTTGGCCAGGCAGCAACTCCGGGTTTCAGGACAAAATCATCCACCAGCACATATTGTTTCGGGTTAGTATAGCTTTTATATTCTTCATAGGGGCGCAAGGTGACATCATTTTGGGTTAACCCAAGGCCAACGTGGACGTGGGCAATTTTAGAGAGAGGATCAGATCCATTGAAGTACAGTCCCAGGAGCTCAAAATCGCCATCAAAGAAGACGTCATCTATGCCATTGAAGATAGGGGGCGTCGTGTCTACAATGAGGGGTGTTGAGTGGCACACTGTTGTGACAAGGGCACCTCCATGTATGATGTTGTTGACAGCTTGAACTGTGATGTAATGAGGCCCATCTGAGAGGTGAAGGTCTGAGGTCAACCCGCTGTAGGTCCACTCATTTCTGTTGGGTATTTTAGCATGAGGGTCGTTGTAGTCAACCACGTTGTTTGCACACACAGATGTACCGGCTGCCCAAGTGTAACCATAGATGCCAGTCTCGTTGTCATGAAAGCCATCCCAGTTTCCTGTGTGACATTAATACCATATGTGTAGCAACAAGAGTAAGTGAATATGGTTTTATGCAACTTTGAGCTACTGAAACATCGGTAATGTGTCAGAAATTACTTGGCTACCCACAGTCCACTACCAAAAAGACAATACACAACTTTACGAAAACTTAATGCAAGTAAGTATTTCTATGTGTACCAGTCCCAATTAGCATGATGAGATTCAAGGATAAATATAAGTTTAGAGAGTACACTGTGTGAAATGAGTTTCAGGTCAAACTGGTATTCAAACAGTAAAATAATATTTCTTTTACCTCCAATGAGATTATTAGAGAGGGTGTACTTTTCATCAAACAGACGTTTGTGGCCATTGAAGACAGTCTCGCCATCAGCTCCATCGATTATTTTCCTTGAATACGATAGACCAGGAAACGTTAACAAGACAAAATGAAACATGATGTTAACTGGACGTTAACATTACTGGGTTTGTCAGCGCCATACTCGTGGATTTCACCAAACTGGTAAACATGTACGACATGTATCGCTTCAGACTTTCAGGGGCGGTGGAGTAGCCTAGTGGTCAAAGCGTTCGCTCGTCACGCCGAAGACCCGCGTTCGATTCCCCACATGGGTACAATGTGTGAAGCCCATATCTAGTGTCCCCCGCCGTAATATTGCTGGAATATTGCTAAAAGCGGCGTAAAACTAAACTCACTCACTCACTCAGCCACATTAAGCTGACAAAATGTGGAATACCTTCAGGAAGGCATTGAGACCAACCAACTCTCTCACTCAGCCCCTCCCTTGCTCGCTCACTCACTCACTCTTTCAGAAGAGCCAATGGGATGACACTGCACAATGTAGGTTAACAAATATAGGTGATATAATTATTAAACAATATTGTAGTAGCCAAACAATGAAAGTTTTATATTCAACATGACGGACGCCCATGATCATATTGTATTTCTTGGACAAATGTATACACACCTGTGGTTAGGAAGTTTCGAGATATCCTTACAGCGCTGGAGGATAGATGCCGAGCAGCTATCAAACGTGAATTCATCCTTCGTGAAGTTCCCGACTGGTCCAGGACTTGGAGGCGTCAGATCTATTAATGTTCCGTGCGAGGACAGGTGGCTCTCATACCCAAGTTCATTGGTAACATGGGTGTTCATGAAATATGTCTCCTTGTGTGTAAGGTTAAGGTTTTTGAAGATCTTGTAATGATTCTGACCTACGCCGAGTCTCTCAAAGGACTTGTAATTGCCATTTAGCCGGAGTGCTGCACTGGGGCCTTCACTAACAGAATGAAGATCACAGGTTTGCAAATTGTATTCAAAGTCAAATGAAACACAATTCTGGCCAAAAGCAATGCACTGTTTCGCACACTCATAGTCAAATCGTGTCGTGAGGCTCTTCATTGGTTTAGCAGTCAAACTTCCAGTATTTGGCAGAGAGAAATACTTCAGATCCGTTGGTTCCCCTGATCTCATGGTTGTTCTCTCTAGAGACACTGGCTCCCAGGATATGACCTCATAACCCTGCGCTCCAGGGCCGAATCCAAGAGCTATTTCCTGTTGAGGATCGACTATGCTGTCATCCAGCACTACAACCGTGCCTCCAAGTTCAAATGGATTACTTGATATCCTGAAATCTTCATCAACTCTACCATCTGGAGGACTGTCATCGTATGTGTGCAGCATGCACTGTGTCAAAGCCTCGCCACCCTCACTATTCCTTGCCCTTACTGTCCAATAAAGAGGAATGCCGTATGTGAGTTTTGCAGGCATTGTAAGTGTGTTTCCGGACATTTCAGTCCACTCAACAACATTGGTTCCACCCGAGTATGTTCCTATGGCATAATCCACCTTGACATCGCTCACGTCGTCATAGGTCGTAACTTTCAGAAGAAATGCTGTGTCAGATGGAGACCGTCCTTTCAGCTGCCTCACCTCGCATCCTCCAGAACCAGTGGATCTCCTGTTCCTGGTTCCAACAGCATTCTTGGAAAACGTTGGTGGTGAAGAGTCAGTGCCTTTGTACGGATGTGTGAAAATATTCCTCCTTATTGTTGGCGTTGAATAGTGCCATATATTCCCTCTATATACTGTCACAGTTTTAAAAATCAGTCTGACTTTTGCATATGCCGACAGTACCAGTGTGAGTGGCACCATCTCCATGTCCATCTTTGCGCTGAAATAATAGTAGTCTTCATAAAATTCATCGACACATCAGAGCACTACTATATACTTTGGACAGATCGAAAATAATCAGTGCTGTAATAACACTGTTTGTGCATTAAGATACATTTGTCCTTCCTGAAACCAAATGGAACTGACACTGATTTCATGAATACATTTTTGTCTGGAGATAAAGCCACAATCTTGGAATACAGGAACTTTCACACAGTGTACACAATGTCGGAAGTCTAAATGTGACGTCCACATTTTAACCGACTAAGTTTTGACCATTCAGCAAAGGTTAACCTGTGTTTAGAGCTGGAATATTTGGCTAGTTGTTTTTGAAATATATTTTAGCTGAAGACTAACTATGTACATTATCCTTTAATATCAATGTAATAAACTCTTTAGGCACAGGTAATGACTTTCCAGAATAGCCTGACATTTTGATGTTCGATATATAATGTACGTTTCTAAATATATAATCAATAATTTGATTACTTTTTTAACTATATGACTTATGAGACAAACGTTCTTAAGAAAAATTCAAACTGTTATGGAATCTATATGAGACAAGGAGCAAAGCACAGGCTAATAATAGAAGAAAAATACGAAACGATATCTTACGTCACATCCAAGGGGAACTTCGAAAATCTTAGGCCGCCGGTCACTGGAAACTTGGTTTGCATGATGTACCCTGTCAGTTTAATTCCTCCATAAGCGAATCCTATGTCCACCCCAAGACTGCCCCATACATTCAGGGAAGCACTGGGTGTAACCGTGGCCTACAATGCAGAGGAAATATACTGAAAGCCATTAAAAACGCAATTTGACATTCATACTTTCTTTACTCACACAAATGTCAACATAAACTGAGTCAAAAAAGAAACTTCACAAAATGTAATTTGAAAAATAATGAATAATTTTTATCTGATGATACATCTATGTATCCGAAATGGGATCCCTATCTTTCGACTCTAGAAAAACGTTAGCAAAACCCACTCAAACCCATCCATTCGTCGTGCAAATGAAGTTAGTGCCAAATCAGGTTTTGCACGTGCAGTCGATCACGTGATCTTCGCATCGAAGTTTTCTTCATATGCACGTGTTTGCATTGGCGTCAAGAATTGAAAAAACACTTTTAAACCACAGTTCTAACGGTACTTGAAATGCCACGATTGTCAAATGTGCAACGTGAACGTGCCGTTGGCATGTTGCAAGCGGGAAGATCAGTTATTGACGTCGCAAGAGCAATGGGATGCAGCCGTCGTACTGTGTATGACTTGCGAGGTCGTCTACAACAAACTGGCACCACTTCTGATCGCCCAAGGTCGGGTCGTCCACGTGTGACGTCACGAGCAGAAGACCGTCAAATCGTCCTACACGTCCTACACGAACCAGGGCTGAGATGTTTAGAGGTCGACTGTCCTCACAGACCATTCGAAATCGGTTGCGGGCTGCCAATCTCCATTCTCGACGTCCATATCGTGGGCCAATATTGACGCCGTTTCATCAACGTCAACGTCTGCTGTGGGCCCAACGTCACCTCCGATGGACCCAGAGAGACTGGAATCGAGTCGTCTTTAGCAATGAACCCTCAGATTCGCGGACAGCAGGCATAGAGTCTGGAGACGACGTCGTGAACGGTATGCCCAATGTTGTGTACAGGAAGTCGACAGATTCGGGGGCGGAAGTTGCATGGTGTGGGGTGCTTTCTGTGAGAACAACCGTTCCCGACTTCTGGTCATCCGTGGAAACCTCACAGCTGCTGCTTACCGCGACCAGGTGCTCACCCCTGAACTCGTTCCTTTCATGGCGGCTCATGGCCCAGGTCTACACTTCCAGCATGATAATGCTCGGCCGCATACCGCGATGTTGACACGAAATTTCCTTCAAAACACTGGAATCAACGTCATGGACTGGCCATCGAGGTCCCCTGACCTTAATCCAATAGAGCACGTTTGGGATGCACTTGGGAGAAGGCTTCGTGGTCTTAGGAACCAACCTCAGAATTTGCAGGAAATTGGCGCTGCCTTGCAAGAGCAATGGCGCAGAATCCCCAACCACGTGTTCACAAGCATCAGGCAGTCGATGAGGAGACGGTGTTCGGCAGTGGTGAATGCGCGGGGCGGCCATACACGATATTGAACTGAGAAATTTCGCATTTTTATTCTTGTGACTTGACATTCTGTATACCCATGTTTTGGAACGGCGGTGTAGCCTAATGGAACTGATTATAGCACTGTCAGTGTATCGAGTACATCACACAGATCTCAGCAATGAAATAATAACAATTTAACGATCTTACCATCTCTTGTTCTTTTATAGTGCCCTGAAGAAAGAATGTGAAGTTTCTTTTTTGACTCTATGTAACTGGCATCTATGTTTTAAGTGAGAATCTGTGGATAATTTCATCTGAAAATGTCCAGTCAACAACAACATCAGTGACGCAACAGCGACATCAAACAAAGATGGGGTCAGTTGCAGTGAATATCGTGTGTGCCACCGTGACACGCTGCAAGACATGCTCGCAGTCATTGAAAGACACACATTTCTGAAGAACAGCTGTGGGATGGTCTGCCAGTGATGTTGAAGGGCCTGTGTCAATTCAGCAACTGTCCTTGGTGGCACAAGTTGTTTTAGAACTCGCAGTCCAAGTTCATGTCTAAGACCAGTCCACCACACAAGTATTCTCATTATTCAAATAGTCCCTGTCTGCAGGGGAACGTGCATCATCATGTTGAAACACAAAACGGTTGCGACCGCCATGTTGATCCATCATTGTGAGTACATCCGGACGAAGGATATTGTCCACATAAGGTTGAGTAATCAGATTGCCGTTAACCACTACTATCTGGGATCGGAAGTTGGCATTGATAGCACACAGGATCATGACACCACCCCCTCCAAAACGATCATGTTGAAGGACCCAGTTTGGCGCAAGTCTTTCTCCTCGACGTCGATAAATCCGTTGACGTCCATCTACAAAGGATAAGTTAAACCTCGATTCATCTGAAAGAAATGACATCTCGCCAAGGAATGTTGCCAAGATCGGCCCCATTAGCTGCCCATCGCTGTCTGGCAAGACTGAGGCGATGCAATAAGGTTGGGCCACGGTTGGGGCGCTGACATGACGTTGTCTTGTCCCAATTGTCCTCCTTGCCGTATCAGCAGCCGTATCGATTTCGCAAGTGTGAAACTCGGATATTGCGGTCCTGTCGAGCTGTCGTCACAGGTGGTGCACAAGGTCGCGAACGATCAGCAACACTTCCGGTGGCCCGAAACGTCTGAGTCGACCAACACTGTATGGATGCACATTAAAGTGCCTGGCAATCATCACATCTGAAACACCTTGGCTGACTGTACCGATAGACTGATTCCTTTCGGCTTGTGTCAAGCGTGGCATTTTCTCAAAGTGATTGAGTTTCACAATACCTTGTGCTTTTAAAGGGCCTGGGTGCAGGTAACGCTCGCGCACAACGTGTTTCATGAATGTGGTTGTGTTTACGAGAAATGTCAAAGGTTCGGTTTTAAGCATCGAAGTTCATGTGAGAGGAATGCTCCCGGGACTCGAATTCCAAATGGGCCAGAATAACAGCCTGTTATCCCTACATGCTCTGTATCGCACGAAAAACAATCTTCAGTAGAACTTTTGTAAGCTCCAGGACAACAAATACCAATTTCATTTTTAATGGCTTTCAGTATACTAGCCTTCATTGACATCCTTCCATTTTGCAACAAGAAATACAATGTGGTAATGTGAGCGAATATGGTTTTACGCCTTTTAGCAGTATCACGGCAAGGGACACCAGAAGCGGACTTCGTATACTTAACCCTGTGAGGAAAGGGGGCCTACCTTTGATGGTGGCGATATTTTATTTTGATATTGTAAATATTTTTTTAACCGAAGCGAGGGAGCTACGTTGCCAACCTGTGCTCGCTTCGCTCGCATATAGGAAGACTGGTTGGTCATTATTCTCTCTGTTGCGCAACCCTATTTGCGCTACAGTTTGCCTGTGCACTTAGCTACCCATCGCCCTTATAGGGATGTTATATCTAGTACCTGCAACGTTTAAGCTAAGCAAAGAGTATATATATGTGACTGCCAAAAGGGCAGTGTGCATGCACATAATGAAAAAACATATTGACAGGTGCTTGACTAAAAACAATGTATAGGCCCATCCCTCTATTGTGGCATGGTTGACGTATGACATGTATGTAAAACCTGAGCGGTCGATGAAACGAAAACAACCAAATGAAATGAATATAACTATAAAAAGAACATCTTCAGTCTGATTTTAAGGTGTGATAATGATATATCAGGAACATACCATATGATGATTGTTATGATTTTACTTTTTCAGTTTTCTCACCCTTGATGCTAAATACAAGAACCATGTTAATTATTAAGCAATAACTAAAACTGTTACCTCAAGGCTCATGCTCATGAAACAAGCACCAAGTGCAATCTCAACTCCAACTGAGCCACCAGCTCCAAATCCTGAAATCATTGATAATAATAACTTTATCAGTGAAATGGGCTGTACCTTGCCCTGAAAGACTAGGGGCCCTTAAAGAGAAATGAGGATTCTATTAAAGTGATGAAATAGTACCGAGTACTGTTCGGTGAGGCATAATAATTACCTTCATAACAAGATTGATTGATTGAATTTAGGTTTACGCCACGCTCAGCAATATTACAGCGATATGGCGGAAGTCTGTAAATAATCGAGTCTGGACCAGGCAATGCAGTGATCAACAGCATGAGCATCAATCTACGTAATTGGGATACGATGACATCATGTGTCAACCAACTCAGCGAGCCTGACCACCCGATCCCGTTAGTTGCCTCTTACGACAAGCATGGGTTACTGAAGATCAATTCTAACCCGGATCTTCACGGGTCCTTCATGACAAGAACTGTATATGTATTGTTAAGAATGTGGTACAGTAAACATTATTTTGCTCCCTTCGGTCATATGAAAATATTATTGCGATGTTAGTAGTAAGTGAATTGTGTTTTACGCCGCTTTTAGCAATATTCCAGCAATATCACGGCGGGGGACACCAGAAATGGGCTTCACACATTGTTCCCCATGTGGGGTATCGAACTCGCGGCTTTGGCGTGACGACTCACAACAATGTACAGCAATGTACGATGGTATACAACATCATACAACCTTGGGATTGTCAATAAAACCCGATGACAATTAAAGCGCAACTAAAACCCTACTTTGATCCAACGTAAAGATTATAAATTCAAACAGGGAGTGGTATGGGGAGTGAAGTGAGTGAAGCCATATAGCTATATATAGTTTCTGTGAGTGAAATCAAGACCAGGGCCCTTATACTCGAAACGTTCGTAGCCCTAACAATTCGTAACTTTGATCGAACGTTAACGAACGTTTCGAGAATAGCTAGCCAGGGGTCTGTTTCACAACGCGATCGTAGCGCTACGACTATCTTAAGTCTAAGGGAGTAACGATCACCTTAGCGCTACGATCGCTTGGTGAAACGGGGCCCTGAAGTAAAGCATGCACACATATAACCTAATGTAATCCTTGAACCTCTCCCATATGCTTGGTTGGTTGTTGTTTAACGCAGCACTCCGCATCAATCAGCAATATTCCAGCTATATGGCGGCGGTATGTAATCGAGTCTGGACCAGACAATCCAGTAATCAACAGCATGAGCATCGATCTCCGCAATTGTGATACGATGACATGTGCCATCAAAGTCAGCGAGCCTGACCAACCGATCCTGTTAGTCGCCTTTTATGACAAGATGGGTTGCTGAAGACAAATTCCAACCCGAATCTTCACGGGTCTTTTATATACTTACCTAAGTTCATTGGAATTGGCCCAACCATAAATCGGTAGCGTATAGCAAAGAAGGTCATATCGATAGATTTCACTGGAATAACTTTATGAGTACAGCTGTCTTTCTTGGCCTTGAACTCCTGCTGCAGTACTTCCATCACCGTCTTCTTTGTGTCAAATAGCTACAAGACAGAAGAATCACTGCAACAATTCAGTGAGAAACGAGCGAGTGAGTGAGTTAGGTTTTACGCTGCTTTTAGCAATATCACGGCGGGGAACACCAGAAATGGGCTTCACACATTTGTATGGAATCGAACCGGGGTCTTCGGCGTGAGGAGGGAACGCTTTAACACCTGGGCTACCCAACCGCCCCTCAGTGAGAAACGAACCACACTAACGTGTGAGCCTGTGTAGCTCAATGTATTTCTACTCTGGAATATGCTATCAGAGTATGACCTGGTGGCGGTGGGGTATCCTAGTAGTCAAAGCGTTCGCTCGTCATGCCAAAATCACATTTCTGGTGTCCACCGCTGAAATATTTCTAAAAGCAGGGTAAAACCCCAACTCACTCACTCACTGGCGGGAGTATTGTAAGTCCCCATGCTCCCTATCATTGTTGTCACATGTAGTTGCTGAAGATCCTATAGCCCACATCATCTTATCGGGCAGTGGGTTAGCCTACTGGTTAAAGCGTTCACTCGTCACGCCGAAAAACCGGGTTCGATTCCCCACATGGGCACAATTTCAGAAGCCCTTTTCTGGTGTCCCCCCGTGATATTGCTGAAATATTGCTAAAAGCGGCGTACAACCATACTTACTCACTCACATTATCTTATCAAGAGAGATGAGCAAATTAATTATCACGTTTTAGTATATCTGACTATAACATTCCACAGAAATAGAAAATATATTGCCATTAACACAATATAAAATTGAGTCTTGTTATAGTGTACGTTATTCACTGAATAACCATCTTTCACATGTGAATGTGACTAAATCCATTACAATAATATAAAATATATCATAATAACAAAATAAAAAATGGACCACTTAGTATGGTTTTCGCCCCTTGTAGTAATATTCCAGCAATATTTGGGCATCAGAAATTGGTTTTATATTGGATTAATTTGGGGAATCGAAACCGGATCGTGGATGGCAAGCGGAGTTTGTTACCCCACCGTCCCTTATCATCAATAATCTCACCCACGGACCATTAGGTACATTGTAGGGAAACAATATATGAGCACAGTACATACTCATCTGATTTTTAAGACAGCCAAACGACTAGGGCTTTAACGATGCATCGAACTGTCGATGGATTGCAATTGTTGAGTCTCCCATGGCAATTAATCGATGATAGAAACGAAAACCTATCGAAGCATCGATAGTATTTGTTACTATCGATAGTTCAACAATTGACTTTCGTTGATAAATGCGCAGCGCAAAATACAGGATGTTTAGGTACAGACTTGCAGCTTCATTGAGTTATGTTTTAACTGTGTACTTCATCTGGGTTTCAAGTTTCTGGTCAGTTATTAAAAAAGATGAAACTACTTCAGCTTGTTTTTATCCATACAAACTATACATTCATTTGGGAAATGACAACTTCAAATGAGACAATTTAAGGAGAGAGAAAACTATTGCAATAGTTGGTTGCCCCCTAATAACGACGGCACTGCACGTGTGCTAGGACTAGGACTACCACATCAATATAAATTTTACTCTTTGAGATTCACCGTTTCAGTTTGTTGCATAATTGATTTGAGTGTCCATTAGTGTTGGGAATTGGTTGAAATCTCACAATTAATGATTGCTTCATTACCAACGAACAATCTTCGAAAAAAATTGGTTAGCGAGATTTTTCAGATTTTCCATTCCAATATTGCAGATATGTATAACATGATGCAACTTGCTACTTTAAAGTGATGACTAATATATCATGAACATAAACTTCCTTGAGTCTTAGAGAAATATTCAGTCATGTCTTTTCAGTTAGTGAAGTGAGTTTTCTAAGAATTAAACACGTTTTCAGGCCCTGACAATTTCTAAGATATGTTCCATTGTCAAGTTTTTCAAAGACTAAAACAGTAGTTCCAAAATCGTTTATGTTCGATTATGAGAAAATGTGATCGATTGCTTGGTCGTTTGGTCACTGCGACCAATCTTCGATTATTTCAATTAATCGGAACACCACTAGTGTCCATCTGATCTAATTTGTGTGGAACTCAAAACAAGACAGGACTTGGGGTTGATATGTATTTTAGCAATGGAATAGAGTTATTTCCTGATCGAAAATCAATTTTTAAATAATAACTATTATGTTTAGTGTGAAAGTAACGCTGAATGTTAAGTGCTGTTCATATACCCTTGGTCGGCGTGTAAGGATAGTCCATACTGCGAGTTGAAGGAGTAAGTACGTGAGGCACCCAGTACAGTGACAATGAATCCTTATTTATCCGCCATTTTAAGCATGTTATGTAAACGACGTGCATACCTCGTGAAGGATGCCTCCTCTGATATCGTTCAGCAGTCCAACTGCTTTGGGAATATCCAGATGACACTGCGACATCTTTGACATCCACATTCGGATTGGCATGGACTCGATTTGGAACTCCAGGCTGGTATTTAGTTTGACTGTGAAATACAAAACGTATTATGCATCAACTTGACGTATTATTGGGCGTAAATAGTGTATCTCTACAAAACGAGTACCTGAATACTAATGTATTTTGGCAAATGTAACTTCTTATTATTCACTATAACAATTCAAATGAATATTAACGATATGAGATTTTTATCATCTCAGTTATCAGAGAAAGGACAGAATGAGATGCTTTGGCTTGCAAACATTCCAAAACGGAAACGTTTTTGACTTTGGACGATATTTCAGGTATATCAAATCGGGGATCAACACCGCTGGGCTTCACATAGTGTACCCATTTGTGGAATCGAACCCCGACTTGGTCCACTTGGTCAAAAAGAAGATTGTCACATAATTGGAAATATACACACATTCCTGCTGCTGGTAATATGTTTCACTAGTGAGCCTGTGATGTAATATTTGGCTGTCTTATCGACACTTTTCAAACAGCGGTAGTGCTATTACACATACCGCATTTCCTATATGTTTTCAACGGACTTCCATACCAGGCGCTTATTGCGCTCACTAGGTGTACCGTAATTAATTGTTAGTGAGCGTTACGTCAAGTTAGGGACCATTCCAAAAATAAATCTATTTTTGGATCAAGGGAGAATACATTTATTAAAAAAACCCTACCTGGCGCTTATTTCCTAATTTACCCCCAAAGCCTATTAGAGACCCGGCGCTTATTAGAGGAAATAAGGTATTTCTGCCCAACAGTTAGAGCTGTGTTTGTTTCTTATTGTTTAGCATGCATTCAGCATTGTCCCGGCTATTTGGTGAAGGCCTGTATAATATCGAACCTGGATCTAATAACCTAGTGATTGATGCTGAAACAGCGATCCACGCAGTCGGTGTACTTGTACCTAGTTGTAGGATGGCTCACTGAGGCTGACCAAGCCATGCAATACGTCGACATGGATTATGTTCCGACAAACAGATCTGGCTGAACACTTTCAGTCTGAAATCATCATGAGGCATTCAGCATTCATTGTTACCTGCAGTGCACATGGGGTTGCGGAACTTTGCGCCTCTTATGATGCCGACAGCAGGCAAACAGGAACCAAACTCTGTTGAGCAGAGACTGCCCGTGAGGTTCGCGATCAGGTCCTTCCCATCTTGAACTGTACTCAGTTGGAAAACAATGTGCATCCCTTCCACAACGTCGTCAAGCAGAGGCACGTGGATCTCAACGCCACCTTGAACAAAATCGCAAAACTATGATTTAAACACAGTCATTCCATCTGTCAGTGGCTGAGTTTAGTTCTACGCCGCTTTTAGCAATATTCCAGCAATATCACAGCTGAGGACACCAGAAATGGGCTTCAGACATTGTACCCATGTGGGGAATCGAACCTGGGTCTCCGGCTTTTAACCACTCCAGCTGTCTGAGAATGATTTGACTTCAAAATAATATGAATATAATGAGTGTGGCTAAATGTTAACATAGAAATATGAAAACGTAATGATTATCATACCAATGAGGTCGATTTCAATAATAAATGTGTAGTGCCATGATTTCAAAATGATTTACCCGACGAATCACTTTGTAAATCTTGAAAATGCATATGTTTTAAAATCAAAACGGTATGTCATTTAACTCGATCGTTCAACCATTAAGGGACACCATGTGCTTCACGTTAAACTAGAAATATCGATGGGTATACATCGTATATAGCATACCATGGGTATCCTGGACGTGCTTCATCCCAGGGGCTGTCAGGTTTAAGGTAGAGCCACATGTTCTGATGTGCACCTTGACAGACTTCACGTAGTGAGAGTATGGGAACATCACGCCACATGTCATGCCGTGGCAGTCGGGGTCTGGGGTACACAGGTGCCCGAAGGCAAAGGACATGCCCGCCTTCAAGTTTGGACAATCTGTGGTTAAAAAGAAGCCGTTTTATTCAATGCAAACATGACTATCCATCAAATAGGACGTGATCGTACAGTATGTAGTTTATCAGACACAGATACAATGCTCAATTCATGACCGTACATTAATGTTTAGTACTGATTTCAGCTTTCTTGAAGATTTAAAAAAACAAAAAGTAATACTTTTAAACATCTAACCAAAAGACAAAATGAGAATTATTTTTGGCAATATTCTGATAATGTCCCGATATGACACAAAAAAAATATTCAATCGAAGAGACCATTTTTACTACTTAGCCATTTAACTACATCCAGGGGTAAATATGGATTAGATAAGATTGATGGAAAAGCCATCACACGGGGTCACAGAGTTTAAAATATTGCACGAAAGGTCATTACCATCCATGCCGTTGGTTATCAGAGATTCCAACATTTCAATCTTGTCTCCAACTACAGGTATTTTGTTCAGGGACAGAAGCATATGCATCTTGAATGTTGAGAAGGACATCGGTTCCTCGACGGGTTTGGATTTAAGACATTGGGCGACATCGGACACGAATTCGTCGATACCCTTAACAATGTCTGACCTAGCCTTCAATATATCTTTCAGCTTGGAGACCGACATTGTGTTGATGTTGAAGACAGACTCAATACTGGGTATCCTGTTGTAGATAGAAAACAACGAGTGATGATTCTGGGTTTTTGTTATTGTTACACACAGGCGGGATGGGATATTTCTGATCCTGACGTAGAAATAGAATTACGAGCGAAATATTTGGTCGTAAAGGCATCTTGTTGCACATCGCTGATATTTTTTCATTGATAATATTATCAATAAACTGAATTGTAAGCTTCGTAAATCATTTTGTTTATCTTTCCACTAATATCCCAGAAACCATGTCAGTGTTCTTGTGAAGTGGAAATCAAATATGCGAGAGTGAGTGAGTTTGGTTTTACACCGATTTTAGAAATCTTCCGGCAATTTCACTGCAGGCGACACCAGAAATGGGGCTTTACACATTGCACCCATGTGGGGAATCAAACCCGGGTCTCCAGCGTGATGACGCTTTAACCATTAGGCTACACCACCCCCAAATATAGGGACCTCTTTATAAAAAGGAAAGTTTGACAGATGTTCGTAATGGCTACGTGTTAACTGTCCCCACCTTGCGTACTTACTTGATTGCCTTCAACATAAGACCAAAGTTCTTCAGTGGCGACACGAGCTTGGAGAAGGAGGGTGCGAGAGCCCTGGCATTTGGGTGATCCACTCCAGCAGGTTTGAAAGGAGGGGTTGTGTCGGGTTGGACATTAGCTGCAGCAGTCATCTTGGTGAAATGTGCACCCATGTACGGGTCCTCCGTTTCTTTGGGCGGTTCATGTGTAATCCCGTCGGCTTCATACGTCTTGCCTACGTACTTAAATATGTGTTCGTTACATTCTTGTTCCCAGTGTGGTATGGGTAGAAGTCTGTCGAGGTACTTAGATGGATCAGCGTATTCTCCGGTTTCTGTGACACGAAGAGCTACGTGAATGAAGTTGGGAACGCATCTGGTATCTCCAGCAGTGCCGATGATCTCCCCGGCGTCCATGACGACACTTGAATCTTTGATGTAGTTGCTTGGAACGACGTTGTTGATGACGATCTGGTATTCAATGAAGTTGTCATCTGTCGGTGTTATAGTGATTTCATCACGTCCTGTTGCATTGACAAGGCCTGCTACAGGGTTAACGATCTGTCACAATGTAAAGACATGCCATACAATATATAATATACAAAAACGAAAAAGCTAGTATGACACAATACACACATGTTCTTAAAGGCACGATACACTTGTACCGGCATGGCGTGAGTGAATGAGTTTAGTTACACGCCGCTCTTAGCAATATTCCAGCAATATCAAGGCGGTGGACACCATAAATGCGCTTCATACACTTCACCCATGTGGGGAAACGAAACCGGGCGAACGCTTTAACCACTAGCGTACCCCACCGCCCGTGCTTCGGCATGGAACTCACATTGGACAAGTTTACTCTGCTGTCAGAAAGGTGTGTGTGGGTGTTGCATTAACCGAATGTGCGTGTATGTTTGTTTCAGATCTTACAGCCCTGTAATTATATATGCTTTACATATGATTGAACGACCGCTAAGTACACATATGTATTTTACGTACAGCCAGTCCTCTTCTAGCACTGACATCAACGCCGATAGTGTGATACTTGTTTCCGCCTGTGGATGGCCACACAGCCTCTGTACAGGATCCGGAGTCTCTCTCAGCTGGAAACTTGCGGTGGAACTTGCTTCCAAATATCTTCTGAACCAATGACTTTCCTACGCTGGTCCTGTTTGAATATCGGATATATCAAAGTATTGAAGTGTCGCCAGGATGTTTCATTTCACATACCTGTTTTATTGGGTAAGATACGGTACACTGCATTTCCTAATACCATGGCCTAAGAGAATATTAGACTTTTAAATCACTATATTCTCTAATTTCTCCGTTGCAGCTTTCAAGTCAAGCGTATTTACTGAATAATGCTACATCTCAAAAGCAGTAATGTTACTGAGCATCAGACATAGGGTGTACATTATCTCCACAATTCCATGTGATCATCCATTACTGATCATCAAACATTAGAGCCATCTTACGACCCGCGAAGATCCTGGTTAGAATTGATCTTCAGTAACCCATGGTCGGTCTTGGTTGACACTGCATGTCATCGTATGCCAATTGCGTAGATCAATGTCAATCACTGGATTGTCTGGCCCAGACTCGATTATTTACAGACCATCGCCATATAGCTAGAATATTGGTGAGTACGCCATACAGCTAAATAACACCACACAAAGCAACATCTTACACTTGTTTCACGGTTTCGTATGCTTCCTTCACTCCCTTGACGACAGTCATGACGTCCGCGTACGCCTTGAAGAACGGATCTGCCATGGTCCGCACTTTGGATAGCCTCTCTGTGACGCTGGATAGCAGCACATGCGATTCGTTGTGAAACCATACCTTCATCGAGTACTGAAAGAGCAGGTACAACGAGAATCAGAGTGTTTCACATGTTCATTTGACATACAGTGCAGTGGGGTAGCCTAGTGGTTACATGCGCTCGTTACATTCGATTCGATTCCCCACATGGGTACAATGTGTGAACCTCATTTCTGGTGTCCCCCGCCGTGACATTGTTAGAATATGGCTAAAAGTGGCGTAAAACTATACTCACTCACTACTTTCATTTGTCTCACAAAGCAGTCCACAAAACATAAGTTTAATCTTGATTACAAAAGGACATAAGCAATATGTATGCGGTCCTCATGGTGAAATGTGTAACACAGAATGCGGTCCTCATGGTGATTGAAATGTGTAACACAGAAAATAGACGGCTGTGTTTCATGGCGGTAATTGTGAAAATTGTATATAATAGTTCTTCTATTCCATTTATACAGCTGAATTAATCTCACTATACTGTTTTTTATTGAATGAACATGAAGTCACGTATGACGTGGTTTTGACTGACTATAAAGACTTCCATCGTTACAAACGCTACGCTGGATTTAACGCCTAAGTGAGTGCGTGAGTTTGCTTCCCGTCGCTTTTAGCAATATTTCAGCAATATCACGGCGGGGGACAGCAGAAATAGGCTTTACACATTTTACCCACAGGGGAATCGAACCCGGGTCTTGGGCTTGACGAGCGAACGATGTAACCACTAGGCTACCCCACCGCCGGCTTTCATGAAGAATCATGGAAGTGTATGAAAGAAGATTGGGAAAATATACTTACAGGCCCCATAATGCCATCGGGTCCTGACAGCTTGGGGTGAATTGTCATGTTCACCTTGTCCTCCACCATGTCAACCAAGTCTTTGATGTCATCTGTTATTCCAGTGACCTCTTCATCGACATGCATCCAGAATGGACTTGTTCCTTAAACAGATAATCATAGCGAAAATCAACTTTCCCCTAATGCAATGTTGCTGGATAAAAAGCAGATTAAACACAGCGCCATAACATAATCTGGTACACAATATGTATATGTTATATGTACATGTATATACACGTATCTCATGTTGGTCATACCTTTCATGAATGCACAGGCATCGACTATCCTATTCTTGGCATCTATCACCATGGTCACAGCAAGACGAACCCTTAAAATGACATATAATATATGTGGCATTATATAGTATATTCATGTTAAGAATCAAACCGGGCTTTCAGGGGTGACATGCCAATCTTTCGACAACTAATTCCGCGGCCTCTGTCAATCTTATAAAAGATATCACACTGATAATATAATACAGTACAAAGCTCTGAATACCTCATAACACCTATGCCAAGTTTGGAGAAGGATTGTGCTGGACTTTTGAAGAAGTCCTTGAAAACTGCAATGATGTCATCACCAGTTTCTTTCAGCATCTTGCCCACTTCGGGCAGCGTTATCACCACGGCGTCAGCTATACTCTGGAATAACAAAGCTGTGAGTATAACGTGACAACCAAACACTGGATAGCAAGTTTCAAACGGATTTTTAAAACAACACTTTAGAGTTCAGCTTTATAATGTGGTTGGATTTTGCAAATTCACGTACTAAGACTAGTAACAACAAATTGTGCAGAACCAGAGACCTTATCCACAAAGCGTTCGAAGCACTACGTCATTCGTAAACCAATGGTACAGTATAGAGTTACGACAGGTCGTAACGCTACTGACACTTTGTGGATAGGGACCATACAAGGATCTCAATTAGCTGGCCAAGACCTAGACAAGATCTAGCGTGCTGAGCCAAGCGCCCGCGTGGCATGTTCATTTCAATTCAATCAATGGTAACTATAATAGCCCGTTCCCTTTCATGTGCCTAACCCTGATTGAAGAGCTTACGTGGTAGAACTCCAGTGCGTCTTGTTTGATCTCTTCAGCAAAAGCCTTGACCCTCTGCGCGATCTGTTTCACCCTTTCCATGATGGGATCAGTATGGTATCTGATCACCTTCTTCACAAGGATCACAAAGTCGTCCACAAACTGGACAACCAGGTCTGGAAGACCCTTCACGAAGTTGATGATCTCCGTAAGCATGTCTTTAATATAGCCTGGCCGAGTGATCTTCTTGAACATGTCGATTGCGTCCTTGATGCCATCTACTATAGAGTGGAATATGTCGTCCAGCTTCTGAAGGAGGTCCTTGAAGTGGTTGATGTCGTAATCCTGAAAGGAAATGCGTTTTTTTTATTTACATGTAAACGGCTAACATTCACATTGAGAGCATGCCGAAACCATTACAAGGAAGTACGGATTATATATGTCTACAGTGATCTAGTGGTGTTAGCCCCGAGCCTTTGGCTCGTGTGACTGAGAAGTGAAAACCCGTATTCTGTATATCACTCACTGACATTTTAATTGTGAATAATATACAGTGTTAAAAAAGATTTAACACTAGCAATTTTTTGTAATTTAACGTCACATGCAACAATATTTTAGTCATATGAATATAATGAATATCAAGAAAAACGGATGAATTGCCAACATTACTGGTAAACTTCACAGAAGTCAGGCTATTTTTCGCCTAACTTTATTTATTCAATATTCTGAGTTATTATCAAAAGATAGTGTCATATTGCCGTGGACATCGACTTTGATATGTAGAGGTTTCACCTGATCAATCAGCATAGAGAATCGCGAGCTGCGCATGCGCAAATATCGGCACGTTATCACATACGATCTTTCTCCCCTTTATGTAATAATCAACATCACTGTGCCATCCCATATTTATGTCAGACGTTACTTCTATGAACCTTTAAGATGTTGAGGTCGTAGTTAATGTGTCCAGCATAACAGAGCGACGCCCTGATGATGTCCACGTGTTTGCCAATAATGCCGATGTTCGCTGTCACCCACGCTGCATTGTCCACGTCTATCTTGAAGAAACTGTGCAGTGGATCTGAAACCAAGACGGTCAAGTATGTAGGAATTTCAATATGATAGTTGCACAGATGTAGGGCAAATTATGTAAACGAATATAAACATCTGTGCCTCTGTGCACTGGGGTCCAGAATAGATTGACTTTGGTATGACCAAATGCATCTGCTGGTTAGGCTTGGTTTTATGTGTCATCGTATCTCGACGGCATTGGGCGTTGTTGGTAATGTCAGTTGCCTTTATTATTACCAGTCTGTTGCGAAATATATGTTAGTGCCGGAAGGCCCCAAAGAAGTATAGGCCTCCTTTAGTTGCTAATTTACCCGAATGTGCACAGGAAATGTATATCGTAAAACGTCTTAAGGTCTACAGGAAAGGATGTTTCGTCTCCTGTTAATGTCATTAGAGTATCGAAACCATCACTAATCCACAGGTTCTATAGTCACCATTGTTAAATACATTGAGTAATTCATACTTCTTTTCTGTACAACGTCCGATCACAAGTCGCAAGAATGATGTGAAGTTGATATGTCACTGTGTATGGCTAATGGAGAAATTAGACAATGAACAATACATACGGAGCTTTAGGTCCAGCATGTTGATCATGCGAAGGCCAAGACTTGCGCCTATTTTGTTGGTCCCAAAGGTCTTGTCATACTGGAAGCCAGGCACTTTAATGGTGAGACGAATACCGTCGCTGAAGTCGATGTGGAAGATCTCGCGGCGAACACGGGACAAGGAGTGGAACGTGTAGTCGCGACTGTATAGAAGAATTGTTACCAGTTTCAGATATTTGTTGTTAAGAACAAACCACGTGGAACATTGTTTTCGTGACAATAACATTAACATGTAATTCTGCTACCAATAGGGCCACAGCAGTCTCACTGCTACAAATAGAAATATACATATAAACGCTTGTCACAATCTACGTTCTGGCCTCAGCATGAAAGTATTTTACCAACGGCTAAATGATGGTAACCCTCTACTGTAGAAACCCATGAGGATTCTAAGTTCTATGTCTGGTTCCCAGTTATACATGCTGAAGGAAAGAGGGGACAAAATGGGAGTCCAGATTAGGTTACTTGGTTGAATGCTTGTCAGCATAACCTGATGGTAAGAATCGCTGCTCATAATCAATCACTGGTCCAAACCCATAGACTTTAAACCCACCCTACAGCTAGAACGTTGTTGACTCCAGTGTCAGCCGAACAAGACAAAGGTTACCTCAGAAGAAGGTTCTCCTTGTCTCGGATCAAGCCCTGTCGCTGTGGATGTTTCAGGTACACTTCTCTCGCCTCCTTGTGGACCTTCTCATTCTCTTCGTGGGCGAGGACATCAAACAGCGCCAGTGCACTCTGATATGTTGTGGTTGATCGATTTATAATTCTTATTTTTATATATTTCTTCACCCATACATAATCGTATTTATTTCGTTAACCAGAAAATAACACATAAAGAATATGCGTGCCCATAGGCGGATCCAGAGGTGGGGTGCAGGGGTGCACACACCCCTTTTGTCCTAAAAGTTTATTAAATGACCACTGAAACTCTCGTGAAAACGGGTGAAAATGAACTGTGCACCCCTCTTTCTGAACTGTTCACCCCCACTCAAATAGCTGTATCCGCCCCTGGTGCCTGTTCATCAACGAGAGAGCCTCTTGGCTGAATATTTTATAAATACTGTATAATATCAACAATATTAGAATTATTGAAATAATTGTGGCAATTGAAATGAAATTACAGAGGTACAAATTATAGAGGTTTCATCTTTGGCTTACCAGAATTAGCTTTGCATATGCCTTTAAATTGTTACACAATCCAGATACAGGTTTATGTTGTTTTATACTGCTTTAGGATTGATCACTGCACTACACTTTGTTGGGTATGTTGGAGCTCTTTACCTCATTACATGTGTACTGGCGGAGACTATTGGCTGCTGCCCTCCGCCATGTTGAGGACCCCACGTTGGGTTGAAGATAGGACCGGATATGACGTAAAGATCTTGGCATTCCGGCATTCCCAAGACTGTGTAGAAGAACCATTTTGGACACGATATGGTGATGTTGCTCATGGTCAAAGTCGTGGATTGATCGCTTCTTGCGCTCCAGTATAGGGGAGGAGAGAGCTGGCAAAATAACAATGCTAATGAACCATCGTCCGGTGCCTAACAACAGATACAGCTTATCACTTCCGTTATCTGTTAGCATATATCTTTAAAATTGACAGTATTGTTTTGAGTTGATACTGTAAAGAGCAACCATTGAATAAAATTACACGCGAGCGTACTTGTAGGTCAATGGACATTATTACTGGAGTGAGTGAGTGAGTGAGTGAGGATGGTTTTACGCCGCTTTTAGCAATATTGCAGCAATATCACGGCGGGGGAAACCAGAAATGGGCTTCACACTTTGTACCCATGTGGGGAATCGAACCCGGGTCTTCGGCGTTACGAGTCAAGGCTTTAACCACTAGGCTATCCCACCGCCCCCATTAATACTGGACAGCGAGTGAGTAAGTTCAATTTTACGCCGCAATATTCCAGCTATGTGGCGGCGGTGTGTAAATAATCGAGTCTGGATCACACAACCCAGTGATCAACAGCATGAGCATCCATCTACGCAATTGGGATACGATGACAAGAGTCAATCAAGTCAGCGAGCCTGACCACTCGATCCCGTTAGACGCCTCTTACGACAAGCATGGGTTACTGAAGATCAATGCTAACCCGGATCTTCACGGGTTAATACTGGACAGGGCAAGGTCAGAAGAATAGAGCGTAACCAATGAGAGTTCTTTGTATTGTACATGGGACCTAATATCTAAAGTGAACTCACTGTTATTGTAAAAACCCAATTTGTTCTCAAGCTTGTTCAGGACATCCTCTGCAGCTGCGCTGTTACCTATGTCAGCCAGGGATCTGGCGAGAGCCCCCAATGTCAGACAGGCTCGCTTCTGGGTCAAGGTCATTTCAAGTGTCGCTGGAAATATGGATTGATTGCCACAGCATACGTGTTTAATATGGTAAAGTACGAGCAACATGCATGCCAGTTCCATCTTAGTTGTTTAGAAGTAAATCACCACCATGCTGTCATGTTCTTTTAGTCATGCCGCATTCTTGTCTTTGTTCATACTTCAATAATGAAAAGACCCATATTCAAGTCAAATAATAGAATAATATGAGTCAATAACAGCAGCTTCATTTAACCCTCAACACATTTTGCCAAAACCATCAAATCAGGGACATTAACCAGTTGATCAGGAAACATCAATCCGCTATAGGTCGTGGCCTAATTCAGTTCGGCTCATAATCGGAATAAATAGTTCTCAGTCAAATATGATGATTTCACTTGCAATCAATGTTTTTCCAATTTTTACAAAAATATGTTGTTGGTTTGTCTTATCGAGAGATCCGATGAAATACCGCACTTCTCTGTTTTAAAAATCATGAATAGCTGTGCTATGCTGAAAATCAGTCTGATACTTGGTTTTAATACCATTACCTCCCTCCACGGTATACGGTTGAATTAATGGTGATAAAACGTCTGAGCTGTGATCTCAGCGGGACTAAACAACTGTAATATTTAGGAATATGTCAACCTTGGCAATGCAGGACACTAACAATCGTTTTTAGTGAACATAAATATGAAACTGACAATATATATTTTTTTTAAAAAGCCCCAATAGTACACTTACGAATGTGCTCATAGTTGCCAACAAAGCATAGTTGTTCAACAGATTTGATTGTTTCCTGTAAAGAATAACTAGAGAATCTCACCCAAGTGTCTTCTGATATCAATTATATCAACACGAGTTGATAAAGTTACAAATATCCGAGGCTTGCCGAGGATATTTTTACTTTTATCAACGAGTGTTGATATATTTGATATCAGAAGACACGAGGGTGAGATTCTATTTATCATCCAAAATCACTCTTCATTAATTTTCAATGAAAAATGTACATCTCTGAACATGGTACTGCCATTAGACTTGCAGTGCAGCGATGTCATAGCATTGTGACGTCATCAAGTACATGACGTCATAGCATTGTTAGGGCATTGTACAAAATCTACTGTCAAAACGATATCTCCTAGGAGATATCGTTTGATCTCACACAAGCGATATCTCCTGTGGAACACAGTTTTGGATGATAATGCATATTACTGATGGCACCATATTCAAGTCAACCTATTGAATTAAGACTCACCCCATTTTAATCTTCTGGTGATTAAAAGGAAATATAGTTTCAGTGTAATGCAAATAACAAGTACATCATATAATCGTTATTTTTGCATATTAATGTGTTATCTTATTGGTCACCCTGTAGGACAGAGGTGTCACGACCCGCTTCTCGTTTATTTTAATCCAGTTCATAAACATTGCTCTCAAACCCAGATGATTGATTTTCGGATAAGAACAGAGTTGGGTTATCGAATTATTCTCCTTCACTGCAATATCAGTGATCTGAGTAGCACCTTTAAAATGTGTAATAAGAAAAGATTGACGTTTCCGTACCGGGATTGGTTCCTTGAGAGCGACGTAGTGGAACAGAGGGCGTCTGAGGTCTTCCTCTGTGGCGTTCCTGTCGTTCAGGACATACTGCAACACCAGATTCTGCGAGTCCTCGTCACCTCTCCGGCACAGGATGTCCAAGAACAGGTACCTCTCATCTCTACACACAGTGTCGTTAGTGGTACACTTGGCAAGGTACTGGTGGCCGAGGGCGACTCTGTCCGTCTGAGTCAGGTTGCTGAAGAGACGCATGAGGTCTTGGACGCACACAGTCCTGTTAGCTGCGACTGGAATTTGGAGGGAAGAGATGTATTATACACTCCATGTATTTGGAATTATTAGTGTGACTCACAAGTAATGTCCTTTAAGAAGGCTTATTTTTAACAATACTAAAAGGACAGACTTATGTCAAGAGATAATACCAAGATCCAACTGACTCATACTTGAGAATTGGCATCTGGTCAAAGGTTTAAAATTGGCTTCAAAGTCTTAGTCATTCTCTGAGATTTCTAGATGAGAGTCTGTTGCTATCTCCATTTGAGATTAGCGTATAGAACATTCATCAAATGCGAAAAAGGATGCATTATTTCATGACTTTCTACCCTATCTTTGTTCAATAGAAGAAACGTATTGCTGAATAGTTATACAACAGATAGGCACAGTAACCTACTTTCTACATTGAATATAGAAAATATTAAATCTAAAGTTATCAAAACCTAATCAACTGGAATCCGGGTAAAGGTAACAGGCGCGGATATATCTCAACACGGGATCTACACACAATTCGAACACATCATAAGAACACGGTTAGAGTGAGTATAGTATTCCGCCCCATTTGGCCTTGTTGGAGCAATATGTTCACACACACCAAAATGGCGTCCTTCCCTAGCGTCAAACGAACAGTATGGGCAGAAACTTACATTTGTCATCGTATGACTGTATGCAGTCCAGCAGATCGTGAAACTGTGTCTTTACTTCCTCCAGTGCTTGCTCCTTTGGTACTGGCTGCGTGAGACAAACATGAAAATAAACCAGAACCAGTATTAAACGGCTACTTCAACTATAAACACATACGACCAGATGGGTACACGAAATACATGATCTAGACTTCCAGTTATCAGACTTCATTTCTTGCGGATGCCGCGGTGACTGATTGGGTCAGATCGCTGATTTTGTGTGCTGCCCGTTAGGTGCCTCGCTCTGAGAGTTTTGGTTCGAATCCCGGACCGGATTCAACCCAACAAGGTACTAGAATCGGTACTTTACTGAGAAAGTATAATCCCAAATATAACTTAAGTTGCACTTATGGCATTTGTCATAAATTGTAAATAAATGTATGGATAACCTGATAAGCTTTTTGTAAATAATAATTTCAAATATCATGTATCGAGTTAGTGACAGAGCAGTTAGGGCCGAAATCAGCTGACTCAGCATATAGTTAAATAACCTCATGTTGGCATGACCAAAACTGTTTGATTACACGAGCAATGATCTGTGATGACACACATCAGGTGATGAAACACTGTAGGTTTTAGCATAATGTTACAAGTTAGTTGTTGAGTTATGATTCTTTGCGCACGTAAACCCAGCATAGCCATTGGGTTGATATAAAAGACTGACCAGCTTAACTTGGGGTGTGTCCACCTTGAACTCAGACATCAGTATTCCACTTGCTGGAGCCACTCGCCTGGGTTGGTAGGAAGATAACATTTACGTGTGAGGTCTTCAGTGAAAATGTTCCAATTAAATCTGTACTTCTAGTGTTGAAAGTTTGAATGGTTTAGATAAACACATAAAGACCCCCACAGTTCCAATACTATTCAAGATTTGATACTTTGTACCTTTTCACTAGTGATGTTTTTTTGCAAATGACTGGCCTGACTCAAAGTGATCTTGGAAACTAATTGCTCTCCACAAATTGACTGCACAAATAGTATGAATGTAATATTTCTCCTGTTTCCATTTATACAGATGAATTAATCTCACTATACTGATTTTTATTGAATGAACATGAACTCATATACGACGTGGTTTTGACTGACTATAAAGAATTCCATCGTTACAAACGCTACACTTTTAACGTCTAAGTGAGTGAGTTTAGTTTTACGCCGCTTTTAGCAATATTCCAGCAATATCACGGCGGGGGACACCAGAAATGGGCTTCACAGATTGTACCCATGTGGGGAATCGAACCCGGGTTTTCGGCGTGACGAGCAAACGCTTTAACCACAATGCTACCCCACCGTCCCTAACCCTTTAGTCGTCCTGAATAAATGTTGCAATTAATATGAGGGTTAACTGTACGGTCAACTGTCTTATGGGTTTACCTGCGAGCTGTAAGCTTTACTACACTGTTGGCGGTAGAAGACAGGGAAGGGAATTCTGCAATCAAAACAGATTGTTCACATTAACATAATTCGAGTTCTAGTTTAAGGTGTTCCTATATAATACCTGTAAATCTTAATGAAAAAAATATGATGAACTGATTTTATATAAGCGTTGTCGGGTCACATATATCGCTAGTGCCTCAAAGATTAAGATAAAAGTAATATAACAAAGGAATTATCAGGAAGTCGATACACATCGTCATATTTACCAGTGTCTGGTGAAACTATGATGACTTCCCCCTTTTGTTCAGAGCTGCAGGATAGAATGTACATGTGTTAACAAAGAAACCATTGCTCCCTCAAACTGTCTTTGTGGCTGTATCCTCAAAGGGTGTTGAAGTAGCATAAAATTATTGTCCTCCTGAGAGGGTACGTAAGTCCCAAAAACTTTCAAAGTGAAATTTTTCGTAACAAGTTTTTAAACGTAGTATTTTTGTTCTTTTAAATTTCGGCTAAATTATCCTACAATCGCCAGCGGCTGAAGGGATGGTGTAAATCCAGCTAGGCTCCATGCAGGTAGCAAAAGTAATGTAAGTCCCAATGGTTCCTCGTATGGTGATCTACCTTCAGTTGTTGGCGATCTATAGCCCGTGTTTTATATTGTATTGTCTTCTTTAATTGGAATGTTTTTAGCTTTGCTCGCTAGTTTTATATTCATATTTGTGATTTTCTAGTATTTTTACTGTCCATCGTCGACAGGTTTTAATCTTCAAAATGTTTTCACTTTTTATAGTATAAATTGTTTTCGTCACGATATGGCTGAGATATTGCCGATGTGACGTTAAATATTAACTCACTCACGCAAACTGTCTGTCGTCTACCCTGACTACCACACTTCGACACTGTCAGTAATCGGACCAAGGCTATCCATACCAGGATCTCCGGAACCTGGAAAGCATTCATGAAACACCTGATTTTCCTCTATGCCATATGTATAATGCCCATCGTTTTCTTATTGTAAGACAGCCTCTTATGAATTCATATCCCTCAATTGGGGCCACAAGACCCATAGCGTCACCTTAGGTGAGGTGAGGTGACATGGGGTTTAACGTCGTACTTAAGAATATTTCGCTCATATGACGATGTGCATGCGTGTGTATGTGTGTCTGCTTGTACTAGCCCAGACTTAAGCTGGTTTTATAGTGCTAGCTCACTGAGATACCTTGCCGCAATTAAGCATGAATACCCCACTCAGACACATGATACTGACTCCGAGCCGACCAGTCCTTGTTACAAGTACCCATTGAGGCCGAGTGCCAGACAGGGACCAACAAGACCAACATATTTTAACGTCTTTTGGTACGACGCGGATGGGAATCGAACCCGCGACCTTCCGCTCTCTGGGCGGACGCTCAACCACTACACCACGGAGGCGGTAGCGTCACCTTAACAAGGGGAAGCTAACATACGCATCAACACGAACGTGGAGCTTGACAAAAACATTATTTATAAGACTAAGACACACCGATATTTGACAACATAACCATGCCTCTAGTCTCTCTCTACCTTTGGGATGGGGCAGGTTCGTCTCTGAGGGTGATGGTGTCCGTACACTTCACATGCTGGATGCGGCCTTTCCGGTCATATTCAATCGTCTGAGAAAATGAAAACAAAACAAAACAAAACATTTCATGAATACCAAAAGCATAAAGTTATCTACATTTCAAAAAAACAATATTACATTACTTTGCTCGAGTGTACACGATGGACCGCGCGGTAGGGAAGTGCTTCCACTTGCAGCGTTACGAATCGACCCCGTGTCTATCATACCATGGCCTCGTCCATATCTTGAATGTTGGTACCAGGGTCATAAATGAACAGTCACTCACACAAGATCACACACCTACCTTTTCGTGCTGTCTATGGGTTTCGGCCGTGCTTTCGTGTCGTCTGCTCACCATACTTCCGGTTGGTAACCGTTTGGCGGAATACGAGTGCAGTAGCCTCCCTTAACAAAACGTGAACAGTTCTATAGTAGTCAAATTTAAAGTTACCAGGTATATTTCCTTTTATATTGAGCTCTAAAAATGGACATATGAACTTCAACGCTATACATTACCGTGTTGATCTGTCTCCCAGTCGCTGTAAGTCCACGTCGTCTTCAGGGAATGCTGAAAAGAAACAGTACAGAAATGTAGCCTACTACACGAGGTTTTAAATAAGAGGTATGTGGTTAGTGAGGTGATGTGAGGGGAAATGGGGTTTAACGTCGTACTTAAGATTATTTCGCTCATATGACGGCGTGCATGCGTGTGTATGTGTGGCTGATTCTACTAGCCCAGACTTCAGTGCAAACTCACTGAGAAACCATGCTGCTGTTTAATAAGCATGAATACGCCACTCAGACACATTATACTGACTACGAGCCGACGCGTCTTTCTTGTACCCATTAATGCCGATAACCAGGCAGGGACCAACAAGTACCATATTTTAATGTCTTTTGGTATGACGCTCCCGGGGATCGAACCCGCGACCTTCCGCTCTGCGGGCGGACGCTCTAACCACTAAACCACGGAGGCGGTCGCATTTGTTTGACAGCAAGCGAATGTATACACGTCAACACACCTGCCATTAAACGCAGTCGTAACGGTTGAATCCAACGGCCATGAACAACAAATCGTAATAATAATAAGAAGGGTGATATTTGTAATGCGCTATAGGTCATCCTTTGACACATCTCCAAAGAGCCCACACCATCAATAGGACAACTGATTTCTTTCTCAGCTGCTTATGGAGCACGATCCCCTGTGAGGCGCTAAATGTTCAACAATTTCATAATCATCTCATCACGCAGGTGTATTTCTAACGAAGACACCCCATTTGCCACACCGCTAAAGGGGAGATTTGCAAGACATACGAAACTTTAAAATAGTGCCTGACACTCTAACAAAGATCCACGATCTGAATTAGACGCCATTATACAGAAGGTGAGTTGAGTTTAAAATCGTTTGATGCGGTAGGTAATCAATACCAACGATACCAACGAACACGAACATGTTATACTTGTATATTTCGTGTCAACATGATGTCAAGATGTCTTGACAGTGATCGACTTCATGAGCATCCATCTACGCAGTTGGAATACGACATGCACCAACCAAGTGAGCGAGCCTCATCGACCTTCCAAATGAACAGGTCGCCAGTTAAACGAGCCTTGGATACTTATACTTTCACCTCAATATAGACTAACGATTCCAGAAGTACTCGCCCTGGCAGTATCTTACAGTCGTACAGTCCGTACAGTCGTACCTTCTTGTACATGGAGAGAGTTCCGGCTAGTAGTTTCTTCAAGGTCACCACCTCGTCCTCCTCCTCCGGATGGTGGAAGATCTGTGTCACTGCTCCATCCCCGCCCACGTGGAACAGGAAGCTGTAAAACCAGGAAGTTGTGGATGAGGTCATGTTTAAGGGGTAACTATATTCAAAAACGTTGTTTGTATATGAGTTGTTTAACGCCACACTCAGCAATATTCCAGCTATATGGCGGCAGGGTTTACATAATTGAGTCTGGACCAGACAATCCAGAGCATCAATCTACGCAATTGGGATACGATAGTTTATACAGATTCGCTGATGTCCCTCGCCGTGATATAGCTGGAATATTGCTGACTGCGGCTTAACAAGTTAGCGATCCTGTCCACCCGATCTCGTAAGTCGCCTTTAGACAAGTAAGTTGTTGCTGAAGACCATTTCTAAACCCAGATCAAATTCAATATGTAACTATACATCCTCTGTTAAATAATAATGAGAGGTGATGTTCATGGATAACTTACTTCCGTGTCAAGTCCCAGTGTTTAGGGTTGTTGTCCACTGAAAGTAACACCAGTCTGATATTAACATTATCATCAGAACACTAATTACCCGATTTGAAATAGATTAGGATCAGGTTTGGCCTGTTATGGATAATACGTCCGTGTTTGCAATTATGGAAGGCCAAACACCGACAAAAAGTTTAAAATACAACTTTACTTGAAGATTATGTAGAAATAAATAATCCGGAATTTAGCCTGTTCGAATATTTGAAAACATTATACCATATCCTCTGTCGGAATGTTGTACGAAGCTGTCAATCATCAGGAGGTTCATGCTGCTATCTTCTGATTGGTTCACGGGAGTCACGTGGAACTGAATGTAATATACAGGAATGTTAGCATTTGTATTTTGCTACCAGTAATATACAAAAAGTTGATGATGACACTTTAACACGTTCTAGGGAATTTGTCAGACTTTAGGATCCGTGGGTCAGAAGTGGATTATTGGGGCCCCGTTCCAAAAAGAACGCGGTCTTAGCATAGTTCCCATAATTTATTATCGAATAACCACGGTAGTAGTTTATTCTCGAAACGTTCGTAGCACTAACAATGCTAAACTATGATCATTGCCAATGTGTTATGTATGGGCTCAGGAGGTTCGAAGGGCTGCGAACGTTTCGAGAATAGCTAGCCAGGGCAGATGCCATTGCTTCAGAATTGTAACAAAGGTTAAACAAGGGTCATTGTAGACTCCCAATACGCTCAGCCGTTGCCATCTGTGACGACATGACTGACTGACTGACTGAGTTTGGTTTTACGCCGCTTTTAGCAATGTTCCAGCAACATCACGGCGGGGGACACCAGAAATGGGTTTCACACATTGTACCCATGTGGGGATTCGAACCCGGGTCTTCGGCGTGGTGACGACATGAATTATGAATGTCCATGTTTATGCAGATTCGCGATGACAAGTGGATGTGTCGATGCAGTGTGGGGCAGACGTTACTCATTTAGTCTTTTCTTGCACAGCTTTCGACATATCCCTGCTAGAAATATTGCAGGGGCATAAAAAGTGAAATATCTGCCTGGGCGATTGCTTTAGTCAGCAAACTCAACAAACGACGACATTATAAAATCAAAACTGCTTTTGAAACCGCAATGATACCTTCCTCTGGTACTGCCAATATGTAAGAGACAGAACAAACCGTATATGGGCGTTATCTTTCTTTAACGAACAAAATCAGTGAGATTAATTCAGATCAGGGCAGTATGTAAAGGTTTGGTTTAACAATTGGGCTGCGGTGTAGCCTTTAAAAAGCGCTATCTCGTCAGCAGATAACATGCGTTCGATTCCGACATTGGTACAATGCCTGATTTCTGATGTCCCTCGCTTCGATATTGCTGGAATATTGCTGCGGCTTAAAAACATACTCACTCACTCTGAATGACAGATTTCCCGCTGCCAAAAAATGTGTACGTGTACAAAAGCCGATAATCTTTCGTTTGATGTTTTCACCGCAGTCAATATTCCAGCAATATAATGGATGCCTGTTCTTTATCATTCCCGGTCCAAACAAACCAGTGGTTGATACAGTGAGCACCGATGATAGTTTTGTTTTCTAAATCAGGTCACGACGTCGGGGGCGTTTACGATGGATTCAACGATTTATAGCTGCGTTAAGCTCGATTTAAGAATTAGACTTTTACCAGGCGAATTCAAAAAGAGTCTAGGTAAATAGGACCACCCGTGTACATCGTGAACAGTGATGCACATATTCATGTACGATGTATCAAAATCATTCAGGTCACGCGTTGTAAGCACTCGATATGAATGGATCTTTATAACACAGTCATGTGTATACACTTACACTAAGAAAGGGCAACAACCTTTTCAATAATTTCTCTGTTAACAACATTGGCTGAATCAAATTAAAGAACAAATCGGGGAGAATCAAATAGACCTTGCTGCTGCTACCCTTATGAAAAGGGGTGGTGGGGTAGCGAAATGGCTAAAACGTTCGCTCGTCACGCCGAAGACCCGGGTTCGATTCCCCATATGGGCACAATGTGCGAAGCCCATTTCTGGTGTCCCCCGCCGTGATATTGCTGGAAAATTGCTATAAACGGCGCACAACCAAACTCACTCACTAACTCTTATGAAAAACTGAAGGGTTGGTGGTTTGAACATAACTGGATAAAAATATTTTTGCATATAATTTTTATTAAGCGACTTCTAAAATAATATAGCGCCGATCAATACTAATAAAAATATTAAAAAATGCCTTTCGCAGCCTCGAGAACAATAACAAAAAACAACTAAATAGAACAAATCATAATTATGTTAATCCTATGGTCAGGGCAATATGCGTGAACGACTTATAAAATAAAGAACATACAAATAGTATATTGAGTGAGTGAACGATTTAGCGTTTTAGCCGCTTTAAAGGCGTATTTGTCAAATCAAGTGTGAGCTAAACGTGTGAGAAGAGTGATTTTTTCAAAGTTTACAACTTTACTGAAATCCACGAGCATAGGTTTGACAAACCTAGAAACATACTCTGGGTGAACCGCTATTGGACCCACAAACATAAGTCTCTGGCAGGCTTCGAGGACGCATATTTGCTATGTGAATTGCAGCGTATTGGACTGTGCTCCCACACGTCCGGGTAAACAGGTCAGTTACTTTGTTAGCGGTGATGTTATTTTGAAATTTCATTGTTCACTTGACCAATTACAACAATCCGTTCCAGTGAATCTCCTTTAACCCGGAAACCCTGCCATTGATAATGTATATACATTTACACAATGGGCTCTTTTCAATAACTTATATTATTTTCGATATAATATAATAGAACCATGTTGTCTCGAACTCCTTTTGACTAGCGGAAAGATTCGACTTATCCGACTCGACCTTTTTACTTTTGACTGTTAGATCGATACAACTGTGACTTGGATTGAAAACAGTAGTTCGCTGTACTTGTTAAACCAGAGAATTATCCCTTGGAATAGTAACCACCGGTCTAAAGGAGTTTCACTGTCTAGTTCTCGCTATCTGTATTTTTCATACCTAACAAAACCTCTTACACATCTACCTTAATGATCGTGGACAAGTTGTGCAGACCAAGAACTTGAGACTTGGAGGAGTAGGTAAAGTAATGTCGGTGTCCATCTTCAAACGGCGCACCTGTAGCACAGGACACCAACACAAGCAGAACAAAACACAAGTCCGAGCTGACCATTCTGCTGTCTTCGGTGTCTTACATGTCTGCAGCTCAGAAGTGCAATGTGGGGACTCAACAGTGTGGAGGACAAACTTCAAAATGACGCGTTTGGGCGAATACTTGAAGTAATGAACATGTTCTTCACAACGAAAACATCTACTTATCGGGTATAGCCTTGACCTAAAACAGGTTTTGGAAAACAGCCATTTGAGAGACTGATAAATGGGACAGAACATTGGACCTTCGATCGGGTAAAGTCCCCCTCTCAGCACTCTAATTCAAGGTGATTTCAGTGTACACACAAGTGTGCACTGGCCTTGCGATAAGGAGGTGCTTATAGTGAGATTGTCTTAAAGATTCTCTGACAGCCGAGATTATGTCAGCTCGATACCGTGTCCTCATTTATTTCGTCCAGCCGAAGGGAATGTGTTTGATCTCAACATGAATGGTGTCCTTGTTTGGTCCCTTTGTCGAATAGAGGTGTGACAATACAGAAATGTCACGATACGTATTGCGATATCTTGGAACGATACGATTCGACTCGATTCGATGCATATCACGATATGCTATCGTTAGTGGTTTTCTTTTAAAAGTATACTTGATAGCAAGTAACAGTGTAAATTTTTACATAACCGTCAAATTCTTGGGAAAATTAACGATTTTAAGGTCAACGATTCATATCACGATACGAGAAAAAGTATCGATATATTTATCGCCAGAAAAAGTATCCCGATTATCGATACTATGATATATCGTCACAGCTCCATTGGCGAAATGCCTTAACGACCGATTAAAAGTAGTAAAAGATCACTTACTTATGCACTGGACGATAATAAATAATTATGTCAGTCGAGTCTTTCAATATTTCGAGACTTCATCGACCCTTTCTTGTTCTGTGTTTGTTGTTAACGCCACACTCAGCAAAATTGCAGCTACATAGCGTCAGTCTGTAAATAATCGAGTCTGGACCAGACAATCCAGTGAATAACTGTATGAACATCGATCTAAGCAATTGGGATACGTTGATAAGTGTCAACCAACCGATCCCGTTAGTCGCCTTTTACGGCAGTCATGAGTTGCTGAAGATCAACTCTAATTCAGATATTCACGGGTATTCTTGCTGTAAGGTCCACGTAAACTTCATACTGCGTAGGTGTAACATGAATATTGTGTATGTGAACTATGACCAGTAAATTTGCTAAAGACGTAACATCTGATCCTATTTCGCAGTCATGTGTGAAGTCTTTGTGAAAGCAACCTCAAACATGTCAAAGCGGTATCCCGAGATGCCCACCCCAAAGTGACCACAAAATTAGTAGTCAACTAAATACTTAAAATCATGATGGATTCTGAGAAAGACAATATTACACTAATCAAGAGTGAAGCTTTAATTTCACATATCTCCAAAAACAGTTTTCTTTTTTTAGCGAACATGTATTAAATCGACGAAAAATATGATTTTGTCTGTATATCCGAATTTTAATGAATTTTCTTCGTATTGGCGTAGTTTGGGGCTAAAATTCGTAGCGACTACGATAAAATCGTAGAGGTTGGCATCTCTGTAGCAGCAGCGACAGTATAGTATCCGTACTCATTGCCTCATTTGTCATACGTGTCAGTGTTCAGATGGTGGGGAGTGTCAACTTCCAGATTGCCAATCGCCTCAAACCGGTGGTGTGGTACACACGGTTATTTACAAGCCGCTAGGATATTGATGGTCTTTGGCTGACTTCTCACATTTTGTCACTCATGATACAAGTGTGGAAGAGAGCAAAGCTCACATACCCCCGCTTCCTACTTTGGGACATGGAAATGACTGATATTGATATATATAATGGGACAAGGATCAGCAGCTCACAAGACTTTCTCCTTGACTCCAACAAACTTTATATACATGTAAGATAATAGTTTTGCAATTTATTGTTTACATTAATAATTTATGGAAATATGTTTTGGTTTTTGTGTTTCCTTGGAAACGTGACATACCGTTGAACTTGACTGTCTCATGATGACATGAAGGAAATACCATGAAAAGTGAAAAGACAACATCACACTTTGAATAATCACATTTTGCTTAAAATATTACAAGGTACATCTGTTGGTCATGATTAATTTGTGTATTACGTTTGGTGAACCTAGCATGTATAGCTTCAGAGATATGCCCGGTCAAGATAATAATCAAACAAATTTTTCACCAAGTCATGTTTCCATGGAAACAGCAAGAGATGAAATTCTGATAAACTTTAAAATAGCAAAAGACACATCTGTGGGTCATGATTTACACGTGTATTAAGCTTGGTGAACCTAGCATGTATATAGTTTCGGTGATATGCTCTGGACAAGATAACCATCAAACACATTTTGCACGAAGTCGTGTTACCATAGACACAGCAAATATTCAAATTCTGATAAACCTTAAAATAGTAAAAGGCACATCCGTTGGTCATGATTAACTTGTGTGTTAATTTTGATGAACCTAGCATGTTTAGTTCCGGTCATATGCTCCGGAGAGGATAACCATCAAACACAGTTTGCATTAAGTCGTGTTTCCAAAGAAACAGCAAAAAATCTGATCATCTTCAAAATAGCAAAGGGCACATCTATCGGTAATAAATAACATGACTGAAGTTTGGTGAACCTAGCATGTAAACTTTAGAGATATACTCCGTACAAAGTTCAGTGACGGAAGGACGGACGGAAAGACGGGCGGTCAGAATGAACGCTCTATACCCTGTTACTTCGTAAGCAGGGGTGTAATAAGCGATTGGACAAGTCGTTCTGACATTTGAGCGTCAAGCCGTGTTCTAAGAGACAAGGCATCAAGTGTTATCTCCCTTGCACCGCAAGCTCCTCTGCCTCACTTTCACAGTTCACGTTTGCACGAATGGACAGAAATGGGCCTTGACAAATTTCTATTTCCACACCCTGAAAATATTCAAGCCATATCATAGGCCTGTAATTACATATTCTCGGTATCTTTTCATCCCATTGTATTCGAGGGAAATATATTCTTAAAATTGTCAAATATTTCTGCATTGTTTGGGCTGAACTTGCTGTTGATCGAAGCTAACATTTTAGACCTAATATATTGCCTATACAGGTTCTGATTAGATCGTTTAACATTTACATAGTGGAAACAAAATTTTCTCATACAGGTTAATAGTGAGCTTTTGTAAATCTGGACAAAACATAAGACATACACATAAACAACTTTATTTTCTGGTAATCAACAATAATAATATATAACAATAAATAACAATAGGCAATGTGTCACACATAAAATAACAATAGGTGGTATCGACAGAGTAAATATTTCAGGTTAAAAATAAATACTTGTTTCAGATAACATGGAAATTAAATACAATTATGTAATTAATTAAGTCCGAGTGAGTGAGTGGAACGCTTACTAGCATATAGCAGATCTTAGAAAGATCAAGGTATTCGGTACAGTTTGTGAACTATATCACCTCAAACAAAGGGATATCTGGGTACTAATATATAATTTGAGCAATATGACACACAACAATTCATAGTAGTATTCATCGAGTTCAGCTTAGACGATCTTTACACAATATTGAGGCCTACAAGGTGATCACAAATTCTTCGAGAATTACTGTGTATTGGTATTTAAGGCTGCATATTTTCAACTTCAACATCCATCTTTGCATCAGCTGCCTTGCTTCAAACTAGAATGTATGACATCATGCCCACGCCTGTCCGTGTGACATGTTCACTCCTCCGTGGTCCGCCCTGTCGTCATCAGTTGTTCAGTGTGATGCTCAGCAAGTTTGGCAAGATGCTTTTCATCAGGACCAGCTGCACGGACAGACACACACTTAAGTCTGCCACTCTTGTGTTCAACTGTGCCAACACATCTAGATTGATAAGCAGAGATAATTGCTTTATTAACATGGTAGTATGGGCAAAGATCATTTGTGACCCGGGTGGGTCAACATGCACAAAGCGATCTTAGCGCTACGTTGATCATAACTCCCATACTCTAACATAGTGAGTGAGTGAGTGAGTGATTGAGTGAGTTTAGTTTACTTTTACACCACTTTTAGCAATATTCCAGCACACAGCAGACGACACCAGAAATGGGCTTCACACATTGTACCCATGTGGGGACTTGAACCCGGGTCTTCGGCATGACGAGAGACATTTTAACCACTAGGCTGCCCCACCACCTACTGTAACGTAGACTTATATATACTAGTTGTAGTGCTTAGATTAGTTGGTTAGTGCTTAGTTGTGTCACTTAAAAGTGTATCAACTCATAATGCAAACCTGGGAATGATCAAAACTACAGTACTTGCTGCATGTGTCATTAGAATATGACCTTTCTCTTGGAGAAAATGAATAGACACAGAGAGTGGTATAACGCTCACAGCTCACAACAATGCAGTAGCAAAACAGGCCACACTCTGGGTCAGTCAAACAGTGATGCATAATAAATATATAGATATTCTAAGAACTTGTTATTAACGTTATACTCGCCTAAAACAGTATTCACATATAGCTTGATACTGAATTAAATCTTGTTACAATTTATTGTGTATGGTATTTGAGAACTTAATTTAATGTATTTTTTCAACAAATCATATATTTTTACTGCTATTGTAGTCGCGTATTTTGTGTTGTTTTCTTGTAATGATTAGATAAAATCGTATTGGTTGGCATATGTAAAAAAGAATATTGGAATATCCTTTCATGTGCCTGCTTATTGTTTTCTGACATCTGTAGGTATGAAGAGGTTTATGTTCACCACATGTAGGGCTAGCTGAAACTATCGATATGTGGAACTTTTGTAGATTGGAAGAATTATTCACGATTAGATATATGAACTTTTTGTCATTGACAATATCTTACATAAAATATTGTGATTAAATATAGTTTTAATATAAACATACAACACACAAAGTCACATGGGTTGCTTCTAAATTAGGTTCAGAATGGTATTTTCATTAGTAATCCATGCATAAATATGTATATGCATATCCATGTGACCACTTTCCAGTGACCCTAAATATGGCTGTTTCTGCATTTTATCTAGCAGTTACTTCTCCTATATTTATGGATAATCAATCAGTACTAAGGTAACAATTATTGATCTCTTCAAATCGATATCAGTAGCCAGCAACATGTTCCCAACCGATTTTTAACATACCTCTGCCACTGTCCCCTTATCAGTCGAGGTAGGCTTCTATCCTGAAAGTAGAGAGTGAGTGAGTTTAGTTTCTATCAATATTCCAGCAATATCATGGCAGGGGACACCAGAAACGGATTGCACACATTGTACCCATGTGGGGAATCGAACCTGGGTCTTCGGCATGACGAGCAAATGCTGTAACCACTAGGCTACCCCACCACCCTGAGGACCTGTGAAGATCCGGGTTAGAATTGATCTTCAGTAACCCATGTTATTCGTAAGAGGCAAATAATGGGATCGGGTTACTCAGTCTCGCTGACTTGGTTGACACATATCATCATATCCCAACTGTGTTGATTGATGCTCAGGCTGTTGATCACTGGATTGCCAGGCTCGATTATTTACAGACCACCACAGCTGGAATATTGCTGAGTGCGACGTTAAACAACAAACCAACCAACCAACCAACCATCCAACCCGTGAGTGAGAGTGGTTGAGTGAGCGAGTGTGGCAGTGTAAGCTTCAGCTCTTTAACAGGATGAGTGAGTATACTACATCTTGAAAACTACTTAATTTACAGCAGTGGTACAGAGGAAAATGGTGCATATTATATTCACTGATCACTTAAGGAAACAATAAGGAAATATAGTGATGACAAAACATAAACCATACAGAGAATCTCTTCAATGTATTCAACACATAACAAGTGAGAATTTCCGAATGTCAGCTTCTTTTATATGAGGACATGACGAAGTAATAAGAATAAACTCTGAAATGTCATGTTCCTCATGATAAAAAAATTACATCCATAAACGCTCCCCTTTTATGTGTATCACTTCTACTGGCTATTCAAAGACATAATGCAGGACTAGAAATGCAACTTTTCTGCAAGGTGCCATAATGCACCAGAGAGATAATTTAGGTGTGCCTTTGTGAAAGTAAGTATGCCCATACCGTTCGATGATCCAATTAAACTCTAAACATCACAACAACTATGTTATTTCAATTTATTTTCTGATAATTCAGTGAACATCATGTAAAGCTGTATTCTTAAGAATTTGATTTCATGATCAGTACCATGACTACAAGTTCAGCTTCCTTGACCCATAAACCATGTTATCATCCAAAACTATGTTTCTTCACAGTCATGTGCACTGGCATTTAAAATGGCCACTTATATGTTAAGCTGTAAGATTGCCACTGATTATAAAATAGTTTTGCAGGGTGCAAAAATCATTGAATCATTTTAGTTGGTTAAACTTAACACATTTTCCATTGAATTAAGCATGGTGAGTATTTTTTTTCATAATTTTAGTTATTCCGCAACAGCACATTGAAAATATTTCATCAAAGCAATTTCAATATTTACTGTGCCATGGCACCCAATTTAAGCACTATTTCGATCCCTGTAAATGAATTCAATGGCAATGAGCTGTACCAAAGAGCTATGTTGTTATTATTAATATCATATATGATAGAATGCGATACTGGGATTTATTACCCACGTGGTCAATGTATGGCTAGTTGCAAACTAATCTCGTACATCACACGAGTGTCGTATCACGTTGACCTGTGTCGTAACGACTTGAACTTAGATTCTAAAGTTCTCACTTGAGATTCTGAGATGATAGTTAATATCAAGGAAAATATAGGCTTTAATTATTGCTACTACATGTCATACACCATTTTGAAAGGTCTAATCCTATTGTTGATAAATAAGTAATTTTTATCATATTGTTTAAATAATACGTCTACAACTTAAATAAGTTTATTTTCCATGAACATGCAAGCTTACACATTTATGTCCAGATAAACCACGAAGGAAACAAAAACTGAACGATTTTTTCATTTGTAAGATGTCATTGTATCCCCTTACCTAGTTTTATTTCATCTTTTCATTTTGACATAATCAGAATTTTGTTAAAAAAAGAAATTTCTTAAATAATATGTATGGTCACCTATTTCCCAATAACAATGGCTTCCCGCTTGGTTACATGAATCATGCATATATTTTCGCATAAACATAGTATCTGAGCAACCTAAATAAGTTTATTCTTAATTCTACACATGTATAATATCTAGACAAACCACAAAGGTAGCAAAGACTGCAGCTATTTTTTCCATTTGTATTATCTCATACAAGATGGTAAGAGTAACTTAGATGTACTTTTGACAACTGTTCAAAGGGTAACCCCCCCATTACCCCTACATGCCACTACCCCTACAGCTTATAACAACATAGTTTACGGTCTGTTGCACTGTTAATCCACTGCCTGTTACCTATTCCACACAATGGACTAATCCACTTAAGAGACATAACAACACACAACTAAAAGGTTGAGAGAATGGTTTTAATGAAAAGTGATCATCGTTTGTCATCATCAAGATTTTAATAAGAATTAACAATAATTCGTCATCATGATTCTTTGATGGACATTAACAATTAATTGTTAACATTCAATGTTAACATAGTCATTTGTGTCAAGTGTTTCAGTCTATGAACATTCAGTGTCTGAAGAGTCTGGAGTAGGTCGTCATCTGGCGGTCGGGAAGTAAGGCGAAGATGAGGGGATATGTGGTGGTCCCACGTCTGGCATGTATGATGTAGACTTGATTCCATAGTGCAGGGCAGGCAGTGAATGTTCCATCCATGTAGATGTTCTCGGCTGACTGCAAAGCCTGAATACTCTCTTGGGTGCCAAATGCCAGGATCTTGTCATCATCGCCGTCAGCAAACAGGAGGAATGGTCGACCATCTGCTGTCTGCGTCCAGGGATCTTGAAGGTCGACTTCTGATCTCGTCTGTGGTAAAACAGGAATCGTCTTCCGGCGGTGGCGGTACAGGGCGCTGCACATGGATAGAAAGGATGGCATCGTGTGTGTCTCATCATTGGTCAGGTTGGTGAGCTCGTCGTTGTAGATGGTGCGCATCTGTGTTGACTCCTCCCTGGCTCTCTTCCTCAGGTTGCTGACAAACCGGACCTTCTGACTATCCTCTGGTGGGTGATTATGTTCTGTCGTATTCCTTACAACATTGCCAACAGTTGTGGCTCTTCCTCTGCATGTTGACTGAACACACTTCCAGTGTACACAAGACTGTCTCTCGACATTCTTAGTGTGAAGATAACCGTCAAATAGGACTTGGGGGCTACCTCTCCGTGACATAAAAAACTCAACATTACGCAGACCAGCCATGTTGATGCCATGTTAGTTTGTTGTCAACAGCTATATACTATACCGAACTATCTCAATTTACTTTCGCGTCTCACCTTCTCATTTCCCTCCACTTCTCAATAATACTGTGTATCTTTTATCATGGCACTAAAACAACTTAATTTCAACATTTAACAACCTACACATTATCCAATTTGTAAAATTGTTCTACTCACTAGAGGTTTATCTTTCATCATGAAACTAAAACAACTTTTAGCTAATCCCAAATTTCCTTGACACAAAACACTAAAGAACAGTTTAATCCCTCCCTTGATCTCATCTGCATACTCTATGCACTAATCTCTCTTTGGGTCAGTTCATTATGCCAGACAGGTAAATGCTGTGTGTTGTTTTAACTAATTGTAGGGGTACTGGGCTGTAGGGGTAGTGGCATGTAGGGGTTATGGGATACAACCGTTCAAAGAGTATTTTTGCTGATTTTAATCCTCAGTTTATTCAATTTATTTAATGATTTATTTGAAACATTGTTATTTTGCTCTTTGACAATTTAGATGTGGACATGTTGCTGAAGCATGTGTCAGTGAATTGTTTTTTTAAAAACATTAATATCATATCTTAGGAATGAAAACTGTATTATGCGAGCCTTTGCCAAGCATAATACATGTTTTCTATAATTGCATATTCATCAGCTTGGGACACCAAGTTTATTAGATTACACCCTCCATTATATGATAAAGATGAACTATTTTCAGTGTGCTCTGGTGGCATGACTAAAATCATAAAAATAATAACATGATTCATTAAATGGAAAATGCGATAGATTTGATAACGTCAAATAATTCAAAACCTATTTTTGCATCCCATCAAACTGTTTATCGTTAGCACTCTCAGTTTCACAGCTTGACCTGGGTATGGATAGTTTGAAATGCAGTGCACATAACAGGAAATCCAATTTGGGATGAAAACACAGTTTGTGGGTTAGTTTATGGGTCCAAGACAAATGAAGCTGAACTGTTCTTGCAGTCATGACAGTGTTCAGGTAATCAAGCTCTCAAGTTGACTGATTCATTAACAATAACTTCAATTGACATAATTTGTTGTGATATTTTAAGTTTAATTGGATCCTGAAAAGGCACACCTAAATTATCTGTCTGATGCACAAACCCTTCGAAAAACCTGCATTTTTATCCCTGATCATTTTAGCATGACTACTGCCTGGTCAGTTAACTGGTTATTCAGCCTGCAGTGTTGAAGACACTGAGTTCAGTCAGCTTCAACAATCTGTTTCAATGCCAAATACTGATGGGTCCAACCAATTATGTAGGGATCCAAACAACACTAACAACCATGTAGGGATCCAAACATGACAGTAGGGATCCAAACAACCCTGTAAGGATCCAAACAACCCTGTAGGGATCCAAACACCCCTGTAGGGATCCAAAGACTAAATAGTTCTAAAGTACTGTCAGAAATAGAAAAAAACTGTATTTTCTCATTTATCTTTGCAATTTATGTAGTTGATATCTGCAAGTGTGAAATATCTGTTAAACTATGTTCAACCTAACTACAGTCTCAGTGGTAGGAAACGTAGACAAAAGGACTTTACTGGGGAGAAATTAGTGCAGAAATGAGCAATGCGGGTTTTTTCTAAGTCCAAAAGGATTTATTTGGAACAGACCATGGCTTTATGCAAATTAATGTGCGACGATATTGTATTACAAAGGACACTGTTTAAATGCCCAATGCGTAAAAAATAATAACTTTCATGCTGAATCTATTAAGGATGTAGCTACCATGGAGTCTCACTGTCACTATAACAAGAAACAGATAGGAGGGTTCGTCTCAAAAGCAAAACCTGGACGGGTGTTGCAGACAATCGTTGGGGTCGGGCTACGGGATAGAGATATCAGCTAAGATAAGATAATCCTTTAGGGCAATTATACTGGGGAAGTACATAGCATGTCATAACAATTTACAAATAATACCCAGTCCTGTCGATCTTCGCAATTGGGTGGTCATGCCACCTATACATTTTGAGACATTTAATACGATGCATTTCTATGGTTATCAAGTATTATACTCTTTTACATATCTCAACATAAACTTTAGGAAAGAAAGACACGTAAGATATTAATCAATAGATGAGGCATAGTCAACCCACATGAAAAAGCACAAAATATCTTTGAGATGACCCCTTGTGCCTGTAGGCAGCACATGCATTTCATGCCAGGTGAGTCGATGGTCCGTCATCATACCTGGCTGAGCGACCTAATTGCCATCTACAGTCTGATCTATTATTTTCAGCAGCTATTCATATTTTTTCTAAGTTTGGCCTGATTTTACGAGTAAACATGCTTTTCTGGATATCCTATTATGCATCCCACTGAATGCCAAGTTAGGCCAAAGTGGGTTCTTTTGACATATGCTATTTGCAGTTGTGTAAATTTTAGGGATACAGAGTAACAGCCTAAAAACAGTTTTTTTTCTATTTCCGACAGTTACGTGACTTTAGTATCTCAATCTTGTGTCAAGAAGCAACAACTGAAGATTAGCTATGTACCTGGCACACCGTGTTTCATCACACACTGAAGACATGTCATTGTTCACTGTGTTTCATCATTCTCTGAATGACTTGGGTCACACACTGCTTTCAGCAATATTCCAGCAATATCACGTTGGGGGACACAAGAAATGGGCTTCATACATTTTACCCATGTGGGGATCGCACCCCATCACTGCTGTCATTCTCTGAAGACAATATTTAACTAATTGTTTGTTTGTTGTTTAACGCCCACTCAGCAATATTCCCGTTATATAGCAATCTGTAAATAATCGAGTCTGTGCCAGACAATCCAGTGACCAACATTATGAGCATCCATCTACAGCTGGGATATGATAACATCAACCAGTTCAGTAAGCCTGACCAGCCGATCTGGTTAGTCACCCCTAATGACAAGCATGGGTTGCTGAAGACCTAACCCAGATCTTCACAGGTCATTTGTGTCAATTACCCATGCCAGTAACATCTGGATTGCCTGGTCAGTGCTGCTCAAACAACCATAAAAAAACTCACTATTTCATAGAAAATGCAGTGTACTGCATCAGTTTCATCTCTGAGAACAAATTCCTTCCCTGTTCCAGACTTGTCAGCCACCACAGCAGAGTCCAGCACACCTGTAACAGAAGAAAACATAACCATAATGCAAAACAGAAAACAAGCATTTAACGTAACACATGATTGTGTCACACATAGCATACAAGCAATACCTGTTATGCAAGATCGATAACCATCCTCGATTATCTCCAGGGTATACGTTCTGATAAATCTCCACTATACCCTGGATCAGCATCTACGTCTCGAGCCAATGATTTTATTACCTCCCTTACTTGGCTTATTATCCAATCAGGTGTCTATGCTGGGAACTTGAGCGTACTAATCACAACTCACTTTCGCTTTTTAACTTATCTAACCGATTAAACTTGGCAACACAATAATATATTGTTGCAGAGGTACTCTGAAAGAGATAGAAAGAGTTCTTGCATATATTTTTTTTAAGATTTCAGATCTGTCAATTCATCTGTATGTTTTTCCCAAAAATCTGAGTCGCACTGCGAACAAACTTTCACGGCTGCGACCGCTATTTATGTTGACACTGGCAAGCTCAGTTGTAACGGCGGCTTATCTGACTGGCTACTGTGAGAATGCGGAGCCAGCAAAGGGAGCTAATAAAATCATCGGCTCGAGCCGTAGATGCATCCAGGGTATAGTGGAGATTTATCAGAAGGTATACCCTGGAGATGATCGAGGATGGACAGATAACATGCATGTTATGAAATTTGATCATAGATGAACATGATACAAATGCCCACATGTACCATCAGAACTACTGCATAAACGCTGCAAAAATTATTCTTGAAATAATTTTGAAACAAAAATACAACATTCGAGTTGCACTTATCCTTGTGTTACCGGTAACTTGTGCCATTCCAGGACAGGACCCTTGAAGATCTGGGTTAGAACTGATTTTCGTCAACCCATGCTTGTCATAATAGGCGACTAATGGGATTTGGTGATCAGACTTTATGATTTGGTTAATGCATGTAATCGTATCCCAATTGCATAGATCGATGTTCATGCTGTTGATCACTGGATTGCATGGTCCAGCCTCGACTATTCACAGACCGCAGCCATATGACTGGAATATTACTGAGTGTCTCACAGTGCCAGATCCGCATTATTTTCCCCTCCACCCTGAGCCCTTTCTCATCTCACTGGGGCTCCTTTTCAATTTGAAAGGTACAATTTGTTTCTATCAAAATTATATATATTCAGAGACTTAGCGTTAGTCTACACAGGGACTTGTCCAGGAATATTAAAAACCATACTATTACTCACCAAACACTTCCAACAGGTGAGGCCCCAACTGATCATTCTGGAGGGCAGACCTCTTCACCATTGCCACACTTGAACACAGCACTCTCAAACCTGTCTGGTCTTTACCCTTTGTGCCTGATTGTCTTGAAGACTTGATGTTGGAGGCCTGACAGAATGAAATTGACTCACAACATCAACCAATATGAGTTCAACCAAACTCAGTCAGTCAGTCAGTCATCCAGCTAAAACACAGATTGCAATTCAGGTGCAGAAATTATTATTTTACAAGCATGCTGAGAGCACTAACAACAATGTTTTGGAATGTACTTTGGATTTATGAGAACGCAACAAGCTGAAGTTGATAGAACTCAGTGAAAGTCAGTTCACGATGAAGTATATGATAGGGATGTCATGACTGACAATCTCCTGTCACGAAATGCATTAGGATACTTTGTTCGAGTTACAATACATATGGCGATAAGTCATTCTCAGCATTTTAGACTGAACATTTTATATTTAATTAAGTTCATAAATACTATAGTGATAATAAATAGGCTTGAAACTCCCTGAATATCTGGTATTGGTATCTGGTAAATGTCATTTCAAGTAAAACTGAAGTGTCAACATAAGTATTTTCTACTATTAGACAAAGTTCCCTGATTGCAAACAACCTGAAATGCGCACCCAGAATTAAATAATTGAATAGGTCCATGTGTGAAACAATTCATGACTAAAGTATTTATTGATACATGATTACAAATGAACAACATATCACATATGGCAACTTGTAATTTAAAAGTAATTCCTTGATATAAATCTGATGGGAACACAGACATTCCCTCAGTCAAAATTTGTCGGATAAAATCAAAAGAGAGACCATATATATGTCGCATATCAGGATATGACTTTGAAAACAGAGGAAACATGACCTACCTTTGAAACATCCTTAGATCTTGTAAGAGTTGAAGCAAACTCCTGACCAAACCCTGTGTTGGCTCCAACTCTTGAATCCGTCAACAGACTCCCAGTATGAGGAGGGGATGCAGCCAGAGGTGCATTGGGTGGGGGTGGAGCTCCTCCCCAACCCTTGGAACCACCCCTGCCAGCCTGAGCTGCATGATTGCTATACTGTTGTAGACTCTGGTCATGGGTGCCTGTCCCTGCATTCCACACACCACCACCACCCTGGGTCTGGCGATCATAACCTCCCTGTGTGTTTTGGCTCCTGTTCTGCTGCTGATTATAATTACCTCTGGCTGTCTGCTGGTTGCCCTGGTACAGGAGCTGGTTGTTGGTGGAGGTGGGCTGAGTGTTCCTGGTGAAAGAATTACTTCCACCTCTGCTGGTCCTGTCAACATTATATGTTTATTATATTGTAGGCTTTAAACAACATATTAAAGTATGTTTCCAATGCTGGGAAAGGGAAAGTGATATGTTGGAATTTCAGTGATTGGCTGACGTTCCTTTCGTAAATGATGCCATAAAACAGTTTCTGGTGTACTTTTAAATACACCACAGAGGTGCCAACCCTTTTCACCTCTAAATATTAACTTTGCTTGGGAAAAATTGTAATTTCAGAAAACTAAGAGTAACACACATTACTTTATATATGTTTTAAAGAGTAATATCATGAATATTTTCTTATAGAAGGGTATATCAGTTAAAAACTGAAGTAAAAAGTTAACTGATCAATTAGCTGTTGTAATGAATGTGTTTCAGCTTTTGTTACACGATTTTAGCATCATTTTGAATTTTTTAATGACTACTTGTGATCTGTTCACTTGTTACTAGTTACACAAGATCCTGGTTAGAACTGGTCTTCAGTAACCCATGCTTGTGGTAAGAGGCGACTAACAGGATCAAGTGGTCAAGCTCTTTGACTTATTTGATACATGTCATCGTATCTCAATTGCGTAGCTTGATGCTCATGATGTTGATCACTGAATTGTCTGGTCCAGACTCAATTATTTACAGAACACCGCCATATAGCTAAAACATTGCTGAGTGCAGTGTTAAACAACCAACCAACCAACCAACCAATTTGTTATTGCTTATACCTATGTCACTGCTTTACCTTAAGTTTACATATTAAACTGAGATTCAGAGATCTTGAATATTTTGACTGATGTGGATTGTCATTAATGAGGTTTACACCATAGAATCACTTACACTGTTGTCTTGATAACATCAAATAATCACATGCACAAAATTTCAGAAATTCATACTTTATGAATCACCAAGATGGTCGTAAAAAAATTAAGGAATGTGAACAATCGTATGGGTTGGAACCTCTGGTACCAAACTTTCTGCTTGTTAACTCACATCATATTACATAACTCTCATTTAGCATAGGTATTATGTGAACTTAAGTTATCTGAACATTTGCCTCACTTTACCTGTGAAGGTCTGGGTTAGAATATTGATCTAACCCATGCTTGCCGCGCAAGAGGCGACTAATGGGATCAGGTGGTCAGGCTCGCTGACTTGGTTGACACATGTCATCGGTTCCCAATTGTGCAGATTGATGCTCATGCTGTTGATCACTGGATTGTCTGGTCCTGAGACTCGAATATTTACAGACCGCACCATATAGCTGGAATATTGCTGAGTGCGGCGTAAAACTAAACTCACTCTCACTCATTCGCCTCACTTGATAACATCAATTTAGAAACAGCATATGAGGCATCGTCTAACAGGCTACAGATGAGTGAGGGAGTAAGTGAATTTTTATGCTGCTTTAGCAAAATATCAGCAATATCATGCCGAAGAACACCAGAAATGGGCTTCACACATTGTACCCATGTGGGGAATCAAACCTCGGACCTTCAGCATTATGAGTGAACACTTTAACCACTAGGCTACCCCACCAACCCGGCTACAGATGAAAAGGACATCTGCTATATTGATTCCGATATTGCCTGTATTGTCTCAAATGATTTCATTGGATGTCAGTTGTAAAGACTTTCACAATCATAGCCAACCAGCAGACAAAGAAAATAACTGGCACTGCCCATGTAAATTTACACATGGAAAATATGTGATGCTTAATGATACCCCTTTTTGACAAGTTGCTAGATTGCGTCTTTGAAGCAGATAGCTATGGTGAAAGAGAGAAAATGTTTTATTTTCCTGTTAAATGTGCTAGTGCTTGGAATGAACATTTTAACACACATTGTATTAACAATACAGAGAGCATGTCGTCTGTATTCTCATCCACCTGTTTCTCTGATCTTTGGAGGGAACAGCTTGGTGACTGCCTTGGTGTCCCCAACCAACTTTCACAGCATTGTTTGTGCTGTTGTTGTTACTGCAGCTGTTGTTGTTGTTGCTGTAGCCGTGGTTGTTGCTGCGGTAACTTTGAGTGGGGACTGATGATGGTACCCTATTTCCTCCACCTGCACCTGAAAAAATCCAAAATATTTACCCTCCACTGTAGCATGTCAAGAATACTCATGATTTTTCAATTTAGTTTGTGTTATTGCTAAAAATATCTATTTTGAAAAGATATCCAACTATATAACTGCCATCATCCACAAGTATGGAAAGAAACATTTTTAGTTTTTGGAATATTGCAAAGTCACTACGCAGCACAAGAGATGACCTGACAGTGGTATTCTGTAGTAATGTAGCCGTCTGTAGTAATGTAGCCGTTTTGAAGTAATGCAGAAATTCTGAAGTAAGGCAAGACCAATTGTATTTCTTGTTTTACGGATCCGCTGGTCGTATTTTTTTTCAAAAATAAGAAAAAAAAATAGAAAGTAATTTTCCCCGCTCAAAAAATAAAATACTCACTTGACCAAAAAAGTAAACTTACAAAAAAAAATTGTTTTGATTTTTTTTGCCCCATATACACTTCATAAATTGCCCAAAATAAAATACTTTTAGTATTTAAAAGGAAAATTATTTTGACTAATGATTTTCATTTTTTATATTTCTTTCACTCCTACCGAAATAATATTGGTCTGGCCTAATGCAGATAATTCTGAAGTGATGCAGAAACTCTGGAGTAATGCAGATAATTCTAAAGTGATGCAGAAATTCTCGAGTAATGCAGATACCGGTAATTCTAAAGTAATGCAGAAATTCTGAAGTAATGCAGATAATTCTAAAGTGATGCAGAAATTCTGGAGTAATGCAGATAACGGTAATTCTAAAGTAATGCAGAAATTCTGAAGTAATGCAGATAATTCTAAAGTAATGCAGAAAATTCTGGAGTAATGCAGATAATTCCAAAGTGATGCAGAAATTCTGGAGTAATGCAAATAATTCTAAAGTAATGCAGAAATTCTGGAGAAATGCAGATAATTCTAACGTGATGCAGAAACTCAAATTTTGAGTGAGTGAGTGTGTTTAGGTTTACGCCGCTTTAAGCAATATTCCAGCAATATCATGGCGGGGGACACCAGAAATGGGCTTCACACATTGTACCCATGTGGGGAATAGAACCTAGGTTTTCAGCGTAAAGAGTGAATGCTCAACAAATAGGCTACCCCAACGCCCCTTTAAATTTGAAGTAATGCAGATGTTCTGAACTACCAGAACATGACCCCATACTTCAAGGCACTGGGGGAGAGTGTTACAGTCAGCAATATCCCAGTTACATCACAAGAGTATGCTAAGATTCATTGTGGGCCAGGCAAACCTCAACATTAGTTGCAGTTTTGTCACTTAATCTCCCTATTCCTACCTCTGGCACTGTTGGCACCACAGTTTCTCTGTTTTTGAGCAGGTGTGTAGGAATCACCTACTCCATAGGCACTTGTTGACTGGGTGTGCAGTCTTCGTCCTTGAGCCTGGAATCCCCCTACGGGCATTAAATCTGTGGTGCAAACATGAATAGAATGAGAGGATTAAAGCAGTAAGAACAATTTTTGGGGCTTTGTCGTGGCATGTTAGCTGAGTGAGTGAGTGAGTGAGTGAGTGAGTGAGTGAGTGAGTGAGTGAGTGAGTGAGTGAGTGAGTGAGTGAGTGAGTGAGTGAGTGAGTGAGTGAGTGAGTGAGTGAGTGAGTGAGTGAGTGAGTGAGTGAGTGAGTGAGTGAGTGAGTGAGTGAGTGAGTGAGTGAGTGAGTGAGTGAGTGAGTGAGTGAGTGAGTGAGTGAGTGAGTGAGTGAGTGAGTGAGTGAGTGAGTGAGTGAGTGAGTGAGTGAGTGAGTGAGTGAGTGAGTGAGTGAGTGAGTGAGTGAGTGAGTGAGTGAGTGAGTGAGTGAGTGAGTGAGTGAGTGAGCTTCACACATTGTACCCATGTGTCTTCAGCGTGATGAGCGAACACTTTAGCTCCACCCACGCTGTTAGCTCAGTGAAGGTGATAGCTCACAGTAATCCAGTATACAAACTACTCAAATGAAATCCATCAGAGAAAAGATCATGTTTCGGACTCAGGATCAGCAGGCTATGTAAGATACTTTCACTAAGCTTTTACTTGGGCTGGCTATCTGTTATCGGAAATATCGTCGAGAGGACAAATTATTAATGATTATCAATATGAAAAATGTGTTCTCGATAATACCCACATTAACTTTTGTGATGGAAATTTGTTTAATTTACTCACAATATACAAAGTTAGGTTCGTTTTCATGGGCTGCTTTCTCAGTTATTGTTCAGGATGCTGCTGTGTTAATATTCCATGTATAAACATGTCACCACTCCGCAGTGATGTGAAATATATTCATTACTTTCAGACTTTTTTCGCTCAAAGTTACTTCTCTGATATTTATCGATAATCAATCAATATTTATTTAATGATTATCGATCTCCATGGTCAACATCAATAGCCAGCCCAAGCTTTTACTTTGAGACAATCGTATGCTTGATATATCAAAACTCGACACTTTGGTATTTGACTTAATCATCCAAAACTGTGTTCCACAGGAGATATTGCTTGTTTGAGATCAGACGATATCTCCTAGGAGATATCGTTTTGATAGTAGATTTTGCACAATGCCCTGACAATGCTATGACGTCATGAACTTGATGACGTCACAATGCTATGACATCGCTGCACTGCAAGTCTAATGGCAGTACTGTGTTCAGAGATGTATATTTTTTCATTGAAAACTAATGAAGAGAGATTTTTGATGATAAATAGAATCTCACCCTCGTGTCTTCTGATATCAAATATATCAACACTTGTTGATAAAAGTAAAAATATCCTCAGCAGGCCTCGGATATTTGTTATATATCAACTCGTGATGATATATTTGATATCAAAAGATATGAGATTCTCTATGTATCAGGTCATGTATATTAGGGCTGTGTATTGGCAAATAAATTGTATTGCAATACATACTGCGATATATTGGGAACTTAAGCATTAGACAGTGAGCTTGAATTGTGCATGTCAACATTATAAGTCCCTAAACATACATATGTTATGGCTCTGATAACAGCAATCTCGAAATTAGGTTGCAGAGTCATGGATTCTATTTTCATTCTTATACAATTTAGAGTATTACAGTATGCCATATGTCATTGAATAATGAAGGAAAACATTTGTTGTTACTGAAAGTATGTGTAGATTTTAATTTAACTATAAAGATAATCACAAAAACTTCATACATGATCTGTACCCAATATACCGGTTCTCAGAAAAAATATCGCAATACGCATCGTTTGAACAGGTCATTGCGATACACCGCTATACTGGTAATAACGTGCAGTCCTAATGAATATATGACATTTCCCCCATTGGAGCACTACTAGTGCTATTTATATATACACAATATTAACAATATTAACGCCACATAAAAATGTGGAACTGAAAATAGAAAACTTTGTGTCCACCTTTTCTTGTCACACCAACCCTCCTCTTAAAGAACCACTAAACTTTGTTTTTTGTTACTCTTTTAACCATTACATATGAAAGATTTGTGGTTAGTCTTATGCGGAACACCAAATTTATTCTTTAAAAACTTGTGGTTAATTAATACCGAGCGATTAAAAGTGGCCAAAAAGTCGCCTGCTTCCCTCTCGCCCGCCAACGAAACCACAGACAGGTTACGTAACTCTGTCACCAGAGCACTGCAGTGACGTCATATGAGGAACGATTTTCAGTTAGTTGTATAGAAAGTGTGTAGCACGCTCATCATTTTGATGATTTCTCGACATGAACGACGACATGCCGAATCGTTGCTTTGTCGCCAATTGCTCTTAGGGTCGGGTGATGGTGTCACCATGCACAGATTTCCACAGGATCCCGCAGTTCGTAAGCTAAATGGGTTATGTTTGTGAGTGCGGTTTAAGCGTGGTGGAAGCCTGAAACGATATCTTACTTGTGTTCAGATCGCTTCACGGAAGTTAAAGAATCAAAACTACTTACTAGTTATAGTAAAATATGTATATGATTGATGACCATAAAATTTTCCATAACACAACTTGTAACATAACGATTTCTTCCTCGGAAGTGAGGTTGTGGTCGGCAACAATAATATTGTAAGTAGTATTATATTGACACCCACTGCTGCCAGAGAAATTGTTATGTTATACGCTATGTCATGCAAAATCCTATTGGCCATCAATAAAATACATATTTTACTACCAGTAGAAAGTAGTTTTGATTTTGTAACTCGGTGAAAACAAACCTAAATAGCATTTATCCACAGACTGGCGGATGTTCCCGACAGGTACCATTTTGAAAATCGTAAAGTCTGTTAGAATTAATGAGATTATAGTTTGTTTTCATCAAGTTAGAAAATCAAAACTACTTTCTACTCGTAGTTAAATATGTATTGGAATCATAACCAAAAGGATCTTGCAAGATACAACTTATAACATAACGATTTCTTCCACGGAAGCGAGGTGGGGGTCGAAGTCACAATACTGCGCGATAAATTTCTTGCTACATTATCACATGGTTAATGTCCACTCACCAGTATGTAGATACTAGTCAATGTGCGTCTTTATATTTGGTCTTATAATCATAATTAGTTTATTATCATACTTTTATGCATTTTGAAACTAAATAAAAAAGCTGACGATCTGCTGATACTTACAGTGAATTTATAACAGAACTGTAATATCTAGACATTTTATAGTTTGCCAATGTGAATCATAATTCGCACACACACCCTAGTGTATGTTGTCTGTCTCATTACACTTCACGGCGAAAACAATGATTCTGTTGAATGCTAAGACAAATGATTAAAAAACAAAATGCAAATATTAAAATTAAAACAGATTAAAGTTATAGGAACAATATCAGGCCATTACCTTGTTTGAGGAATGTATCCATCAATATCCACAAAACTGTTCCAAATGATGTGTCTTTTAACAGTTTAATATACTAAAAGTGATAAATCTTTTCAGGTATTGGTGTATAGTCTCATTGGTCACCCAAGATAGCACACCTGGCAACTAATTGCATAATGTCCGCCTTTCATTAAAACAGTAATTTAGTTAGCCAATAATGGGCAATCAATCAATGTATTGCCGGGTTAATCCTTTGAAAGAAGGACGTTGTTTTTACGCAGACACTGACACGGCAGAGTGTATTCAGTATAGATTAGTAAATCTACATACATAAACACTACCTTTTGACAATTCCGCTGTGTAAGATAAACGTAATTAATCAATCAGCATGTTATCGGTTAATCCTTTGATCGATGCTCATAATGTTGAATATTTACTCCAGACACAAGAAATGCCAAATGGGAACCTTTGTCGGGTAATCTAAGTGTGTTACCACTAATTATACCTGTTATAAATTCATTAACTGACCATCAAGTGAATGATGACAAATAACATGTGTAGGTTTATACCACCTAACACGGTTACAACAAGGGAGTATTAATTGCTGTATTGCATGTGAAAACTTATGGGCCGACACTGTTTTGAGAATACAAACAGATTTTTACATGACATGATTAAATATCGAGGCAAAAAAACACAGAAATGGGATCAATTTGGATCAGTCATTATACAAATAGGGCCTAACGACACCAATCAATTGTGACAGAAGCGTCTATGAAAACAAGTTGTAACTCGGAAACTAGGCAAAGCAGGAGACCAAATTAAATGCCAGTAGATTGTGAGAACATATAGCTTTCATTTTCCACAACAATTGTCACGATTTCAGGTTTATACAAGCCTGTAAACAAGATAATTTACCCCCTAAAATGTAGATGAGTGAGTGAGTGAGTTTAGTTTTACGCCGCACTCAGCAATATTCCAGCTATATGGCGGCGGTCTGTAAATAATCGAGTCTGGACCAGACAATCCAGTGATCAACAGCATGAGCATCGATCTGCGCAATTGGGAACCGATGACATGTGTCAACCAAGTCAGCGAAACTGACCACCCGATCCCGTTAGTCGCCTCTTACGACAAGATAGTCGCCTTTTTATGGCAAGCACATGGGTTGCTGAAGATCTATTCTACCCCGGATCTTCACGGGTTTAAAATGTAGATGAATTCTGCATCGGCCCTCAAAGCTATTCCTCATATGACGTCAAAGAGTCGCGCCGCTCTGATTGGTTGAAATTTCGTTTGCGGGTGAGAATTGTGCACTGTTGTCAAAAAGGTCGATTTAAGTCAATTAAAGGTCGAAATGAGTAGTTTTAATGACGGGGTTGCATTTATAACGATGCCAGTTAGTGATTTATGTATTTTTACCCCCTAGGGTTTATGTGACCTTTAAAAGATGTTAAATGTTAGAAAAATAATTGAAGTAGCTAATAATGTATTTTATTTTAATTGAGACCAATGACAAAAGTTTTAAGAAATAAATTCATAAACAAACTAATGAAGAAAAATGCAGCATAGAGATGGATCAACAACCTGACATCTATTGTCTTGTGATGATTTATGTTCCTTGTAAATCGACCCAGGAAAGGTATGGCAGTTAGCTAGGGAGTTTCCTCCACTAATTTCAGTTATAGGGATTTAATGAATAATGCAGAATGAACGCTTGACTGAAACCAATTAAAGTATCTCACTTTGGTACTTTAGTATTACTGTAATGACTGAAATTCTGATTCAAATAACGCTGAAATATTTATGACTGCTACCTGGATAGCTAGGTTGGGCTGATGCAGGCATGGATGGGGTGTTGCCATGGTTACTGATGGGATCAGCAAACATGGCCTGTCTTTGTCGTTTCCTGTGGTTGAAGATGGGGGGTTGGAGTAGGCCGAGAGGGGCCACCATGTTGATCTCTCTGCAACAAGCCAGAATTTCCTAGTCTGAGAGTATATTTAGTGTCATTAAAATCACATCCTTAACAGTAGTAGCCCACTCCCATGCTTAAAGATTAAGCCAATCCACCATATATGGAACACTCTTTGTACAAGTGTGACCAAGGACCTATGGTTCCTATGCAAGAGTTAAACAATGTTATAAAGGCACCTTGTCACACCACTCTAAAAAATAATAATGCATTTCTCTCAATGATACAAACTATCAGCCCTCGGAAGCTACCATATAATTTATTCAATTTTTTTACGTATTTAGATTAGAATATTCAATTAAAAAGTTTGAATGAATTAATGCAATGTTGAATTAAATTGACTCTCGCCCCCTCTACCGGGGTAATTTTTTTTCAAATGCACCCCATAGAGTTATGACCCTTGGAGCACTCTTTACGAATATCCTACAAACAACTTGTGATTAAAACCAGTTCTGCAAACACCCACAACACCGCGTGCGTCAGTTTTTGATGTACGGAGCAATTGTTTACATTCCATATATGGCAAGTGTTCTCTGTTTGGAAGCTGTCCGCCTCGAAGTTTCAATTATTGATTTAAGGCAAGTTATTAAGTACAGGATAATAATTAAGTCTTTTCCTGCATCAATAGGAAGCTAAAGTGAGTGCATATGCCCCAATATATATAATATAGGCCAAAATATTGTCGAAAAAGTGTGACACTGTGCCTTTAAAATACAAATTTGATAATTTGAATTGGTAATAAACTAACTGCATTAGGAGATTTTTTATGAACATTTATATACCGATATCTAATCCCATAGAGATGCACAAAAAAGTTCTGGAATGAACGATAATTAAGTACTCTTATCACTTTGATTATCGCAAGCATGGGAATTACTATCACTTTAGTTCTAGATTACTTGGTGGAACAGGGACGACAACTTCGATGAGACAAGTTAGACCAGATTTACTTATCTATTATTTGTAAGGATGTTCCATGGAGCAGAGGCATTTCTCAAGTCTCTTACAAATGGAGGACAAAGAGCCATGACAACAGTTCATAACATGAAACAAGTTAGTCACAATAAAACATGCATTAGGAATAGGGATGTGCATCAGGTACCCGTATTGCAATACATGTTGAGATATACTGGGAACTTAAAGTGTTTGACAGTAAGTGACACTAATAATTGTACATGTCGATTCTCTTTTCTACATTATAAGCCCCTAAACATACATGTTGTGGTTCTGATAACAGCAATCTCAAAATTAGGTTGCATAGTCTGCATGGATTCTATTTTCTGTTTTATACAATTTATTGCATTATAGTATGCCTTTTTGTCATTGAATAATGAAGGAAAATATTTGTTGTGAATAACAGTGTGTAGATTTTGATTAAAACCATAAAGAAAATCATAAAAAATTCATATACTAGTATATATGTTCTTTACCCAATATACCGTTTCTCAGAAAATATATTGCAATACCTATTGGATGAAAAGCGTATTGCGATATACCGGTATACCGTGAAGTCCTACTAAAGAATAATCAGAATGTACTTACCTGCATGTTGAAGTATGTGACAACCTGGGACAAGTGTTGATAAAGGATCAGCTGTCTCACTTGACAGATGTTGCTTCACCTGCAAGAGATACTAGACACAATAAAACAAATTGTGTTTGCAATAACTGGACAATTTCTAAAATAAACAAATAAATTAAGATCACATAGTTATAGCCTTTAAATAGTTGTATGAAGATCGAGTTGCTTTACTTTGGAAACATTTTCTTACTAAATGAAAATGAAGAAAGCTTTATGAAGAAGAAGAGGAACAGTTATTTAAGTGTAGCATGGGTAATAGTAATTTTTTATCATATCAGGTCACAAATTTTCACTCATGAAGATCTGGGGTGGAACTGATCTTCAGCAACCCAAGTTTGCTGTAGTGAGTGAGTGAGTTAAAATTTATCATCACATCAGCAATATTTCAGCCATATCGTGACGAGAACAATTAATTTTATACATAGTAATTAATGGTAAATTGTAAAAACCTGTCAACGAACATGCTTGCTGTAAGAGGCAACTAACGGGATCGAGTGGTCAGACTCACTGACTTATTTGAGACATGTCATTGTATTCCAATTGCATAGATCAATGTTGATCACTGGATTGTTTGGTCCTGATACAATTATCTACAGACCACCACTATATAGCTGGAATATTGCTGGGTGCTGTGTATGATCTTTATTATAATGAGCTTTGCTGATGAAGAACCTGGGTTCCTGGACAGTTTTTGACGTGATCTTCATCCAAAGCAGTCTGTCAGGGATTGAAATAGTGCTTAATTTGGGTGCCATGGCACAGTAAATATTGAAATAAACTAAAACTATGAAAATAATAAAGGAAAATGTTGTAAATTTTACCACCTAAAATGATTCAAAACTTGTGAAACTGTTTATCAGTGACACTCTCAATCTTACAGCTTAACATATGAGTGTCCATTTTGAATGCCAGTGTACATTACAGAAAACCACGTTTTAGATAATAACAATAGAAAAATATAAGATTGATATAAGAAACACCATTTTGATTTCTTATAAGTTTCTTATTCCCAATTATTTCTAATAGGAATCTTATAAAAATTCATCTTCTTATAAGAATCTTATAAGATCTTATAAGATAAAACCGTACGTGATAGTTTGTGGGTGAGTTTATGCGTCCAGGACAAAGGTAGCTGAACTATTCTTGTAGTAATGAATCTAATGATTGTGTTCATGAAATTAAGCTCTCAAGTATACAGGTTTACATGATGTTTACTGATTTATAAAACAATAAATTGAAATGACTTAGGTGTTGTCATGTTTAGAGTGTAATTGGATTATCAAAAGGTATGGGCACACTTACTTCCACAAAGGCACATCTATATTATCTCTTCGGTTCCTTATGCCACCCTTAAACAAAATTGCATTTCTATCACCTGTCTATTTTATCAGTGAATGTTCCTTCACGGAACACAACTAATCAGTCATTACGTCATTACTGGTTTCTGCAAAAACAAAGACGGTACTCACTTTTTTCTGTCTCATAATGTATTTATGACAGAAGTATTCATGGGGATTTGTTGTTATCAAAATGGTCGTATCATGAAATTACCCATATTCATCTACCCAGTGTATCATATCTGTAACACATAACCCCATGATCCGTTTTCCATACCTTACATTGAGGCTTGTGTGACAGACATCCAGTCAATTACACGGTTCTTTCATAATTGATACAACTGGCTTTAATACTAGTTCTCGTCTCCTGAGACAGAGTGGTGCCCACACAAATATAACTGGAATGTCTGTTTGCATTAGTACTTCCCTTTCCTTGCGGTGGCGGTGGGGTAACCTAGTGGTTAAAGGGTTCACTTGTCACGCCCGAGATCCGGGTTTGATTCCCCACATGGGTCAGGGCACGATCTAGTGCTTTGATACTTGCACTGGTGCAACCCAATTTTACAAAGTGCAACCCAGTTATTGCACCAGGTACACGTCAATTTTTGAGTGGGTAAACTTCTGAATAAAACTACTAAATAAATAAATATCACATTTCTTTCATTACATATTGCAATAAAAGCAGTGCAACTGGAAATTGTCAGGTGCAACTAGATTTTTATCTCAGGTTGCACCTCTCGCAAGCAGGTTAACATCTTTCAAATCGAGCCCTGTAGGTACAATGTGTAAAGATCATTTTTGGTGCACTCCGCCGTGATATTACTGGAATATTGCTAAAAGTGGCATAAAACTCACTCACTTCTTTGCATCAGGTCTCAGGAGAAACATCCTTTCCAGCTGCAAGATAACTTGACAACATCAAGGGCTTGCTCAGATTAGGCCACAATTTTAGATATAGATCTATATCAAAGTCATGTTTAAATGGAGTATTGGTCACTGACATCAGGTTTATGTGCTGTAGAAATTATGTGCTAGGGTAAAGATAAGTGACATGGATCTGGGGGCTGTTGTACAAATGAACCTTAGCACTAAGACAATCGTAAGTCTGTGTTAAGGTATGGGAATTACGATCACCTCAGCTCTAAGGTCACGCTGTACAACATCACCCAGGGTACTTGGCGACTGGATTTACCTGGGTCTCAGTATAACTTTGGTGGGGGTGGGGTAGTTGGTAGGGGTGTTGCTGAACGGTGGCAACACACTGGGGTACCAAGATGATGAAAATAGCATCATTTATATCAGAGCACTTTCTTACATGTCTAAGTCTCTTATAGAATGGTCTCAATTTCAATCAACCAATGGTACAATTCTAACCTGAACATAAAATGTCAGTTAAACACAACATACAACCAACAGTTTTGCGAAGTAAATGATTCAAACCACACTTTTTTCCGTTTAAAACTGCTTGTCAATAGTCAAATTTTTATGAATATACATATATATATGATGCAATGTTTTGCATCCAGCAAAATCTTGTCATATAACAAAAACACCATGTTTGAGTATAACCTATGATTGACTTTGTAAACAATCTCATTTTCATCCCTGAGTTCTTTGAGGAGGGCTTTGTGGTGTTGTTGAAGATGGGTGGTAGGGTGTTTCTTCTGCTGTACCTCTTCAAATAATAAGCAACTGACTGTTTCTTCATGTAACAGACCTGAGGAAGAGAGTTTTATGGATGTCAACTTATGTATCACAAGGAACACAATGTCATGGACTGTACCCTTATGACGGGGTAAGGATATACTCCAAAATGTTGTGTTCCTCATAAGGCCAGACCAATTTTATTTCTTGTTTTATGGATCCGCCTGTCATATTTTTTCAAGAATAAGAAAAAAAAAATAATAATAATTATCGCCGCTCAAAAAATATAATCCTAATGTTTTTATTGGCCCAAAATGTAAACTTACAAGAAAAATGTTTTTTGGATGTTTTTTTTAGCCCCATATACACTTCATAAATAAAGAAGGAATATTAATTTGACTGGTGATTTTTTATTTTATTTTTTTCCCTCATGCCTTTAGGTATTCTGAGGACAAAAGTCCATGAAACAAGAAATAAAATTGGTCTGGCCTAATGAAGAATTTGACATCCCTAAAACTCTTCCTTATGTGTATGACATCTAAAAATGCAATTCAAAGACCTGGTGTAACAAACCTGTAAACAAATTTGGACTGATCACAATTTAATCCTGTTATTACACAACCAGGCTATAAAAAGGTCTTCAGTGTATTTTGAAAGTTATGTTATTTATCTATTTTATAAAATCTCATCTTAAATCTGGTCATGTTTTATCTCAAACTTGAAAATGTTTGTTCACTTGTCCATTTACTTGAACACTATTTTATATGTGCATATTTATATGCTTGTCCTGAAATGATGTGAGTGATATATTGGGGTGTGGCCTTTACTAAAGACTATTTTAAATACATAACAAGTTTTACAAATTTGCTAATATAATTGTTAGCATGAACAGGGCTGAAACTGTTTGGCTCCACTGGGATACACGACTCATTAAAATAAACAATAATTGTAATGTTTGCAGGGACCTGCCTTAAACATTAATACATGTGAGGACTATTCAAAGGGACTAATGTTAACCTTAATTTACATGTACCTTTAGAATTTTGAGCTAGTCATGCTTGAACAATATTTACAATGTGCAAACTTCATGTCAGTTTTATTCAGTTTCAGTTTGTAGAAAAACTGAAGCACTGAGAACAGGTTAAGAATGATAATTATAGCTCACAAATGCTATTAGACTATCGGACAATCTCAGACTATCATTATGGAATTTTACTTTTCCTCTACACAGTAAAGTAGTCTCAGCCTAGGCATAAATACCATTTCTGCATGTCATAGATAAATTACTAAACCCTTCACTCTATTTTTTATTGATTTTAACCATTTTTAATGATTTTAACAAGAAAATAATCTGCTATCTAGTCACATTGTCTTTACTTTACTTTGACCATGGCAAACAATGAACACATAAAACAAAAACATTTCAAATATATTTTGGTTGACAATAGGCCATCAATGTGCAGAATAAAACAAAAACAGCTGCAAACCGACTCTGATATATTTATAAGCATGACCATATATATCGATATAGGTCATGCTTATAAATATATCAGAGTCGGGCGCCTATATATACTCTAGGCTATGCTGCAAACCCTGCCACTCTGACTCTCTTCAAACACACACCACCTAAAAAATACTGCCCTGTCCCTATGTTACATATGACTGTCAGATATATTTTTTATAGTCATGAACGTGAGAACAACTATCGGCAAATCGTATCTAAGTTAAAGGCTGGAATTATTCTTGTGAAATTGGTCTATATAATTCGAAACTGACGAAAGGTGACTTCAACTTGTGCAATATGAGTTGTTTGTTGTATGGAAGAATCATATCATCTTCTCCGCAATTTCGATATTCAATAAAGTCTGATCAACTGAATACCTAAGACGAGAAACATATATACCTATTCCGATTACTTCAACATTTATGATAATATGGAATCAATTAAAAGTTACGAAAATTCCTACCACAATATCTTCTGCTGTGTTCAACGAGTTGCCTCCCGTAGAACATTCAGCGTCAATCGGGACACTTTCGGAACGTCATTTCATAACGTTGCACAGTCGTCACCGCTCGCCTCTTTCCGGAATATGTCATTTTGTGAACACTGGAGTCACATAGAAGTAAACACTTCGATGATTAGGTTCAGTAATTTTTGAGAGCGTGGTACGGGCTCCTTAGGTGTTTGTCTACAACATAATGATGAGTCGGACAGCTGCTCACAAACTTTCCACCATGACGGTGAAGAATGCGATCGGTTGCAAACTAAAACAGCTATGTACATCACAGGCCCTCGTGTCTTTGCGAAGATTAAAGATTAAGAAAAATAATTTTGTCATAATGTATTGTACTGTGAGGCATTTCGAGTCGGGGGGTCATCTCAATTTTTTTATATTTTTTCAAAATCTTTAATCCTCGCAAAGACACGAGGGCCTGTGATGTACATTGTGCAACAACCAACCCTTCATTTGATCGAGGCCCGGCGTTTAATCGATACGCAGAATGTTCTAGAGGAAATACGACTGTGTTGTCAATGTGTGAGTGAGTGAGTTAGGAATTTTAGTCACATCGTCGGTATTTCAGCCACATCGTGACTATAACAATACATAAACTCATACAAACATGAGTGAGTATGGTTTTACACCACCCTTCACAATATTCCAGCATTATCACATTGTACCCATGTGTGGAATCGAACCCGGATCTTCGGCGGACAATTTTGATGGATATACAACTTCTTTATTCTGGTATAGGCGATGTTTAGACATAGATTCTAATGTCGTTGTCAAGCAAGAAGTGTTATTATTAGTAGAAATACTATCAGTCTGGGAAGCAGAGAAGTCCACTGTTTGGTATTCAGGAAATATGTGGGGTTCTATATTTGAAGCCTGATACTACTTATCATCAAGTCGTTAAGAAGTTTCTTCATATATTCTGCAACATATTTCTTAATGTGTCACATGAGAACCTATCTTCGAAATCCGAGATAACTAATAAATATTTCAGATTTGGAGCACACAGTCTGCATATAACTACAGCCTTGACCGCAAGGGGTCAAAGCCTTTGTATTTTAAGCTGAAGAACGTTTCTCAAACGGTGTTTACTTTGTGTTAACGAAGACTACTTGGAAAAATGCAACACGCCGTCGATATGTTTCGATTTGTGTTGGTATTCAAAGGTCTCATCATCAACGACCTACAACCTCTCCCTCACACAATGTCGACGGCGAGGTGTGGCCAGCGTTGTCATGAAGACACCACCTGCATCTCCTTCTTCCACGACGTGAACACCAGGCAATGTTACTCCTATTGTGGAATCCTCAGCCAAACCAACACCAACCTCACGAAGCTTAATGGCATTATGTATTATCTCAACAGCAAAGGTAAGAACCTTGTTCGTGATTTTTCGATTCCCGTTGTGCTTTTGTCGTCACCTGTTTGCCGTTCGTTCGTAAACATGGCAAAAATGTGAATTTTATCAAAAGGCAGCTACAATTTTGTCTAAATAAAATTCATAAATTATCCTGTCAAATTTTTAATTTTTTTTCTCAGTTTAAACCTAGTGCAACCACTTTTGTAGAAAACAGAAACCTCATACTGACCTAGAGTGAATGAGTTTAGTTTTACGCCGCACTCAGCAATATTACAGACCGAGAACTAGCCTGATATGACATTCCCATTAACGTTGAAAGGAGGCCAAGATCTTGGGTATCATTTTCGATAATCATTTTCCCTTTTAACGCACATCAAATATTTGAAAAATAAGTGTCTAAAAGTCTTAAAATTGTTGAATGTTGTTACAATTTCAAAGTGGGGAGGGGATCAGAAAATCCTTCTCCTTTTATACGTTCAAAACATGATTATGGCTCCATCGTCTATGGACCCGTGAAGATCCGGGTTAGAATTAATCTTCAGCAACCCGTGATTGTCGTAAGAAGCGACTAACGGGATCAGGTGGTCAGGCTCGCTGACTTGGTTGACACATGTCATGTTATCCTATTGCGTAGATCGATGCTCATGGTGTTGATCACTGGATTGTCTGGTCCAGACTCGATTATTTACAGACCATAGAGCTGGAATATTGCTGAGTGCGGCGTTAAACAACAACCAAGCCAAACCATCGTCTATGGTGGAGCATGTAACAGTAATTTAAAATTATTGGATGCAAAGCATCATCAAGGCCTGAGGCTCTGCCTTGGCGACTTCAGAACATATCCAGGTAATAGGCTCAATGTAGAAGCTGATGAGCCATCTCAAAAACAACGACGCAAGCAACTGTCCTCACAGTACATAACTGACCTTTTTTTCAAATCCATATACTGTTTTTAATGGACTATATGAAGATCGTTATTATAATATATTCCACCCCTAGGGTTTAGAATAAAACCTGACGTTACTGCTACAAAAATTGATCTCAACAACATTCGCCGAACTGAATTTGCTTCTGCTCCATTATGGCAACTGTTTTTTCATAAAACAACTAAACTAAACCTCGGACACATATCATCCTATGTATCAGCAAATATATAATTAATTAAGAAGCAATAACGAGGGGTGTCCCAAAAGTTTCCGGCCTACCTAACTAATATGCGATGTGCATAAAAAATTGTTGTACTAATGTTTCAACATTACCCCCCTCCACTGTAGACCGCCTCCGTGGTGTAGTGGTTAGAGCGTCCTCCCGGAGAGCGGAAGGTCGCGGGTTCGATCCCCGACCGCGTCATACCAAGAGACGTTAAAATATGGTACTTGTTGGTCCCTGCTTTGCGCTCTGCATTAATGGGTACAACAAGGACTGGTCGGCTCGGAGTCAGTATAATGTGTCTCAGTGGGGTATTCATGCTTCACTGCGGCATGGTATCTCAGTGGGCTAGCACTATAAAACCAGCTTAAGTCTGGGCTAGTACAAGCAGCCGCACATACACATACACACGCATGCACGTCGTCATATGAGCGAAATATTCGCAAGCACGACGTTAAACCCAATTTCTCCTCACCTCACCTCAAATGCACTTGTTCCACCGACGACCACCGTTTCCCCAGCATATTTAATCCGTCTGAAGATCATTGTTTGTCACGTGACCCTAAAAAATTCCTCCTCAGCAAACCTCCCCATCCGTCTGAAATTGCGGCCCCTGAGGTCAGATTTGAGTTGAGGGAAGAGGACGAAGTTTACCTCGGCGCTTTTCTCTGATCTGACCACGCAATCTACGCAATTCATCAGCGTAATAGGCACCATTTATTGGAGAACCCTTCTTTAAATAGTCTATCATGATTACGCCCTCAGAGTCCCAGAAACTGGACTGTCAAAACATTTGATTTTTCAACATTGTATAAATAGGGTTGGGATTTGCCAAAATGTTCGTATTGCGATATATTGTGATATGTGTTGGCGTATTGCAATATGTATTGCAATATATTGTGAAAGAGTAACACATGGTTTAAGGTAATTAAATTACGGTTTCCTTTCTTTTGAAACAATGGCACTGTCCACTGTCACTCAGGTGTAATTGTACAAGAGATCCACCATCTTTGTTTGTTTATCCTTACGAGTGCCAGCACAAATCTATTTTTTATTTATATGGTTTAAAAGTCACGCAAGTGCAATTATATGACCAATTAACATTCTCAAAACTATTAATGTATAATAATATAAAGGAAATAGAATTGTTATTAGTAGTTTTGACTACATCACGAAAGTTATCGATCGTGTCGGGTGAACCGGTTCGACAAAAGTGTACCGCAATATATCGTATTGTGAAGTTCGAATTGCAATATACCGGTTAACCGTTATTATCGCGCACTCCTAATTGTAAACCACTATCCCAAATAACAAACTTAAGGAAAAACTTCATTCCTTGATTCATGGGGCTTTTGTAAACAAACGTAGTGAACAAAGATATATACCTACATATCTATCTTCAGAGGTTCAGGGCAATTTGTCAAAAGTGAAAGCAGATGTCATTTGAAGTTTACCGAGAAAACAATATGTGAAATGCTGGACTTTCTCATTGATAACAACTTTGTGAATGTTTTGGGTAAAACATTTTGCCAAGGAGTAGGCATCCCCGTGGTCACCAATTGTGCTCCCCTCCTTGCGGATCTGTTTCTTTATGCATATGAATCAGAATCAGAGTGCTCAGCTAGTCAACCACGTCACCTGATGAGTTTTATCATCAGTCATTTCTATTTTGGAATGTGTCTGGCTTATCATCTAAATAAACCGATAATGAGTTCCTCATGTATATCAAAACATTTGATATTATCGGACTTACCGAAACGTGGATTAATGACTGTGATGTTGATAATATATTTGATGACTATGTAACGTTCACGAAACCTGCAGATAAGTTATCTCACTGCTGCAGATTATCAGGTTGCATAGTTGTGGTAGTTAGAAAATGTCTTAGACAATATATTTAAAGGTGTAAAATTACTGAAAATGCAGATAACATTTTATTTGATAAGTCATTAGGTAACGATACAGATCTGTTGTATTCCTGTGTATATGTACACCCTGAGGGGTCAACTTGGTATGAAAAGGGGGCGGTGGGGTAGCCTAGTGGTTAAAGCGTTCGCTCGTCACGCCAAAAACCCGGGTTCGATTCCCCACATGGGTACAATGTGTGAAGCCCATTTCTGGTGTCCCCGCCGTGATATTGCTGGAATACTGCTAAAAGCGGCGTAAAACTAAACTCACTCAATCACTCACTGGTATGAAAGACAAACGTACATTGTAAAAACGGGATTAAGTTGTTACAGGAAAATCTAGTAGATATATTGTCGGATCATCCAGATGCATCTGTTTTGTGTGGCGGAGATTTCAATGCGAGAACAGGAAATGACCCGGACTTTATTGAGGATGATATACTGGAATATATAGAAACAGACACGTCAAATTGGAAATTTCTAGTAGATCAATTTAACCTCGCAAGATTCTCCGTCGACAAAACTGTTAATTCATTTGGACTATCTTTGGTAGAATTATGTGCTGTTTTGAATATCCACATCATGAA